ATACGCAATACACGACACCAATATGGCGCCGTCATTTGATCATCTGCGCGATGCAGACGTTGACGAGGATGACTACGATGAGGATGAGATCGACATCTCCGACTTGCGCGAGAAGTACGAGGTCCAACTAGAGCAAGGCTACGACACCTTCATTGTCATTGATGGCCTGCCGGAGGTCACTGAAGAGCAAAAGCCCAAGCTGGTGAAATTCTTACTGAAGAAGCTGAACCAGGTTGGAAAGACAAAGGAGGACCAGGTTTACATGCCGATGGAGGACGGCAAGTCTCTTAGGTACGCGACCGTATTATCTCACATCACGCTCTTCGTAAAATGCTCCATGAAATAGACCGAGAACCAGTAGTCGTTGGGCTGTTGTTGAGGATAGGAGTCTGAGTATTGACAATGTTTGTAGATTCGCCTTTGTCGAATATGCTTCCGCCGCCGAAGCCGCCGCCGCCGTGAGGCAGCTCGACGAGGTCCCCCTCGACAAGAAGCACACCCTAAGAGTTAACAAGATGTCGGACATCGATCGGTATGGCCGCGAGGGACGAGTGGACGAGAATTACGTGCCTCCTAAGATCGAAGAGTTCGCTGAGAAGGAGCACTTGCGATCGTTCTTGGCCGACCCGAGCGGTCGTGGTCGCGATCAGTTTGCCATGTACCGAGGTGATGTCGTCGGTATATTCTGGAACAACGAGAGGGAGCCCCCCGAGAACATTGTCGACAGGCAGCACTGGACGGAGAGCTTTGTACAGTGGTCGCCCCTGGGAACGTTCCTGGTATCTGTTCACCAGCAGGGTGTACAACTATGGGGCGGCGCTTCGTGGTCTCGGCAAAAGCGGTTTGCGCATCCCTTCGTCAACATGCTCGATTTCTCTCCGAATGAGAAATATATCGTCACATGGTCTAACAGACCTATTTCCATACCCGATGAAGGCCATCCCCAACTATCATTGGACGAGGACGGCAAGAACTATGTTATCTGGGATGTCGAAACTTCTAAACCACTGCGCTCCTTCGCTAATCTTGACATACCTACCACCAACGATTCTACGTCGGCAAAGCCGCAACCTAAATTCCCCTGGCCGGCTTTCAAGTGGTCCGCCGACGACAAATACGTGGCGCGAATGACCCAAGGATCTTCGATCTCGGTGTACGAGCTGCCTCGCATGAATTTGTTGGACAAGACGACGATCAAGATTGAAGGTGTTATGGATTTTGAATGGGCCCCTGCCACGCCTCAGAGAGAGGGCGTGAAGCACTACGAACAGCTGTTTTGCTTTTGGACGCCGGAAATTGGTAGCAACCCTGCGAAGGTCGGACTGATGAGCGTACCTTCGAAGCAGATCGTTCGATCGCTGAATCTGTTCAGCGTTACGGATGCTAAGCTCCACTGGCAATCGGATGCTACCTATCTCTCAGTGAAGGTCGACCGACATTCGAAATCTAAGAAGTCGCAGGCCACTACTCTGGAGATCTTCCGCGTCAAAGAAAAGGGTGTCCCGGTCGAGGTTGTCGATACGATCAAGGATACGGTCATTAACTTCGCCTGGGAGCCCAAGGGAGACCGCTTTGTCATCATCACGACGCCGGAGCCGGTTGGGCCAACCGCCGTAGCTCCTAAGACTTCGGTGGCGTTCTTCTGTCCTGAGAAGGCCAAGGGATCGGCCGTAGGCAACTTTAAGCATCTGCGGACTCTCGAGAAAAAGAATAGCAATGCAATCTATTGGTCTCCTAAGGGCCGCTTCGTAGTTGTAGCCACGGTTGCCAACCAGCAAAGTTCAGATCTTGAATTTTTCGACTTGGACTTTGAAGGCGAGAAGCCGGAAAGCGATAAAGATCTCACCGCCAACCTACAGCTCATGAACACGGCAGACCACTATGGTGTTACCGATATCCAATGGGACCCCTCAGGACGCTTTGTCGCTACTTGGGCATCTGTTTGGAAGCATACGGTATGTTTAATATATTCGCTTAAGAGGTCAACTTTAGTGCTAACGATTGGGTATAGATGGAGAACGGATATCACGTCTACGATTTTAAGGGCGAGCTACTCCGGGAAGAACCTGTTGACAAGTTCCGCCAATGGCTATGGCGTCCCAGGCCGCCGACTCTGCTTAGCAAGGACGAGCAGAAGCAGATCCGCAAGAATCTCCGGGAATACTCCAAGATCTTCGAGCAGGAAGATGCGGAACGGGGAGCGTCTGCTGACTTGGCGGTGGTTGAAGCTAGAAGACGCCTGCTTGACGAGTGGCTTGGATGGCGCGCGTCGGTCGACGCTGAGATTGAAGAGGAGAGGATTGCGCGAGGATTGCCGAAGCACCCGGTGGAAGCCGAAGCCAAGTCAGCGGAGAGCGGAGAGGAGCAGGTGATCGAAGAGATTGTGGAAGAGGTCCTCGAAGAGAGCGAGGAGATTGTCCCCTAAATGGACTTGGGCTGTGGTGGGTGATAAAAAAGGACTGGCAATCAGCGGCGTTCTGTGTAAGGGCATATAATGAAACTTGCAGCTAGCATAAATACAGCGTCTACGATGACTGATACATCTAGAAAGGCTTGACGAGTCTTATTTTTGACCATCATATGCCGTTGCTATTTGTGAAGATACTATTTGTGAAGATACAGGGTACTCCCTATTTTGTATGTATCTAATTATGGTCACTTGGGACGAGTCGTTGATTTAGGTATGTGTGATTGAAGCACGTGGGACCCTCCCTTTTTTGCGGAGTGTACGCATGCTTGGATGCTTGGATGCTTGGATGCTTCGAGGATCCTACAATGATACGGGGCACATGAGTTGAAACCCATCCATTAGGTTTTATGCTTTCTTCGGCACGGACGCGCAGGAGAGATGGGAACGTCTCCTATATTCGTTTCCGGAGGAATGGTAATGTGGCATTAGGTATGTAGGGTCCAAAATTATAGCAACTACAGGGTTGTAATTTTCTCCATTGTTTACTGCTATATATGTAGTGTACTATGTAGGTTAGGTAAGTTCTAGAACTGTTCACGATAGGTAACCATGCAGCCATGCTATGTTTGCTAGTGGTCGGAGCTTTTGAAATTAATGAATGAGGTTTGATTGTGGGGACGAGCAGATGCGGTAGACCCGAAGTGATGAAATGCAAACAGGTTCTTTCAAGTGGCTTAGCTGGAGCTGTACCCTGCACGCCATAGGTCAAAGGCATAAGACATAACATTGAACCATCATCCATGTTTGTTTGTCTTAGGTACATACGTGCATTAACCCAGATGTAGATGTTATGTACCTAAAGTATGTACATATATGTAGGCAGCCCAAATAGACGAAGAATACGATATGGTTGTTATGTGAATAAAGTATTGATGGAGGTATCAATCAGTTTGGAGGATGCCATCTATCGGAAAGGTACTAAGAAGAATAATTGCATCAAGTCTTCAATCCATTCTGCGTTGTGCACCGTCGTTTTGAAGATAGGTATTTAACCAAGTCCATCCTAGGCTATCGAGTTTGCGGGTGCGATACATGTACATATCTAATTACAGAAAATGCAGGTAAAGGAGCGGTGTATGCGAAGAATTATTAGGGGGTAGTTACATAGATGATACCTGCAAGTTTCAGAAACTTCCACTCTTGATTAGACCAATAGCATGCTAGATTTGTCAATTAGCAGGTACAGGGCTTCTTAATGGTCAAGTATTATTGGTTGATTTCCTGATTACCGCTTATAAACGAACCCCTTTCTTTTCTCCTTGTAGGTACTCTCGCACCGGCAAAAATTTGTCCTTCGCGCCTAGGGGAAGTGTTCGGCGCTTTCCTATGTAGGTTCCCTCCTATGTACCTAGCTGGCAGAAGGCGCCAAAGCAGTGCTCTATCTTTACTAATTCGCAACCACAGCATCATCAACTTACAACTTTCCCTTTCTTCTTCCAAGTTCCAACTTTGTTGCTTCTTTTCCTACCGCATTAGGGGGATCCGCTCATTATTCCCGGGAAGCCACATCGTGTTATTCTTATTTAGGATATCGGAAGAAATTCCTTGATATTCGTCCACTCATTCAAACTACAGATCATTACATGCATTCGCTTATTTCTATATATTCGGCTTTATCATTCGTTTGCACCGCATCGCCTGCGAGCATCCCCGGCCAAACACCTCGTGTCAGCGTTGGCATAGTAGCACTATAGCCTCGAGCCTTACTGAGGATATTAATTACACATACCTAAGGGCTTCTGCACATATAGGCTTCCACTCTGCTGAATTGTAATGTTTCTCGGACAAGTCTAATTAATCAGCACTGGAACGTCGAAAGCACTATTGCACATATACTCCGGACATAATCATCCTATCCTTTCTTTTTGGTGATTATATTCGACCATCGTCACCAACACCACCAACACTCGTTTTCCTCAAATCGAAATATTAGGGTATTGCATTCATTTATAAATACTCATCTCCTACAAACGGGAGCAACATAGATAATCTGTCAGTTTTTATAATCATCCGATATCCGACACACCGTGCCGCCATCTAGGGGTTCATTCTTGCCAGGATCGTGAGACAATTTACAAGCCGCATCTCACTTCTACCACAACAGTGTTGCTGCAGATCAGGGGGCCTTCCCTTTACAGCGAATTCAGGTGACGAATTCGGGATTTTTCGAAACGCGATATACTATCGTACTTCGTCCCTGCACACGCCTTACGCGATCAAGGCAACTTCAGTTTCCGTCTCTACTGTTACTATTCCTGTCTACCCTGCTTGCCTCTGATTCCTTCATCTGGAGTCGCTGTCTAGAGTCGGACGGACCTCAAGTAACAAAAGGACGAAATACCGGATCATCCGCCTCCAATACCGAAGACAAACCGCTTCGGCATCGTTTCTGTATACAAATCTCAGTGACGCATACACAATCGCCTTGTGTGTACATACGCTTAGGCACCGTTAAAGTAATAATTTAATCGAACACATCTTCCGCGCCGTCTTATTCCGAGCCGACTACTCGATGCTCGATCATGCGATCATGACCTACGGTGGAGGACACTTAGACGGGGTTGACCTCGCACTTCCGAGTCCTGGATCGCCGCCCGGCATGACTTCATCCGCTATCACTTCCAGAGCCTCGTCTGTAAGATCGTTCAACTCCGACGATGGCGAAGACGGCCTCACTGCAGACGTTGCCAATTTCGAGGAGATTGGCCTCGATGACGATGTCACCTCAATTGACCATTCCCATTTCCGCGACACTCACGCCAAATCGGCTCCGAACCCTTATAGCATCTCCTTCGCCTCCGACCTTCGTGCCTCTGTGAAGCATGTCGGCCCCAAGATCCATCCTCAGACTCGCGATCTAGCTCGCCCGCGACCGCAATTGCGCACCATCCAGTCCTTTTCAGGTTCTCGTTCTGGAGCCCCAACATTGACTCCGCAGTTTCGCGATACTAGTACCCGTAATGTTGCTACAGGCGTTGGCCCCGAACCCCAAGCAGGCCCATTGCCGGCGCGAGGCCTATCGGTACGATCCGCTTCCTCTATGACCATACCCCGTCGTCGACGAAGTCCTAGCCCCAATATTTCAGCCCGGTCGCTGAGCCCGGGGGAAAATAATCTAGTAGTGCCCAAGCTACGACGGAGCAGCTCGCAGACGAGCCGGACGCCAAAGTCGGCAATCGATTTAGAAAAAGAATGCGACGACGACGACGATGACATCCCCGACGATCTTATACTCGATAATGTCCCTCTATCGCCCCGTCCCCCCACGGAGCGGTCGGCTAGCCGTCCAGGGTCGACGTCCAACTCCCCCGAAAGACGAACAAAAGAACGTATTCGTAGCGTGGGCAATGGTACGCCACCGGTTGCGGTCCATCAAGGTTGTCTGAAATCTCCGACGTGGAGAATGGACTCTTCGCCGTCTACAGATTCGCTACGATCCTCGGCGTCTTCATCAGCCAAGGGTCGTGCCAAGAGCTGGACTGCTGCTATCTCGGAACTTAGCCCGGAAGCGAAAGCCCTCACCGAGAAACTGGAAGAGCATGCAGACGAGCTCGATAAGCATGGCGTTTACAGTTCGACGTATGTCCGTCCGGCGCCAAAGCCGCGGGTGAAATCAGCGCTTGCCGAACTTCCTCCTCTCAGGCGAAGTAATATTATGATTGACCCTCTACCCATCTCTAAGGAGAAGGAAGCAGTTCTTTCGCGGACAAGACCGTCTTGGTTACCGCCAAAGGACCCCGCAGAAGAAAAGAAGCACCTCAGAGAATATCAGAGAATGATGGCAAATAGTATCGAGGCGGATAAGAAGCGAGAGGCTGCAAGGAAGGAGAAAGAACGTAACAAGGACAATGTTGCCAAGGCGCTTATGCAAGTGTGGGAAGACGACGTCTTGAAAAGATGGGACGTTGCTATTCACGAGCGACGGACTCGGGAGTTATGGTGGAAAGGCGTAGCACCCCGAAGTCGAGGTGAAGTGTGGTCTCGCGCTATAGGGAATCAGCTGGGGTTAACTGAGACGTCTTTCCAGGCAGCCTTGGCAAGGGCACGCGAGGTTGAGGAGCGTTCTGCGAAAGGAAAGCCTGAAACCGAGGATGAACGTAAGATGGGTTGGTTTGCGCAGATTCAAGCGGATGTAGAGGAGCAGACTTGGGTTGACCTGAAGATCTTTCAAGTCGGTGCTCCCTTACACAAGAGCCTCATCGACGTCCTTCGCGCGTATGCTATGTACCGGAGCGATATCGGTTACGTATCCGGTTGCAATGTGAGTCCTATGATTTTATTTTCTTTCTTTTGGCCTTATTTTAAATATTTGTGTACTAATATGGCTAATTAGACCATCGCGGCAATACTCTTACTCAACCTTCCCACGCCTACTGCAGCTTTCATCGCCCTAGCCAATGTTCTGAACCGTCCTCTTCCCTTCTCTTTTTACGCTTCCGACGCAGGAGCCAAGACGTCTACATTTAACCTACTTCTTCAGACTCTAGCTAAGAAATCGCCACGACTCCACGAACATCTTACCAACCAAGAGCTCGGTCTCGAGCCGGATAGTTATCTCGGCGACATATTCACATCTTGCTTTACACGCAGCTTTAGCCTTGACGAATGTACTCGGATGTGGGATGTGTACGTCTTCGAAGGGGATGCCGTCCTAGTCCGTGCGGCTGTCGCCTTGCTGTTGGATACGGAGGCATCTCTGCTCGGTACTAAAACTACTGCGGAAATCCGGAAGGTCTTTGAGACTAGAAGCAGACCGGACCAGCAGGAGAAAGTTGATGCGTGGATGGCCAAAATTCGAGACGCTGGAAAGTCCTAGACATGTTTTGGAGCAGACGAGTGTCGTTCAATTATTCTCCATCCATCTCCTTGCTCGCTTAGCCTAGCCATCACATCATTGTCTGCATACTACAAGGCATGTTGATATCGAGCAAGTCTATTGTGTATATTCTGGACTTGACAAGAGATGTTAGGATAGCTTGTCGCGATCCATTTCTTATGTATTGTTAACCTACCCTCGGCGAAAAGGCAAGCATGGAGCACATAGGAGGCGCGAGAAAAAAAGCTGAAAGTCGGCTCGATCTAGTGCAGATGGGCTTGCAGAAGAAACCCTTTGGAATGAATTAATTATGAAATGGGAATGGAAATATAGACTCTTGAAGGCGATAAATAGGCTTGGGAAGAGGGAGTTAATTGCTAGTTTTCCACCTACACCCGTCACATATATTTCTCTTCTTCCCTCCACCCCTTTTTGTCTTTATATTCTCAGATGTAAATAGACGGCCTCGTAATCCTAATCCAAGAGACGGGAGCTAGCCTAATTAATTTGACGAACAATTTATCCATAATCTAGCATATTTTTGATTTAGATGCTTTGTGTAAGATATCGTCTATCTTGATTAGCTGCCGATTCGTAATGCCGTGAAAAATGCAAATGGAACTAGAAATATTGCTCGCTATTAATCATGCGATATCATATATACGTATACATTCCTCTAGCCATCCGTCCTTGTAGTGGTATCAAGCGTAAAATCATACATTCAAGAAGCAGCAAGTACCAAACCCCAGCGACCCAGTCCATCCGTTTATGTGTACAGTGCCCGTATTATTATTCATAGCCAACTTTTCTTTTCCTGTTACTTCCCCTGTTCCCTCAGAAAGTAAATCCAAGATCCTCCCTGCGATCATCTACGAGGCGTCCCCACTCTAGCAATAATCGAAACATGTAAACCTGCATGTCTTCCTTCCGAAGGGACTGGAGCGCCCAGTCCCGCCCTGCCTGAGCGATTTCGTCGGCGTCTGCTAGACCGGGCCCGCTAAAGTAGCTCACGGCGCCCCAGAAATCTCCAAGTCGCACGTCTAATGGTACGAAGTGTCTCCAAGCATGGACGCGTTCCTCCCACCAAGTGCGGAAGAGGGCTGCACGATACGGCAGAGAAGCAGATTTGAGGAACGGCAGGAAGCGGCCACTGAAGGCAGCACCGTCAAGGTCGATGAGATGGCGGTGACGCCAGTGCTCCTGGAAGTCGAGAGACGGCGGTGGCTCAGCCGTGGATGAGCCGTAGAAGGTGATATGCTCGGCATTACAGTCGCGCTCGTCGCAGCGATTAAAGTTGCCAACGAACGAGACATTAACAGTGAGGTGGTTATCCACGGCGGGTGCATTTTGAGAAGAAGGGAGCGATGATGAGGTGGTAGAGCGTAGAGTGGAAAGGATATGTCTCGGGGTGTGAATTAGGTTGAAGAGAGACTTTGCCCGAATGGATATTTTTGCTTTGGTGGCCATCTGGACGAACCTGGCCCGCAAGAATGTCTGCCAGGCACCATGCATGGCAAAGCCATCAGATGAGGCGCCGCGCCAGTACACGCTGTTCAGCTTCTGGTTCCAAGGTATGCTCTTATTGTTCTCGATCTCGACCTTCTCGCCGAAGTTCCACGGGCTCGGGTATAATATATCAGCAAAGTTATACAGCCGGCTCTGGCTGAAGACGGGGAATAGCGTATGCGAAGGTGCCATAGCAGACGGTGATAGCAGGACACCATGCAGATACGCAAGGTCGGGCTGATGGCACAAGTCACCAGACGACGTCCAATTGGATACGAAACCATGCTTCATGTGCGGAGCAGAGCAGCTTAGACATTCTGCCTTTCTATTCCACCAACGATATTTATTTACCGGAGAGTCTGCAGGACACGTCGGTGAAATCCATTCGTAAAATATCTGTCGCTTGGATCTGTCCAAGAACCATGGCGATTTCTCCTCCCAAATACCCTCATCTGCCTGCAGGTAATCTTTCGGCCAGGGCGGTTCCTGTGATTTACTGAATGGCAATAACTTCTGTTTTGCGCTTAGCCTCGCCCTGGCTTTAGCTCCTTCTTCTATATATGCCTGCATGCGGTCGAGGGGGACGGATATGCGGCATTCGTCGTCGAGATTGAAGGCAAGCTGCATATTTGGGAGCCATTGCGCAAAGGGTTCGAGCATGTCTTTAGTAACATCCATCATCCATCGATGGGTTCCACGGATGTGCGGCGATATTTCAATTTTGCCGCCCTCGATGATAATGCCTCCCATAGAGAGTGACGGGTGCTCGAGTAGGTGAGTCGTCCTCTGACGGAGGATAGACGGTACGGTGCCCCAGAAAGGGAGGAGGTCAGTATGAATCTGGTCAAAGGTATCGATTACCGGGGATTTAACCGAAGTCGCAAAGATGTACCACTTGTCGAAACCGGGGGGAGGCGGCATACCATAGCGCTCTCTATACTCTGAGACGGCCTCCTTCAGCGACTTGCTCTTCCCAGCCCCGGCTATCCAAGTATCCGACTCGCTTCTGGCATTGGCAATGATAGGGCCGGGGGTAGGTCGGAACCCACCGGGGCTCATGAAAACTGTCTGGCAGAAGACAAGAGAAAAGGCTAAGAGGGCGTAAAGGCCATATCGATTCCTGGAAATAACACTCTCGCCGGTTGACTGCAGCTGAAAATTGACGGCTTTGCTAAATCGAAACAAGATGCCTGCCCCGAGGAACAGCCAAATGCCCGTTATAAGGCCCCACCAATTAGACCAGACCTTGATCATAGTTCCATCCATGATCCTCCATTGTATGTACACGAAGATACCTGTAGTTGTGAGCAGTAGGCTTACCAGTGTGGTATGAAAATAACCAAGGAGGTAGACGGCCGAGACTATAGCTATTGTCACAGCTATACTATCGATGATCAGGTCTCCAACAGCAAGCCAAGTGAGAAATACATTCCATTGAAAATTGGCTCGGTCAATTGATGACCAAACGGCCAAGAATGTCAAGACGGCCGCCGAACTTAAAAGCAGAGCGCCTAGAAAATGCCACGTCTTTGGTTGCGCCTCGTTGCTTTGCCGGAGTTTCCCAACCTGAGATATCAACACGGCATCCAAGGCTAATGTGACTAGTTGAGCAAGAGGTGTGAAGCGCTCGATGTGCGTTCCGCCGGGACATATTGCGCCAGTTGTGCGCTCAGAAAGAAGGAGGGTATCAGTAGCAGCCAAGCCCCAGAACAGCGCAACCAGGCCATATTTTAGGAAGGCCGAAGTGCCCGAATCTCCTACTTGCGTATCATATCCATATCTCGGTAGATGTAGAGGTCGCTGCTCGAGGACATCGTAAATTATGAGGAGGAAGGGGAGAAACGACTGTCAATAGGGATCAATGGTTAATTCTAGATGTCTAATTACGGGGTAGGATTAGGCGCAAACCTGAAGTCCATCCCACGAACAGTGGATGGTACGAATAGTCCGCCAATACAAGATAGTGCGGGCAACGAGGCAGAATAGCAATAGCGCGGAAGATATCGAGAGGAAGCGAAGCCGAAGCGAGGACTTCAGTATCCCAGCGAAGGATTTAGGTAAGGCATTTCCGTCGGCTAGCGGCGCGTAACTCGGCTCGAAGCGCAGTATATATCTAGCATAGGCAGAGAGGGCGAGGCCAGAGAACAGGAAGGTCAAGATGGAAAAGTGGAAAGGCCGCTCTAGTTTGCACAGAAGTCAACATTATGCGCATTTATACGAGAAGACAAGAAGAGCGGCGGGCCGTACCGAAGGCTGCGCTTTTATAATATCGGGACCGGACAAAGGTGGCACTCAAACTGAGAATACTGCTGCACGTCAATTATTTGGGTTTGCATTAATTGGAATTATACAAGAGAAATGGGACGAGACGGGACGAGAAACATAGCTGCGCACGTACCAGATAGCTAAGACAACGACTTTCCGAGATGGCGACGCCATCCTAAATAAACAACGCCAATACTAATAAGACGTATGCGCTCTCATTTGACTTGTTGAAGAAAAAAGGCACACGACTTCAGTTCATGGCGACGAGTTACAGCTATAAGATGAGACGACGAGGTAATCTGGTGCCAAAGATATTGGCGCTACGAGCAAAAGAGGCCCATTCCGTTTCTGGTCTTCTGGTCTTCTGGTATCGCCGAAGAGGTGACAGGAAACGGGTGGCGGTTTGTACGAAAACATGTACGAAAACAGTAGTAATGCTACTGTATGATTCAGTGATTCAGGCTCAGGCGCCTTGGCAAGATGGATCGTGAGAAGGCGGGAATTCGGCACAAACAACTTTTTCGCAAGTTCAACGCACAAACCGCATAAAGGTAAGGCTGGGGAATCCCAAGTGATTGGATATGGGGGAGGGTCAGGATTGTTGTGTTGTGCGATGCGACTCTACATAGGACCAGGCAGAAAGAAAAGTATTGAGATCATAGGTACCTTATATAGGTTAGGTTAGGTTAGGTAATTTAGTCGTTATTATTAGAAGCTGCCCTCTATGTATTCCTTCCTACGTTTTACCTTCCAACTTCCACGGTTTGCTATGTGTAACTTCCACTAGTTATAGTAAATTTATGTGACAGGTTAGACGGCTGACGCGAGCTAACATGGACGTACATATGTACCATGCACGTATTGGATAGAACTTTACCTTAAAGTTTAATTATGCACATATACCTACATAATGATGCATGTATGTATTTAGCGCTTCACGGTTTAATGTTCGATTTTACATAACTAACAAATATATTTAATGTTGTATGATTTATTTTTTCTTCGTCTTTTTCTATGCGCCTCCTGAAATACACAATTCCCGTGAACCACAGAGGGCGAAATGGAAGAGACCCAAGAAATCATTTTATCTAGATGATACCCTCATAGAACGTGACCTGGAACCTCCCGTTGCCCGAATTGATTACGGGGTCAATGTCGTCCTCCAAATACACATTCTGCGGATCTAGAAACTGCATCTCCCATTCCCTCGTCGCGTTGTTCGCGTCCTGCCCGATGATCTTGTCGAGGCACCACGAACCCGTCGCCTTCTGCGCTAATACGTTCGCTGGCGCATCCGATAAGAGGTCTATCGTGAACCCTTTCGCCCTACTAAGCCCGTCGAGAGACTGGATCACCGCGGCCCCATCGTTGCCCTGAAGCAGTGAGATGTCTCCCCATGCCGTTCCGGACCCATTGGCGTGCCAGTTGATCTCGGCCCATGTCCCTAACATATGTTTTTGCCTGTCGAAGTTCATAATATCTCCCCGCACAATGCGCCCGCGGAAATTTGGACATACGGCAACGAATACGGATGACCAGGGTGGGATCTAGAAGGAAGTATAAGATTCCTATTAGCACCCTGCCCTAAAAAGGAACACTCTTAGGATAGGTATGTAAAGATATGGCTATCTCAAGGGAGCTTACGACCGTGTACTTATAAGGAACGAAGTCGTGATTGCTCTCGTACAAGAAGAACATGGTCCCGTTAGCGGCGCCGTGGCTTTTCGGGTCATGGTTCCATATAAGCACGCCGGGACCACCGAAGTCTTCATCGCCCGCTAAGTATGTACGGGTATTGTTAGTAAGTAGTAAGAAGCTCAATTAGAAGATACACGAAAACTGAAAATACACTGGCTTAGTTCCGAACGGTGGCATACTTACCAGTGTAGATAGGTGGCTGAGATTCGTCGTGACAGAATATCTGAGGATCGTTAATCCCTCTGCTGGTATTATACCAGCGGTAACGACTGGAATTTCGAAAGGGGATATGATGATGTTTCGCGCTGACGGCCTCGGGGACCGAGTTGCCAACCGGAAGTGTATAGGATAGAGGAATGATCATGGTGGCTAGCGTAGGGAAGCAGATTGCTGTATTCAGGAGGCGCATTTTTGCTTCAGCTATGATGTAGGTATGAGGTGCGTGGTATTATATCTTAGGTAGAAAACCGACGTTGGTACGCCGAAAGGAAGAAGAAGTCGCAGGAGACAAGATCGGACGATAGCTGAACTAACGCAACTTTGATTAGGACACCAGATCTACACCAACCAACGAAGAAGATACATATGATCTTACATGCGTTGTTTCCTTTGAAGGGAACAGCAGCTTCTCTAAGAAGCACATCGTCGTTGGTACTTAGTTATCCACATACATCCCTCCTAATATGTACCTAGGTAAGGTACCTACCTATGCAGCCATCTTTTACAACCCCCCCTATACAAGATAAAAGGTAACTGATGGTCGTTAAGAGCTAACATCACGACCACGAAGGACCCTTGGGGAAGACCATTATCATATAACAACACATCACATAGGTATTATCCCAGCTACTGGACGAGTATTCTAATACAGCTGTCGGCTTCTCTCACTCTTTATCGTACGCCTCTTTGTCTTAGACGTACAATTCCCAGTCTTGTTCATCCCCTCGATAGCCGCGTAATAGGCTGGATGCTTCGTGAAGTCGTCAAACCAAAGCAGCGCGGCTCCTTCACCCGGAAACACTGCTGGGACCCAACTGAAAGGGTCGTAAAAGTCCCAGATCGTTACGCCTACGCATGCCTTGACTTGCGCGCACACACTGACAGATTAGCAAATAACACCGTTAGCAGAAGCAGAGCATATACAAAGAAAGGACACGTACATTCTTGTAGACTTCGGCTTGCCACCCCAAGCTGGTCTCGTTTGCCGGTGTCTCGACTCTAACATCCAGTTCCGTTAGAGCCACCTCCACGCCGAGTGCGCCGTACGATTGCATGGCGGCAATCTGCTGGGCAAAAGTCAGTGCACTACCCGCCACAAGATGGGCCTGCATTCCGACCCTCTCTTGATGACGTATTGATAATAAAATATCTATATCATCAGCATTTGAAATACTAGAGAACCGGGAATGTGAGGAAACCTTACGTCCCATACATGCGGCCCGCCAGCAACGCCGCGACTAATGTTTGAAGGCGCACTCCAAGGGCCGTTGACTAGAACTGCTTCGCACCGGTAAAACTTTGGGTCAATTGGCACCTCATAACCTAGAGTATACTTGGCAGTATACTCGGCCCCCTTAAGGATTAAACATCGTGAAGCGAGTAGATATCATATCCCTGGGACTGAACTACTCGAGAGGCTTCGGCAGCCCAACCGAGTGCTGCCGTAGCATGACCTTAATCCCTGCCAGTTTCGGCGCCCTGTCCAGTCTCTGTGTCCCAATTCCCGAGCACGCCAGCGCATAGTTATACTAGAAGACAGGAGAGAATGTTAAGCGCGATGAATAAAGGAGATGGTGTTTTTTACTCACCATTGCAACGTCATCAAGGTATACTGCAAACGACAAGAGAGATTTAATGCCAGCTAGCCCATAGTTGGCCTGGCCGATTATGATAAACTGTCTTGCAAACAGCCAGTAGAGCTGATTAGAGAATCCTGACGTCCCCGAAGGCTTGGCACCCTCCTCAACCCATCTACCTTCCTACCTCACAATCTCTGCGGCGTTAATAAATAGGTCGCCGTCTAAAGCTACAAGTAGGGATGTATTAGTGTTAATCACGTCTATTAGGTTCGACCCCTAAGCGTCCAAGATTGTGGCGGCTATATCCTAGTGGCGCTGATCTCTGGTGATGTACCACATGATAGAATTCTGCCAAGCTGCTCAAGCATCGTTCGAGAACGCTGTATAATTGCTGCATGATCCTCGACAGATGACTTGTTTGGGCCCTTGCATACTATACTTGACGTCTTATCAGATGGAAGAATGAAGTTGTGAGGCCTTAGCTGGAATTCTTACATTAGAAGCCGAGTATAAATCTACGCTAAACTTGACAAAGGCCGACGCGTGGGGATCTTCACCACCCTCGACTCCGATCCTCATACGTTCCAAGTCATCGTGCGTATGCCAGATGCCAGGGTGGACGAATTGGTCGATTCGAGCTTTCATTCCTGGGAACGCGGGAACCATCGGAACAATCCCATTCAGAATGGGCAAACCGTTCCCCTCCTGTGGCTATCACATTTTGGTAGAATAGAATAATGAAGAGAGTAGCAATGAGGTTATCCATGGGTTCTGATCTACTGCCTGATCACGCGAGGTCGTCTCGTTTACTAGTATAAATCGAGATGCAAGTATGTCATATCGCGAATTGTCGATTATTCGCCTTATCAAAGTAATATGAGGCCTTCCTGCTAGTATATTCCATACTAAGGGGTGATCCCATTCCCCTTTTCCATTAGCAACGAACCCCATGGGGTTCTCCGCATGTCTCCCCGGACCCACAATATTAAAAAGGGGTTAACTCCTGACTTGGAGATTCGGGCCAAGTACCGGACTGTGCGCCGGCAACAATCCAAAATCTCGATTGGATTCGAATCACCATAAGACTGTAGGTTCGCGATTTGCGCATTTGTCCGCCCGGATATTTTAGTATGTGATACTCATCACGCGTACCAGGACTTGCTGGGACTTATTGCTGGTAACTGACCGGTAGTCTCATTGAGTAGTGGAATTTATCAATTAACTTGAAGTACTGTTATCAACGGCCGAGACTATTGTGGTGCGCCAACGACATATTGCATCGTTTGCTTAAACTATGAAAGACCGGTGTTAAATCTTGGAAAAGCATATGGCCACATCAGAAATTCCAATCGTTGCGATGGAGCAAGACGGGATCTGCTCTGCCAATGATGGTAGACCATTAGTTAGCTTTCTGGTGTCTCTAGTGGTAATCTCATCTAATGTCTTGTATCATAGAAAGTACACATACCCCCCTTTTCTCTGTCTACTTAATGGGAAGATCCTCGAACTAACCTACTCAGCTTTGGACCCTGTAAGCCAGGGTCTATATATAACTGTGATCATTAGTTACTAATTTTCACAGTCCGGCTATTATCGGCACTGCTATCATATATTCGATCCCTCCGAACCCTACCTACAAATAAAGTCGGGCTCTTGATCGCTTTTTACTACACACAGTTCTGCCTTGCTGAGGGTAATATGATCTTTTCCTTGATTTCCCTGAATGTGGCGGGGCAGACAAAGAAATCCACGACTCTAGCCACGACTTTCATCGGTTGGGCCGCCGGTAACATGGCAGCTCCCCAGGTTAGTATTATCTAAGTCCTCAACTCATTAAGCGCGAGCGGGCGCACGTGTGCCTAACCATTATCACGCAGATTTTCCAAGAAACAGACGCGCCTCGATATCAGAAAGGATTCACCGTCCACTTTTGCCTTTATGTATTATTTAACCTGTTTTTAATCCTCCTCCGAGTGTTGCTTGTCCGGAGGAACATCGTTAAGCGCCGTGATGACCCTACGATAGTCACTGGGAAACATGAAGTCAGCTCGAGCAATGACGAAAAGATCGAGCACGCCCACGCGTTCGACGATTTGACGGATAAAGAAAATCCTGATTTTAGATATGAACTATAGGTAATGTCCATATGTTTTAGATCGGTGGGACGCTGCCAGAGCGATACTGGTTACAGTAATTGATATTTACTTCTATATCTTCTAAATATATTATTTACCTGTTTGTTCTACTCCGAGTCAAGAACATAGCAGCTTAGGGCCGGTTTGTCAACCAATGTCTTCACTAAATTATTTTGATTGCTTTAAATTCTTGGCTACTACAAGATACGTTTCTCTACCCCATACTATCCTGTCGGCTGCTTTTACTATCACTTATTTGTGTGGCAATGTTGAGTCATCGGTTTTATCTATTCTTAACCAATAGGCATCCAGGTATTCGCCAGATAGACGACATTCGGACTATTCCGGTAAAGCACCCGTGATAGAATCATTCATTTTGAGTTTACGTCGAGTCTCGTTTTTACTTTCCTCGTGTGCTACTTCAAGCTTCTCATTTAGCTTCTTTATTTGTGCTTTGGACATAGAATAGGTATGGGGAATGTCGAAAATGGGTCTTTCCGCTTGCTCTGCATAATATTGCTGTTGTAGCTGCTGTTCCTGATCTCGCTGGTGCTCCTGTTGGTTCTGTTGTTGCTGATACTGATACTGATGATCTTGCTGCACTGGTTGATGTTGCATTTGCTGAAGCTGATCTAACCATGAGCGGTGAGTTACAAGGCCTGCAGATATGAGCTCGAACTGCTGCGCTAGATAGATGTGGAACTCCAGCCACTTAACGGTCCGTGGATCTACGGAAGAGATTGTGAAAGCGAGCTGTCCTTGTAGTTCCTGGAGACGTGCTGCCAGATCATTTGTCCATCGACTGATCATGAAGAGCTGAACCGACGGATCCATTTGACCCTCTACATAGAAGTGGGAAGCCGCATAACATGGTTGCTGTTGATATTGGCCGGGAAATGGGAAAGCCATGGTAACTACTTGACGATTCTTAGGTTATGTTGTACTTACGAGTTAAGTGGAATTTACCAGGGTTCGTTTGGCTTAAGCACTTTACAAAAAATGTCTGGGAGACTCTGGAAGTTTATGGCTGGACGGTGAAGATCATGCAAGAAGACTCCAAGTGCATATTTAGGTAACTAGCTGTGTTTATTAAGAACTTGGGAGATATCGTGAACAAGGCATTTGTAGTCTAACAAACGTAATTTTTCTACAACTTGCTTCTAGAATAGTAACACAAAATTGTTCATTGTATATTAAACCAATCATCCAAGTTCTTTCAACATTTGTGCAACAATGAAACTGCCTTATACTTTCATATCAACAATGCGCTCGTTTAGCCTTATAACGTGTATGCCGTTTACCAAATTGCTTTCCAATCAATGTACCTGTTTGACTTCAGAGACGAAGTGCTAAGGAGAGATGATAAAGTTAAATATAATAATCTGTCATTTTAATATCTGCTCATGGGTTAAAGAACCTATGACTTGCCAACCTTTGTTGTTCTTTTATCCCGAGAATAAACTCTTGAACGTACCAATATAGTTGTCATGGTGGCTACAGGGGTTTCTATGACTATGTAAGAGGCGCGAAGCGCCCTCGTCAGAGGATAGAGAGGCCAGGCGTTACTAAGTTCAATACGATCACTACTTGGTCTACCTACCCTCGGCATTCACTCTATGCATGATTCACCTCACTAGGGCATCTAGTCCTGACAATAGTCCACGCAAATGAGCTGGGTAAGAGGGAAATATAGCTTAATACGTGCTAATTTTACCTCCCGGACTTTATCGAATTTCTCATATAATTCACTGGTCAATAGTACCTCTTAAATACAAGTACATATGCAATGCCGCCATCCCCAAGTGAAGACTCTATGCAGACCAAAGATGTACGCCAAAGTAAACAGTCTAATCCGAGAACATGTATGTGCCGCCTCCATTAACGCCCGCTATTTAATGCCCTTGCCATATCAGTTCAATCACCTGGTCGAGTTCATCTCCATCCTTAGAAGCGTCCGCAATCCGCACATACAGCTGCCTTAGATCCCCACTCTCCGTGAACTCGGCTCCTCTCAGCTTATAGCTCTTCTTCTGATCCGGGGGGTAAGGTTGTCTGAGCGGACCAAGGCTAAAATCGAAGTCTTTGCTGTCGGCTTTACCCCACGTGCCCTCCATTAGTTGTAGGTTGACGGAATCCACACCGTTTGGGTATTCCACAATGGAAAATCCATTTGACAAGACCGTATCATTACCGAACCGCCAGCGCTGCAAGAAACAATCCCCACAAAACCTGGCAGCTTTCGCCATCTTCTCGACAGGTGCCTTATACCAACTTTTCCAATGATGAAGATTTAAAGGCTTTAACCCAGCTTCGAAAAATCCGCTGACATCGTCCGTTAAATCCTGCTGGTACAGGCCCGGGAGAATAGTAAGTTTGGCTTTGGAGTTATAGTATACGCAGTCCCGAAGGATAGTATCTCCCTCTTGGGTAGTTGCGTCGTGGATACATTGGAGAGCTTGGTCACTAAGCTTCTTGGCGAGCGGAGCCGACAGGTATGCACCAGCGCCACCGAACGCCATGAAACCAAAGCTCCGGACAGACTGGAAGTCTTCCGAGAGCGCACCGACGTAAGTATCGGTCTTGTGATCCAACGTGCCGAGGCTGTCCGACAGAGGTTTCAAACTCGGGAAGAAGGTATCGTCGTCTATGAGACCGTACCATTGGGTATCGGGACTGTCTTGTTGGAGCATATTGATAAGGACAGCAACATGATTCTGCGATGTCGAGAAGTCCCCACTAATAGGCTTCACCAAAGTCACATTGATATCAGCTATCTCAAAACTACGCTGTAGTCGCTGTATATCTTCAGGTGATTTCTTTTTGGCATCTGTGACGACAGCGACAAGCTTGGCGCCAGTTCCAGAAATCCAATGGGCAAAAGGGATAATCGAGTCGTTGAGACGTTTATAATCCGTTGCCACCCCGAACATAAGGTGAGAAAACGTGGTCTTCGGATGAGGCTTCGGGACAACTAGGTTGATAGGCTCAGACTGAGGAATTATGGCATCTCCGCATTGGTGTAGATCGATTTCTACCTCGCTTTTAACGAGAGGCTCTGTGATGTTGACGATCTCGTCTCTGTCGACAGTATCGGAGAATATGGACTTAATGTAGCGGCGGGAGTAGTGCACGCGCTCGGTTAATCCCAGATCGATGCTTGAGCGCATCAGAAACTCCAATTCCTTGGAACAGAGCTTATGATCGGGAAGCGGTTGTTGATGCTCCTCTTCTCCGGATTTATCCCCTGCGGCAGTATCGTCACTGATGCTAGTAGGCTGAGCTGATGGTTGAGAGAGCGCATTACCAGTTTTTGGCTTCCAGGCTGGCTCTTCATCTTTACTAGTAGGACTCGGAGTGGGAGTAGTAATAGCTGGGGCTAAAATTTCAGTAATAATATCTGCGGCCACGACATCATTGGCATCCGACTGCCCCTCTTGGGTTATCGCATCTTTGTTCGGAAGGATTTGAGGATCCGCCGCTGGATATGAGGGCGGGACACGATGATACAGATGAAGGGTCGTGTAAGTGACGAGGAACAGGAGCACGGCGCTGGCGAGGACAAAGACGCGGGGGACCTTGGATGGAAACATGGGAGAGCCCTTTTTCTCTTTATCACCGTAGGGGTAGCATAGCTGAGAAAAGTAGGAAGAGGAGGAAGAAGACTAGGAGTTCTTCGATATTCTAGTGGGGAGAAAAGGTAATAGGGAGAATAGTTGAATATTCTACTGGGGGCGAGAAAGATTATATTCTAGGTACTGGGGGCAGGAAAGATTACATGTAGAGAACCGAAGCCTAGGGTGGGATACCGTACGACGAGACAAGCCCAAAGGAAGAGGAATACATAAGGCAAGAGGGGAATACATACAAATACGTATGTGTGGTACGAATCCAAAGAGGCAAGAATCTACTTTTAGTAGGTAGGAATTGTGGAATCTTTGAGGTATGGAGAAATGTGAGTCGAGGAGATAAAATACGCCAAAAACTACATAGTACGCCGACGATCTTAGACGAATGCATTCCTTTCTCTAGCCATAAGGTTCTTTCTTTCTTTCTTTCTTTACATACACTAATAAGGTACATACTTCTCTCTTGGGTACAATAACTACCTACATTACAACTAGGTAGGAGGTAGTTAGAGAATCTTTAAATTGAAAGAAATAGAAATATCAACATGACTTAAACATCTTAGCCCACATATACAGATACGTCTGTAAGAATTTAACTTACGACATTTCTTTTTTTCTTCTTAGTTGTCGATGCATCTTCAACGGCTGAAAAAGAAAAAAAGAAGATGACGCAGTCCTTGGCTCAGTTGCTCACGGGCCTGACCCGCATTTCAAGCCGCCCATAGTTCCTTTTATCCAATAGGCGGACGATAAAGACGCCAATGCGGATCGGCGCTGTGCATGGGGCAGAAATTTAAGCCGTTCCACCCGATATTTCCACTAACTTTCCCTGAGCTTTCGCTAAGAATACACCTAAGGTTAATAAGATCTAATATGACTGCGGCGTCATCCCTGTCCCGCTTAGCTAGTGGACGCAAAACCGCAAAAATAAGATACATTGGTTGGTCGGAAGAGCCGACCAAGTGTTTCTTATCACTCCTCTGCCGTCCGATATCCTGTCGAAGGTACACAGATCGACAGATGCATGATATACCGAGGCGTGTGACTGGCTGTAATGTGCTTGCTTATACGTACATGAACAAGTTTGAAGAAACAAGTTTGAAGAAACATAACGGACACGTAAGGACATCAGGGAAGAAGATTCAAGGGTACAAAACTGAAACTGGACTGAATTGAACTACGAATTGGGACGCGTCATTTACACTACGTAGACTTACGATATCACGTACCTTACGATGTAGTAAGGTCTACTTTTTAGTACAGGTAGGTATTTAATTCAGAACGTGGTCCATCCAAATCCACAGGCTCAATAGTCGTAATAGTGCTTTAAGTAAAATGACGGCGGAGCGAATAGAACACGAATAGAATGCGAATCATATTACGAATCACGACATGATCCCACCTTCATGGGCTATCCCAAGTTAGCGTCTCTTATGCCTGCACACACATGCAGGTACCTTGGCAGCTTACAAGTCATACATAGACGGGACAACGGTTGAATTCGAAAGATCGACAGCACAAATTGATTTGATCGCGGAGGGTAGAAGATACCTGTGAATAAAGAAGAGTGCTGGGCAGTTTAAAAAGAGTAAATAGTAGTTGCTGAATACTTATTTGGTAATAGTTACCTAGTTCCGTACCTACATATGAGAACATGCAGCAACGACATCTCCATGCCGTTAGTCTTTTGGTTATATGTAAGGCTGTAATAGTCTTAAGAATATACCACTCAACCATTAAATGGAAGTTGAACCTTGACAGCATGAAGCTTCTATCGAAAGTACTATACACGACACTACAGGAATTTGAGTAAGACATAGGTGACCACATGCTCCTATTAAGAGTTGACTTGTAATAAAGTGGGTGTGTGTGTTATCTTTTGGCTATACCCCCAAACGCATAGGTATTGAGCCCCCATTCCTGCGGCGTAAACATGGGGTCCGTAAAATAGAAGTCTATGTTTCCTCGACTGCGGGGGCGCCCCTATTCAAGTCCTTTTCCAGTTCGACAAAACACAAGTCGCCCGGTAAACTCAAGCCCGCGAACCATTCACGCGGAAACGGCGTTAACTCCCCCGTCTTTCGATAGCCGCAGCGTATGTACCACAAGATCAGCTCGTGGCGGGAAGAAAGGGCATTAAGTCCCAGCTTGCTAACGCTCCACCTCTGTTGACAGTAGTCCTCAGCATAAGCCAGGACCTTGCGCCCAATGCCTCCCCGGTGGTGGTGCTGGTCAACCGCAAGCATGTAGATGCGGGCAAGGTCGGCGTCGCGTTTAGAGACACCCACAGAACCCTTTAGGACGCCGTTTTCATCGGTAGCTATGAGGTATGCGCTATCCGGCTTGGTGATGTTGCTCATGATCTCCTCGACCTTGACGCTGAACTGCGACGCAAGAGTCATGTCCCCTGTCCAGTTTTTCCTACTGTCTTCGGCACGAAATGCAGACTGTACCAATTTTTGAATCTGCGCTGCGTCGTCTGGGGTTGCGACGCGGAATTGAAGATTGCCATTCGCCATCTTAGTGTTGTAAGTTGAAATTTAATCTTCCAAGTTGGTGTGGTGTAATAAATATCTTACGTTGTCAATGTTGAGTATGAAAGGTTACGTTCATGAGAACCAAAATGACTCCTTGGATAGCTACCTGCTTGATATATTTCCTTAGGTGATTATAGACTCTATATATAGCTTGCGACTCCGGAGTCCTTAAAGACCTATAGAATGGGGGCTATGCAGTAGGAAGGGCTTGAAAGGAAGGGCGTATAAGGAGATGGCGGGCACCAGAGAGGAAGGTATAGGATATTATGAGGGGTATTATTAGATCTAGACCTAATGGCCTTAAGAATTCAAATCTTTTCAGCTCCAACATCAATATCATGCATCCAACCTTTTTTACATAAAGGGCGTAACGAAAGGTATGAGGGGGAACTGTTAATGATATGATATGAGAAGGATTCCGTTATCATCAACTGGTACCTGCCCCCTCCAAGATATGCATCTTGAAATCGTATACGATTACGCTCTGGCTGAGGTCGTTCGACTCGGAAGTATCGCAAAGTTTCATGAGTCCAGATACATTGAAACTTTTAAATTAACAATCATACTAATCAGAAAGACGTGGTCTTATTCTTTACATAGAAAGAATAGTAGGCTTTAGCCCTATCTATTATTGTTTTAAATAACTATCCCACGACGTAACAATCTCTTCTCTTAACCTCAGACAATTGATTTGAGGTATGACAATGATAATTCCCAACGTCAGATTCTCTCCTAATGAATGGAACCCTCCTCATCTCCTATACTAGAGTTTAGAGGAATACAGCGGCCTAACTCGATTGGCAGGTATTAATAAGGAAAAAGGAGAAGAAAAGCAAGCTCAGAAACCGTAAAGAGCTAGGATGGGGCCCGACTTCCCCTTATATCCGTGAACATGGCGATGATGATTGATAATAGCCTGCTTCGTGTTAAAGGTTGAGCTGCAACCATCTTCCGAACAAGGAATCAGTTCAGGTAAGGGAGCTCGTAGACGCGAGAAGCTGGAGGAAGAGTCGTGAGCATGGTTGTAATGGGTGGCAACACTTCTTCTATAGTAACTGTAGTGTCGTTTGCATTTGATACAGAAGAAGCGCTCCTCGCCCTTGATAGTGATAACACGCCCCCTAACGCCAGCAAACACGAAGGTATCTGTATCATCTGAGCCAGAGGGCTTCGTACTCTCATCTTCCGATGTTGAATTAGTAGTTGAAGTTTGGGAATTGATAGAGGGTTGTGAACTGTGGCTGACCGTTTGGCTTGAGACAACGGAGCTAGGACTAGCAGTTGGTTCGGAATCAAGACTAGGTGTGATAGGGCTGGGGATGACATCCTTGGAGGTGATGGCTGCATTGCTGATGATTTCATGTTAGTATTTCAGGAAGGAGATGATTTGTCAAGAAATATGTCGTATAAAATTACCTAGGTATAAGGGATAAATAAGGGGCTTTGTGCAAAGCGGTACTAGGCCAAGCCTATCGGAAGAAGCACCAACTGAAATACAAGTGAACTTGATCTAAGATAGTAGCAAATCGCATCTACCTTCACTCTCAAAAGATAAGGTAGCCATATATTGGCATGAGAACTGAAATATACTTACTTCATAGCAGCTCTCTTGCGAAGAACACTGGGTGCCTCTGGCAAAGGCGTCCGGCCATTTTTATTTTCCAGACGGGGACGGGTAGTAGTTGTAAGTTGAGATGGTTCTGGATTGTTTTTGCGATTCATCTTTACCTAGTAGTTATCCGAAAGACTATCGAGGGTGTGTAAAATAGTTGGTTGCGTTGTGGAGCTGAAATCTTGAAAATTCCTATTGTAACGGGAGGCAGGCGTTGTATCCAGCTCGTCGCCTTACTAGTGGTTACTATGGTCGCGTTGAGCTGTAGACGCGCTGTCGAGTTGCTTAGGTGATTAATCGTCAGGCGGTCTACGGGTGTCATTGTCGAGGTCATGCAGAAAACTTGGAGTGTTCGTACTTCAAGGCCAGATAACTATTTTTTTCAATATTCCGTTATTTCATACTTTTTTAAAGCACCACTAGAGGAAATATATACAAGCAATAAATACAGATAGCTCTACCTAAATTATTTGCGAAAAGCTCCCATCATAAATTAATATGTTGTTATTAGACATATGGTGATTTCCTATATACAAATAAAGCTACGGGGTGTTTTACGGAGGCAATGGGAGTTACTAGAGACGTAGCAACTGTGAAATTTCATTATTAAACTGCGTATATAGAATCGATCACCGATTCGTGGCTCAATTTCATAAATAGAGGTTAGATAAAAGCCGCATACACAAGGATGCAACGTTGATGCTAAATAGGACAAAGGTAGGTATATATGCCTACCTAACCTAAGGTAGGTATGTTAGGTTACGGTTTGATTACGTACCTAGGTACCTCAACAATCACCTTATTATCAAGGTAAGAGTTATTTCCTCTTTCCTTTCGTACTTAGTTTCCCCTTTATGCCCTCTGAGCTTTTGACGTGGATCTTGCTTTCTGTGGGTTGTATAAAAGAGCTTACCGGCTTTTGCTGGGGAACGAGATGTAGAAACGAAGATCTTCCACATAATTTTCTATTATATCAAAACACCTGACGTTAAGGGGATATATGCCTAAGGTGGGAGAAATGAGTAAGGTGATGAAAATGGGGTTGAAAGGCCGTTGATAAGGTCTCTATAACTGGTCCTTTGTACAAAATTCCACCCTCACGGCCATTCAATTTCCTACTAGCGGCTTTACAACTTGAAGATATTGTTATCAAGATCGTGGGAATTAAAAGCCGAGTCGGAATTTGATGTGATATTAATAGCATCAACCTTTACCTAGTACCGTATTACCGGGTCTCCGAGTACCTAGCCCGAGCGCAAACCGGGAGAGGCTTATGTATGGGTCCGATGTCCGATCGAAAGAATCTTGATCGAAATCATGACGTCAGAGCTTTTCACAGGGTCCGATCAGTCCGGAATAGGTCAACGCAGCATTGGTTCTCGGGTTTATGATAACAATTTAATTTAAAATAAAATAATATTTTGTGTAAAAACTTATATTCCATTGAAGGAGCCGTCGATGGATTTGGTTTAGTTAGAAAACGGCAACTCGACTCCCTCTTTTCTGCAGTCTCGAGCCCATCCTGTCGCTGAGTAATCGACCACGCGCCGAGACGATATAAGATTGTCTGATCGGGTTTGAGTGACTGTCGCTCAGTCTTCTCATTATACTTAAGAATAGCGTTTCAAAAATGAGCTCTTCAAGTATAACTCCCCCCTTCGGCTCGGGTGATTATGTCAAGTTCTTTGGTGCCGGAGCCCTTGCGGCAACCCTCACTCATGGGGCAAGTACCTACCTTACCTACTTAAGATAACTAGAAGCCATGATCGTATCTAACAATAATGGAGGCCGCAACCCCCATTGATGTAGTCAAAACGAGAATCCAGGTAGACGATTCAATGAAAGGGCTCAACATGGTTAGGGCTGCCCGGCAAATAGTAGCCAAAGAGGGTGCTTCGGCTCTATTGACAGGCTTTGGGCCTACTGCCGTCGGCTATCTAGTCCAGGGCGGTGGCAAGTTTGCAGGATACGAGTTCTTCAAGAAGAAATTTATCGACATGACGGGTTCTCAGGAGAAAGCAACGCAGCGGCGCACTGCCATTTACCTAGGCGCCAGCGCGACGGCAGAGTTCTTCGCCGACATTGCGCTATGTCCGCTCGAGGCTACGCGTATCCGCCTTGTTTCTCAACGTGGTTTCGCATCCGGGCTTACGTCCGGCTTCATGCGTCTAGCTAGGGAAGAAGGTATACGGGGATTCTACTCGGGATTCATACCGCTGTTGTTTAAGCAGGTACCGTACGCGGTGGGTCAGTTTTCCGTACACGAGGCGGCAGTCGAGGTCATATACCGCAGCATGGGACCCGAGAGGAAAGCCAAGATGACTCAATTGCAATCCACAGGAGTAGAACTAAGCTCCGGTGTTGTAGCTGGTGTTGCAGCTGCAGTTCTCTCCCATCCGGCTGATACTCTGCTGTCAGCTATCAACAAGGGTGCGGGCGATCCGAAACAAGGTGTGACAAGTAGAATGTTCACACTCGCAAAGGAGTTCGGTCCTAGGAGATTATTACTATCAGGCTTGGGTCCTCGAATAGTAATGACGTGCGGTCTGGTTGCTGGTCAATTTGTTATTTACGCTCAGTGCAAGACTCTCGTAGGCGCACCGCCGGGCATAGAGATACACAAGGAAGAGTAGCTAAATTCAAGACGATATAGATATGATAGATCTAGATTTACCTTAATATAGTAATACGTAGCCGTTGGTCTCTGGAAGATTCGAGTGTGAACTGAGGGGGGGCTTGTTCTTTATCTAATTCGCCCTTGAGTCGGCCAGATGCCCATTGTTTTCCAGAATCCTCTACCATCCAGTATTCTCCCCAGCGAAGACGTATCTCTTGGGAGTGCCCTTACGCCCTCTTCTACCATGAGCTCGCCAACCCAATTCAGCAACTCCGTCTGCCTCTCGACCTTGGCGGTCGATGTGTCAACTTGACCGACGCCAACCTCGGTGCTTCGCAAAGTTTGGATTGCCCAGTCTTGTACTAAATCCCACCAGTCGTAGACATGCATGTCACACAGAAGCCACCGTTTCTTAGGGGTAAAATTTCGGTGTAGTGCGACGACGGCTCTGGCGACGTCCTCACCATGTATGACATGTAGTGCGCCTTTCCCCTTTAAATCGGACTTCGACTTCACCACGCGGTCTACCCAATCCCGCGGCTGGCGGGCATTTCCGTACAGTCCGGCGAGGTTCAGTACGGCGCCCTCGGAACATGCCATCAACTCATCTTCGGCTATGGCACGGGAGTCGGCATGTTCGTAGGGTGACGATTCGTCCTGCCATTTTGGAGCCGTCCAAATACTTGTAGCGCCTAGTTGTATAAAGTGTGGTTTGGAGCGACCGGACTTCTGATGTGTGGATTCGTACATGCGTACCAGATGCTCTGCTTGGCCTTCTCCCTGGAGTGGAAATGTGATTAGTATGGTCTTGGCGATGGGTAGCACCTCGAACGGCCCCGCGTCACTCGATTTGGGATCGAACTTGAATCGAATCGTGTCATCTCGGCCGTCCGTAGTTGTAGCAGCATACTTAATCTGCTCGCGTTTTAGGAGCGGAATAAGAAATGTTGAAGTCCAACCCGCTCCCAATATGAGTAGGCCGACGCCCTCATACGCGCCCTCATCTATGGACTTCGATATCTGCATATTGTACTTTGGACTGGATATGGCGGTTCAAAATATCTACCTCTCATGTACCTTTTTCGAGAGATGGATAAAGGAAATGAGGTATGTTTCCAGCACACGCATGGAGGTGGAAGCTTTCGAATATCCGGCAACTTAAATTGGCGAGATCTGGGCCTCTCTTAGGAGGTACCTATGTACTCCGATGAGCCGACCCTATCGATTACCTACCTCACCTCTTAAAGGTCATGGAAGGTTTCGTAAATGCTTGTAGTTACCCATTTTTATTTTTATTCTTATTTTCATTTTTAAAATCCTCGCGCCTCATATTCATGTTGCCTTTCGCTCAATAAATATGAGCTATTTGCCAGGAATCAGGACTAGAATTCAAATCCACGATTTAGATGTAAGAAGATCGACTTCATCTAGGTACACTTAACTACGATGACGCCTTCTCCTCATCCCCGTAAAGCTTCATCGCAACATCGTTTCTTGCGTAGAAAGTTGACATTCGGTACTTGGTTTCCCCGCGATACTGTTCCAGCTCTTCAAGTGCCTGCTTACCCTCGCGCTCTATTGTTTGGCGAATCTCTTCACTACGTGGCGTGATGCTGCACTCGAATGGCTGCGGCCGCATATTGAGTCCATTCCTGCATGCGTGTCGTTAGTTTTATATATATTGCAAGTCCCCCCTTTTTTTCTCTCCTTCTGTTGCACTTACGTATAATTGAAAATGTCCACATCAACCGTACTGCCGTCCGAACGCCTCTTCTTCTGAATGTTGAAGCCCCATAGTATCCTCGCAACAGTAATCCAAGTACCCTGTTCGGCCAGTGCTTGCCCCGAGCATACCCTGCGACCCCATCCAAAGGTCATATAACCCCTTTCTCCCGGGAACGGCCGGCTATCTGGATGTCCGGGGAGGAAACGGTTCGGGTTGAAACGATCCGGCTCGGGGAATTCGCGCTCATTATGGTGAATAGCCCATACGTTGCCCTGAATCCAGGTGCCCTTGGGAATCAGCCAACCTTTATAGTAGTCATCCTGCGTCGGCGCATGCGGTTGCCCTCCAATTATGGCAACCGAACGCCATCGGAAAACTTCCTTAACAAATGCTTTGACATAGGGGAGCTTTTCTTCGTCTTCCCAAGTCGGACTTCTGTAAGAGCCAACTACACGATCGAGCTCTTCCCACGCCGGTACTAGGGTCTCTGGAAAAGCGCAACACGCTAGAACAAACGTTATCAGCGTGCTGCTGCTAGTGTCGGACCCGGCGCCAAATAGATTCCCAGTTAGGGAGGAAATTTCGGCATCCCTAAGGTTATACTTTGGGCCTTCGGAGAATAGGTAGTGGACGAAAGAGTCCTCGTGGCCTTCCTTTTTAACTGCTTCGTCTGCTAAAGCGTGGAAGAAGTGAGTCCCACGTCTCTTACCTAACCCATACTTCCACGGTGCAATCGCGTTAGGGAACTTCGCAAGGAAAGGGAAAGTCTCCATGAGCATGGGAAAGGTCTTGCCAGGGACATTCAGGTCGGCAGCAAGGTGCATGACGGCGATGACTTCGGTGATAATAGGATCGCTCCAGCTTTCGACACGCCTTCCGAAAGCGATAATGGAGACAACACTCGTGGCGTACCGTTCGAAGTGCTTAACATAATCGTCGGGGGCTTTGAGTAAGTCATACGCAACGACGCGGCTCTCGTTATTTTGGAATTGGCGATACCTCCGGACGGACTGTACACCGACGCCCTGGTGCATGAGCTTACGGTGGACACGCCAACGGTCACGTTCTTCAGGACGCGTCGTATACATGTTGACCAAGTTATCTTGGCCGGCACCTAATTCCGCAAAGACCAACATCCGCGGCCGCGACGAGTAGACGCCTGCACGCTTCTCGAAAAGCTCCGAGGCCGTCCAAGCGTCGTTAATCCAAATTGTTGGGTTCCTATTCCGGAAGTTAGTTGTAAATCCACACCGGCGGCGGGATCCTCTCACCGTCCGATCCATATCGTGACAAGCGGCGCATCATATTTTTTAGATAGCTCTTCGAACCAAATCCATGGTTTCTTCTCCGGGAGCATAAAAGTATTTCCTACAACGGGCCAGGGAAATGGTCCAGGAGGCTAACGGCCACTCGGATTAGTTTTTACTGAACGGATACCTGCTACCGGAGTAACTGACCAATTTTGATCTCCTCCATAGCATGTAGCTGTAGTCAATTATCAGAGTGACGATTCCAATCACCAAAGTTGACATAACCAAATGCCACACCGAATATCGACCGAACACCCTAGTTCCATCCCCGGACCTCAGCTCGGCTGGGAAATGGTCGAATAACATCGTAATATGAGTAACTACGTATGCACCTCGAAGAAGGTGAGCTGGCAAGGGGTTGAGAGATCCAAATTTAGACAACAAGTGAGGTGAAGGGCATAAATACTTAGGTAACCATACTTGCTCAAGGGTCAAGGACCTGTCGGGGATGACGAGTCTTATTATGTTGGAATTGAATCAAGTAGACAAATAGCTATTACACACCTCGGGGCCCTGATTCGGCATTTATCCTTATGTTATGTTATTGGTTGATGGTAATCTGCCGAAGAAGAACGTGGAGTAGGCGACTACGATACTCCTCATTCAGCCATTGCTTATACTCCTTTTGGCCCCTACTTACCCGCTCTACTCCACCCCCGGATTCAGCTCGTAGACTACCTTAGGTAGTTTAGAGACATTGACACGTGCTGTTGTAACATTATGGCTGCTTATGGCTGCTTATGATGACCATCTTACCTGATCAGACATGGGTTAGGATTACGTAACTAGGATCATCGATATTGGTCAAGCTCATGGGAAAGATTTAATAACTGGATGGTCATTCACTTTGTTTACTAAATATATTTAATTCTTTTTCTATCCGCTCATCCAACTACTCACTTGTCTACCTACCTAGGTAGGTACCTATTCACTCGTCTCGTCCGTCATCTCCAATTCTAAAGCTTGCAAAAGATCATCGGCACTGGCATATTCGTGCATCCAACATTTCAGGATAACAGCCCCTGCCCAGATTTCACTAACGTCAGGGAATTCTCGTCTTTGAAATAAGTCATCAACCATCCTGTGATAGCTCACCATCTCCTCACTCGACCCAAAACGTCCTCCCGGCGCTCTGTAAGGCCAATGTCCTGTAAAGATTGTGTAAAGTATAGACGCAACGCTGAATAAATCCGTAGCGGGTGTTGATACCCACCCGGAGTTAGGGTCAAAGAAGCCCGCGTCTGGTAGGTTGTCACCAATCAACCCAAGTTTCTCACACGTTGAACCACCGAAATCACAAAGACAAATATCGAGAGATGTGGAAGTAGTGGCATAGACGAGGATATTTTCAGGGCGTAGATCAGAGTGTATCACCCCACGATGGTGTATGTATGCGATCGATTCGACTACTTGCCGGCACCATTTTCTTCGAAGAGCAGGGGAGATTTCGTCGTTTTTGTTATTGAGGTATTCTTGAAGATTTCCATGGCTAGCCTCAGCGAGGAGCAACCCGGACGGTAGTTCTGGTTTATCTTGCCATCCAAGATATCTCCAAAGATAATTAGTCATATAAACGATCCTATTAAAGTTGGTGAACTGACTTGACAATTCTAGGATGGTCTCCTAGCATTTCAAGGATCTGAGGTTCGGCTACAAAACCTTTGGCGATTCTATTGTTGAAATCCTCATTGCTCGTGACGCGAGGATGTTTTAAGATCACGCCGGGTTGGATTCGGGTTAACACCGAAGTTGAGCCTATGAAACATTCAGATAATATTGGACTAGGCATTGCTATAGATTGAAAACAAGAATATAAATTCTATGTTTCGGTAGTGAGATCGCGTCGCACAAGCCTGGAGGCGTTGTTTACTGTGAGATGTACCAAGGTACATCTCAACACGTGACTGATCGTCACGTGTCATTCAAACATTCAGAATCATCTTGAGTGTTTGTAAAAAAAAAATAATAATTCCTTTAGATAATAATTCCATCAATACATGAATTATTCAACATTTACCTTCTATTTTAAGTACAGGTACCTTGGTACATAAGCTCTTTTCGGAGTTTCTATATTTCCTCTGGCGACTGCTACATAGTGTACCGTCCATACCTCCGATTTAGGTAAGACAGCGTTTCCAACAAACACGAAACGGAAAAGGCTGTTTACTAGAAGAGCTATTCGTACTTTGGTTTGAACTAATCATCTAGTGTAATAGGGTCTAAATTAGCCCCTGAACCCCTGAATCCTTTACATTTATACCGGTTGCCTCAATAACAGGTTGTATATACGGGGTGTATCTGGCAAGGGCATCAGACTTATCAAGTGCTTGGAATTGTATAATTAAGGTTTATTTTCAAGGGTTTACTGTCTGATATTTCATTAAAGATGGTTCTGGTAGGGAGGAGTCTGAATAGCCTCGTTATGTCCGAGATTCACTTAAAAATCGAAAACCAATACTTTTTGTAAAAACTCCAAAGTTTGGACTTTGATTAGTAGAATCAACAGGCAAGTCAAAACCCCGCTTTACTTGCTGGGAACGCTGATGTAAGACTCAAAATATATGAGACCTGCGAGCACCTTCCCAGGCTGACAGGTAAGCATAAAAAATAACCAAAACAACATTAAGAAAACAACTATAATACAAGAATAATAACGAGGAAAAGATATCTAGGAGATCGACTCGTATAGATGGCCGCTCAGCCTCAGCTTCCTACCGTTCCAGAAGAGGTCACGGCCTCCTGGCTTGCGGAAGTACTGAAGATTAATATCAAGTCAACAGAGCTGAAAAAGATCTTGCCCGGTATGGCTACTAAGCTCTACGTTAACGTCAAGTACGAGGATAGTGTAGGCAAGGATGAGGCGACACTGAGGTCTGCTAACCTCTGTATCAAGGGTGGATTTAACCCAGACTTTGTCGAACAAGTGCCCTGGGTCGTCATGCTATATCAACGTGAGGTGGAATTCCTTAATCGCGTGGCTCCGTCCCTCGGCCATATTGATATCCCCAAAACTTGGTGGGCGGGATATAACTCCAGGCAAGGTATCGTGATAATGGACGACCTTTCTCAAAGCTGTGAATTTGGGCGGCCTACGGAGGACTGGCCTGTCACGCGGGTGCTTGCTGGTGTCGAACAGCTTGCGGCATTGCACGCGTCGACTTGGGGTGTTAAGCCAACAGACTACGCCTGGCTCACGTCAGATTACGATCAGGCCATCTTCACCCTGATGCAAACATTCGACGACGTCGTGCATGGTCCAGAGCGACCAGTTGTGCATGACTATCTCAAAGATCAAAAGCGCATCACTGAGGTTCTAAAGAAACACTTTGCTTCGAGAAACCCCAAGTTCCGATGTTTATTACACGGCGACGCGCATACTGGAAACACTTATCTCGACAAAGGTGTGCCTCGGTTCCTTGACTGGCAGACAATTCATATCGGGTCGGCTTTTCACGACGTAGCTTACTTCGTCGGTGGTGCTTTGAGTATCGAGGATAGAAGGACTTACGAGTACGAAATTTTAGATCACTATCTCGCCGCGTTGGAGAAACTAGGCGGCCCGGCGTTTTCGAGTAGGGACGAGGATATCTTGCGAGAATATCGCAAGTCATTCTTAGCGGGAATCGGCTGGATAATGTGCCCTTATGAGATGCAAACTAAACAGTGTGTTGACGCCATGGCTAGACGGTACTCGGCAGCACTGGATGACCACAAGACTTTGGAGCTTGTGGAGTCTCTGTGATGTTTAATGAGGCCTACGTATAATGTATCACGGGATTCAACGAACGTCGTCCCTGTTACGAGGCGGACCAAGAAGCTAGGAAACAACTTCGTTGTTCCGCGAGGGACTCTAAACTAGCTATAGGAGCCTACAGCTGTATATAATAACGGATTTATTTGTTCTAGATATCTCATCTAGGATCCTAACACTCCCGACTATGAATCTCTCACCCCCCTTTTTTTTTTACCTCCTCTCAGGTGCTCCATGGTAACCGAAGCATCCTCACCAGCTTCAATATCTTCAATAATCCTTCGCAATCTTTTACTATCCTAAAATAGAATGTAAATATCTTAACATGATTAATCTAAAAAAGTTCCTTATGGTATAGTTAAACTCACTGAATTAAATAAGATTCGAAGTCCTGAGAACTTGCTCCTGTGTTTAACATATCCACCCTCAGTCTCCTTCAAAGTGCCTTTTCTGTCGTGCTTTAACTGAGTATACACTATGTCCGCGAACCAGTAGCAGTTTGCTTTGGCAACGTGATAATGTGCCCGGGACTTGCTCCAAAAGGATATGACCTTTGCAAAGTAGCATAAACTGACTACTCCTAGGTCAAACTCCAAACAGCGTAGGAAATCGGATGCCGAATAGCACATCTCTTTCCACTTTTGTGTGAGTTTGACGTTGTTGTTCATTGCGCCGTTGTAGTTACCGCGCAAGAACCTCACAATCCACCATCCGTAGAGCCTAGGAACTTCGTGTAACTCACACCCAACGATAACTTCGTCCTCTTCGGGCCCTCTCTCAACAAATATTGTGCATTCCTGTCTCTGGAGCCCCAGACCGTTCCGTGGGCCAGACTTTTCTTGATCGTCATCTTTGCGCCGCTGCAAGGTTACCCTGAGATACTCGTGGAAAACAATCGAGTAATGGAAATTCTTCATGTGTTCTACCTTGACAACAAACCAGTCACTTAGGATTTTTTGATTTTTTATCGTCCCAGAGTACCACTGCTCGACAGAGTGAATCAACATTGTTTTGTCATGAGAAAACAACAGAGATGCTGCCTCAGATTCTGGAATTGCGACCGCTCCGAGATTTGCGTGTGAACTTGGGGAGGCTGATACCGGCAACAGGCTCTCGGCGTCAGATCGCATCTTGTGCAAACTAGAAAATAAAGTTTCTTGATTAGTTCTTATGTTATATTTACTTCTAATACTCTATTGTAGAAGGTATTTACTAAGTTTAACAAAATAATGTATTATTTTACAACAATGCTTATAAATTGGCGGGATAACTTTGCCCCCTTTAAATTTCGAGATTTCGTTTTTGTAACCTGTAAATCTTTCACACGAAACTTCGACACTGTCCTTGTTTTCTTAACAGCTAGCATATTACAGGGTTCTGATAGATTATTATACGTTATTATATGGTAAGATATGTTGTGTAACATCGTATTCTACATGCTTGGATTACAAAGCCCAAGCTTGATAACGAGGTGGTAATACATAGAGCCAGCCTTGCTTAGCTATCAGCTATGCGTTGAATAAACAATCATAAATATTAATCAAGAATATATATTCGTTTCCCTTTACTAGAACACAATTGTATTTCCATTAGATTTAAAGATCTTCCGTAACTAAGCACATGCAATACGTGGCAATACACATTTGCAATATTTTGTTCCGCTCATTCTACTTTAATCAACACACTATTACACATTTATACTTTACCATTCATTATTTGATTTATCATTCCCCCATATAATAGTAGCTTAAGATGAAGATTTCTAAACGTCTTACGATATTTACGCCCATAAGTGTTAATACTGAGGTGATCGAATATTTACTTCGTGAGAACAGAAGTAACGGCAATGAGTCCATAAGAATCTGGAGCGAGGCAAAACTTAAGGAACTGCAATTCGTTGGCGTACTTGTGAGTTGATTAGCTGGAACTTTCGTATACCGCGTTGCGCTATTGGCGTTATGAAGCCAAGCAGCTAATATTTTGAGTACTCGCTTTCTTTAGGGCGCACTCATGGCAAGTTTACTGTGCAGTGCATTTACTTGGCCGCTCGCAAACAACACAATCTGGGTAGTGACATCTCTATGGTACAGTGGCTTGGTCTTTATTCTAGCCAGTGTTGCAACAGCCACGCAGCAAAGCATCACCCTCAGCCGTTTCTCTTGTCTTGAACCGGAGGAACACGCGAAATACATCAAGGGCATACTTGCTCGTGATGATGGGAACTCAGGATTGGTTCCTCGAACCGGTATAAGTTTTGTCATGCAAATCCCGGTCATGATGCTCCGGTTTGGTATTTATTTCTTTATGGCTGGCTTGGGTGCCTTGCTTGGATACACAGCCTGGGAGAAAGGCAACGTCTTTTCATCTGAAACTAAGGTCAGTTCGTATTATAGTACCATTAACCAACAAGACATCCCGAGCACTTCAATACACAATACACGTAGCTAATCATGCTAGAAAGACTGCGACGATGTTTGCTGTAATTACTATATTCGCTATATGCTGCCATACGGCTTCGGTAGTTTTGATTTATACGCGTTGGGAAATATGACACTACCCGCATTGCCCGAATTTATGAGGGTTATTGTCTCAGGCTACCTTTTTCGAAAGAGGAAGCTCGTCTATGCCAGCCAGCGAGTTCGATAAGCCAAGTCAAGCGAAATAACCGTGTAGACTTGACCGCTTATTGGCTAGCAAGGCTTACCTGGTTACCCTATCTTGGAACTGGCCTAGGAGCCCTTATAAAGCCATACCTAGCCACATGTCAAGCCACATCAGCAACACCACCAGAAAGGCGTCAAAAACCTAAGCTGCGCACCTTAAAAAGGATTAGTCATGTAAGGTTACTTCTAGAGTTTCATAAAATATTGTACAAATGTCATTTAACTCAATTTTGTAAACCAACCTTGGAACTTAACACTCAACTCACTCTCTTAATTACCTAATAACATCGTGAACCATTTACTTTTATTATGGCTTGCTATATTCCGTAACCGAAGCAGCGCTGAAATATTTCATAGCATTTGCGCGTTTAATCAAGTTGGGTGTAATATTAGTCTAGTAATGCCCCTAGAACTCCCGGTCCTCACTATTGCCGACGCAGCAGCGTGGTCAAGCTGGCTATTTCGTAGCGCTGGCACATCTAAGGGCGTCTGGTTGACCCTGGCCAAGAAGGGCGCAACAGCCCCAACCTCGCTCACGTATGCCCAAGCACTCGACGAAGCACTCTGCCACGGATGGATTGACGGACAGGCTCGCAAGGGCGATGGAGAGAACGCGCTTACATCCTATGCCCAGCGGTTTACGCCACGCGCGGCGCGGAGCATCTGGTCCAAGCGAAATGTAGAACACGTAGCACGTCTTGAACGCGAGGGCCGAATGACAGATGCGGGGCGACGCGTTATCGAGGCTGCTAAAGCAGACGGTCGCTGGGAAGCCGCATACGCGGGCCAGGCGACGGCAGAGCTACCGGAAGAGTTCCTCGTCGCGGTTGCGGCCGTACCCGCAGCACAAGCAGCCTTCGAGGCATTATCGCGACAGAATCGCTTCCTAATGTACTATCGCTTGAAATCGCTGAAGACTCAAGCTGGACGCGAGAAGAGGATTTCCGCATTTGTTGACATGTTAGCCCGCGGTGAGGTACCGTATTCGCAGAAACAATCCGTGCAGTCCTCGAGTCCGGCGGCGTTAAGTAGTGGATTAACTAGAAGAGAGAAGAAACCAACTGTATCTGACGTTCGCCAAGCAGTTCGAAGATCTGCGCGCGTGTCTCAACGCACAAGACGGCCTTCCTAACAGATAGGGGGTGCCATCAAGGACGTCGCAATATTATAAGGAGTCGACTTAAATAAGATGAACCGAGCCTTACCACCACATCAAGTCAGAGGTGAGGCTATTCCCACCTTTATTCACATTAAATACTACTTTTCATCTTCATCTCTACTTTTCTCGTCTATTAGATTACGGGCATATACGTTTTACTACTTCTTTCGCTGCGATCCGTGGTTCTCCACCCTTTTCTTGAATGCGACATATATGCTAGATCTGCTGTGAGGCATTCAGTCGATAACTCTCGCTTCTCTCCATCAACTCGCTATGGCTGCCCTTGTCTACAATTTTCCCTCCTTCCACAACTAAAATGACGTCGGCCTTCTGAATGGTATGAAGCCTATGAGTTATAGCAATCACCGTACTCCCCCGTGCAGCAAAGTTTTCGATCCCTAATCTAACAGCTCGTTCGCTCTCAGCATCCAAAGCGCTGGACGGTTCGTCAAGCAGTAGAAGACTCGGATGCCGTACCAGCGCACGTGCAACTGCCACCCTCTGCCGTTGACCCCCCGAAAGACGCGAACCATTCGGACCGCATTCTGTATCGTAACCCTGCGGAAGTCCCATAATGGTATCATGGATGTTTGCTATACGGCAAGCGTCCTCAATTTCGGCGTCGCTAGCCTCGTGACCTGGACGAGCACCGAGGCCGACGTTAAACTTGACGCTGCCATTGAATAATGCACTGTCTTGAGGGACGACTGCAATATTCTCGCGGAAATCGGCGTTACCGCCAAGGGAAATATCCATCCCATTTATCTCCACCGACCCCGCCGACGGGGAGTACATTCCCTGGATGAGACTCATGATAGTTGATTTTCCGGCCCCTGAAGGTCCTACGATGCCAAGAAATTGGCCCGGTTGAGCCGTAAAGGAAACCCCCCTAAGACTTGGTTGATCCGGTCGAGACGGATAGGCAAAAGAAACATTTCGGAATGCGACACTCGCGCCTTTGGATATTTCCGAGTTTATTCTCGGGGATTTACTCTCTGCTTCCGCTTCTATATCGCGGCCACTATTCCTATCCGTGGAATCGTTACCATCCGTTAAGGCAAGAATCTCCGAAGGTTTAGCAAGTCTTCTATCGCTTCCTAGATTAATAAGGCCTAGCGTCCTCGATGCTGCACTCTTGGCTCGTGAAAATTCAGGTGCGAGGGAAAACATCTGACCCCATAGAGTTGCACTAACCAGCATCGAGACTTGCACGATATAAAATTGCGTCTGGGTGTATTCGCCGCGCATGATAAGTTGCGAGCCCCACCAGTAAGATAGTGAGTAAATGAACAGGCCTGTGCTATTGGCGATCGAGAGGTAGAGACAGGCGTGTAATGCCTCTCCGATCATGCTCGCCCTCGGTTTTTTCAACGCTCTTCGGTACCTGTTAATTATTTCATCCTCTAACGAGAAACTCGCAACAGTTTTGATCTGGTTGACAGCCTCTACAGTGATGCCTATCGCCTTGACGAATGCTTTGTGGCTTCTTTCCTGATGCCGGGAAGTAGCTTGGATTTGAAGGATTCCAGCTCCGAGTAAGATAGGCACCATAGCTAAGCAGACGAGGGCGATTTTCCACGCGAAGGCATGGCTAATTATTATAGCAACGAAGAAGTTGATTAGGATAGAGAGCGCCGTAGCAATAATGCTCCCGCTGAACGCGGCTATCGAGGCGCCATCCTTTGTTATGATGGTGAGAAGAGACGACGGCGTTCGATTCTCGGAGTTATGCCATTCGACGCTCTGATCTAGTAATGTCCTGAAGCTTAGAATACGAACTCGATAGACCAGATTCTCCGATATTCTGCCAAAAACAGACCAGCTACCCACATTAGCAAGGAATTCAACGACGGCAAGCATAAAGACGAGGCCGCTGAAGAAGTAACCCAAGTATAGAATACTCGATGCGGTGGCGTCGCAGGCACTGAGAGCACTGACGGTGTGCCCAAATATCAGAGCCATTGCCGAAAACGTGCAGCCGACGACCATTGCACAAGGCACAGCAATAACAAACCAGCCGTAGTCAGGCCTAATTAGCCAACTCATGCCAGTCAGAACATCATTAGAGGAGAGAGACTCGCCAATTCCAGCCGGAGCAACCTTGTCAGGAGCGACTTGGGTATTCTCTTCTGCCAGCCTACTTTTCTCCAGCTGTAACTCTTTAGCTGCTGTATCGTCTAAAGATTCTACATCCGTATTATTCAGGGACGATAACTCCGAGGCCTTCCTTGTCGGATTGTCTAGGCCTTGTAAGGCAAGTAGATTTGCGAAAGCACCGCCCCGCTCTTGAAGTTCTTGGTATGTGCCTTGCTCAACTACTTCACCTCCTTGCATGACGATAACGTGATCGACGTGGGAGATTGTTGAGAGTCGATGTGCTATCGAGATAATTGTCCTGCCGGCGGCTATTCGGTCGATGCTTGCCTGGATTCTTTTCTCTGTCGCCGAATCTAACGACGCTGTGGCCTCGTCAAGAACCAGAACCTTGGGGTCCCGGATCAATGATCTGGCTAGAGCAATCCTTTGAGCTTGACCGCCGCTTACGAGCCCCATGCCAATCTTCGTACCAAATCCTTGATCGAGAGCGTTGATGAAAGTTAGATCAGCTAAATTGGCTGCCTTCTGGACCAGGTCGGCGATTTCCGCGATGGGCCCCCCTTTGCTGGCTGCCTCTTTTAAAATATCACCTGAATAGGTATTAACAAAATCCTCCAATTCAGCTCCCACGATTATCGATCTGAGGTTTTCATGTTCGGGTCGAGAGGAGTTCGCAAGGCCAAGAGCAATATTCTCAAAAATGGAGCGGCTAAAGAGCTGGGACTCCTGCTGGACTAAACTGACGTATCCTCTCAAGTTTCTGGGGCTTAACAGCTGTGTATCCACACCATCAAACGTGACAGTACCGTCCGTCGGCTTATACAGACGATTTATCAAAGCTGCAATAGTAGACTTTCCGCTACCGGACTGCCCGACGATAGCAGTATGCTTCCCTGCCGCAAAAGTCAAGTCCACATTGTTCAAGGCTAAGCTTTCGGGCCTAGACGGATACGTAAAAGATACACCGCGCATTTCAATGCAGCCAGGAGCATCCGAGGGGAGTTTCTCCCCAGAATTAACGTCAATGGGCAAATGATGGTCCATATCAGCCCTGATCCTCTCGTAAGCTGATGAAGCAGCTCCGAAAATTGGAAAAAGGGGCGCGAGTCCACCAAGAATTATACAGGCATCAACGAGTAAGAACACAACAGTATACACTTGGCCAAATGTCGCGTCTCCCTTTCCATTAACGGCGTCTGCGATCATGCGACTTCCTTGCCAGTAGGCTAAAGCATTGGAGCTGTACGCAATAAAGTATAGCAGACCGGCTTGTATACCAGCGACGACGCTTTTCTTCTTTGCGAATTTGTGTGCAAGCGCCATATGTTTCGAAAATTTAGCCTCGAGCCTTGGTCCTGCATCGAAAGCTCGGACGATGGTAATACGAGAGAGTGCCTCTGATGCTATAGATCCACCGGCGGCGAATGATGTGGCGGATTTCGCAGCGAATTTCTTGAAAAAGTAACTACCGGCAAAGGTTAAGGCTACGAATGCTGGGGTGAGCGAGAAAAGTATTGCCGCCAAGACAGGCTGTTTGATGAAAGCGACAATAAATGCCGTCACGAAGAAGCTTGATTGACCGAGGAATCTGCCAACTTTCTCGCTCGTGCCGGTCTGGATGGCTGTGAACTCGTCGTCTAGTCGAGCACTTATTTCGCCGGCGTGTTTATCATCGAAGAAGCTAACTTCCTGCCGCAAGATGTGCTGAAGGTAGCGATCCCTCAATCTATGCATTAATCGTTGGGACTGCACGTTCCAGCAAACTGTGTACAGATACACGAGAACGAACTGCGCGGCGGCGAGAGCAACAAGTTTTACAAGAATGCCATCAATAGTGCCCCTGTACTGGGTCGTGTCGATATTGGATCGAACATCACACGTCAATCCGTTGAGATTATTGACGAGTTCACCGAAAAGGATAGCTATGAGCGGGTAAGGGGTACCAGCGGCTATAGCGAAGATTGCGCCACCAATGACGAGACAGAGATCCAGCCATGTTGGATTAGAGAACAGAAGAAGATGGATGAAGGTAAAGAGCTTTCGACGTGCCTATCCGTACGGTTAGAGACTATACGAAGATCCAAGTGGAGGTGAATAGGTGTGCCCCGTAGTCATTACTTACCGGTTTGTCCTTCGAATTGTCAGTCCGACCTCCTTTTCCTTCCGCCATAGTTGATGATGCTTTTCTACGCAGAAGCTCACTTTCGCATGTTGTCTGATTGTTGCTGCTAGTAAATACAGAAAAAAGCAGCACTGTATATCAATATCATGCCTTAGAGGTACCCAACTCAATCCCCAGGCCGCGACCGGCCAGGAAATTGTGCGTAGAGCACCCAGGCAGCTTGGCACTTTCTGGGCACTGGGTGTCCCTCCTTTTTCCCCTGTATTATACGGTAGCTGCATGGGTAACATGGTAGTCGCCTACCGAGTAGGCACCGTTGTATCTTTTCGGATCTGATAAGAATAAGACGGATCTGATAACCATCAAAAGTGGAGACATGCCGATTCATCTACTAGCAGACTAGGTCCGATAATTTTTACGTAACTATCCCTTGCTATACCCCCTTTACTCTATAGATGCCGATTCAAGGAATACAAATTATTAGACTATCAGATAATTGCTACTACAAGTACACGATCTTCGTCTAACTAAACGCCTTGGCAGCTGATAAGATGATCTGATAAAATAGCAGTGGGTATCAATGTCACCGTTGCATCCTCTCCCCCACTCCCTACCCGACAACTCCCCTTTCCACATATCAGTACTCTCCGCCAAGATATTGTCGACCCTCCGAGCATCTATACTTATGACTTGGCATGCTTATATTTTGACGCGGTGGAGTCCAAGTGAGAAAATATTTCATACACTATGAAAACGTCTAATAGCTCCTACTTATTCTAGTAATTGCCCGCTGATCCTTCCAGGACACAACGCATTTCCTACACCTGCCCTTGTTACTAGCTCTTCATCTTCGTATGGCCTTTACTCTCTAGCATGTGAGAGATTTTCTCGGTAGCTGCTTTCGCTAGGACGAAGAATACCAGAGGATTGAATCTAGAAAGCGTAAAGAATAACAGTACGAAGTACAGAGCCATGGTTAAGAGAATTAAACAGGTTTCAGTATTATACCAAGAGGTCTAAGATGTACAAAGTATTCAATAAAGATATGATCTTGATCGTAAAATTAGAATATATCCAGGCACTTAAACGTCCGAAGAAGCTGCGTCTTCTAAGATAGCATCACTAGCCTTTTCGCTTGCCATGAAGAAAGAAATCAGTGGGAAGGTTCCTGGAGTCTCCGGGAAGGCCGAAGCATCCACTACCCTCAAGCTCTTCACACCCCTAACACGGAACCTGGAGTCCAAGACAGAGAGGGGATCATCGTCGCTGCCAATAGCAGCTGTGCTCGAAGCGTGGTGCCCATATGCCTGATCGCGAACGTACTGCCTCAACTGTTCCTGAGTTTTTACGTCCTCCCCGGGATAGACCTCCCTAGTTAAGCCGTCGAAACCCGGAATCGACTTGAAGATCTTACGCGTGAACTCAATACCATCAACTAGACCTTGCACATCCTTGTCCCCCCCATCCGCAAAATATTCAAAGTTTATCTCTGGAACCTCCCTCGGATCGGAACTGCGGAGTGTGACGGTACCGGCACGGTTTCGCGAGTGTGATTCTGATATAGTGTAGGTGTATACGTTTGTAGCCCCCTCGAGACCGGAGGTAAAATCAGTGTACGGTGGCAAATGGCCTATTACGGCGTCGGCTGAGCCATACAAGATTAGATCCCGCTCGCCAACGCGAGGAGTCACCGAGCTTGTTTTCAAGACGAAGTTGAAGAAACCAAGGGTCGACCAAGGGCCAGTTCCATTCTTTTCCCACCTTTCATAGCATGGGTTCACTTGGCCCTCGGGGACATTGCAGTCGTCCCAGAAAGTAAAATTGTTCGGGAACTCCTGGATAACGGGAACTTCGTAATGGTCCTGGAGATTCCTGCCAACCCCAGGTAGGTCCACGAGCACGGGGATGTTGTGCTTCTTCAGTTCGGCAGCCGGGCCAATGCCACTAAGTAAGAGGATTTGGGGGGTATTAAAAGCGCCTGCCGAAACAATGACTTCGCGCTTGGCCGCCGCAGTTCGACGTATTCCCGTATTATTTCTCGTCGCACGAGGATCAGCCATATAGATGCTTTCCCCTTCTAGATATTCCACTCCTGTTGCCCTTAGAGCATCGTCTAGCACCACCTTAGTAACGAGACTATCAAACCGGACAGTCAGCGGTAGGCCTTTTGCAACACCTTCGTTGACCCTAGAGCCCGATGAAAATCGACGGCCCCGCTCGTCTTTCTTGAAGCTGATCTGATATAAATCATTCTGAAGATCGCGGTCTGCGGATACCGCGTTGATATCTTGCTGGGCAATGACATCGAAGTCTTGCGAGATGGCCCTCGCTGCGAATCCCAAGGCGGCAGCAGAGCCTTGGGCTATCGCGAGTACCTGTGGCTCTTTCTCAAAAAGTGACTTGTCTCCAAGACCAACAGGCTGATACCCGGAAAATCCATGGCCAGGTGTCGAAGGTGGCAAGAAGAGATTGCGTTCAAGCCTTTCGAAATAGCCAAGCATGTGATCATGGGTCCAACTCGAATCACCAGTCAGATTCGCAATATTATCCCAGTCCCAGTCTGACGGCCTAACAGTAAGCCCGCCATTATGTGTGTCGCAACCTCCTAGCGTACCAGCCCGAGGATACCAGACTCCAAGGGGAGTTGACCCTTCCGGAGGATTTCGTCCGACCCAGTAGCTGCCATCTGGCTTCTTCCAAACCAGCTTATCGTTTCGAGCGGCTTGGGTTTCGTTGCTATAGTCTTTCACGTAAAACTCCCAAGATTGAGCGGGATCGAACTGGGCTTCCCCGATGAAAGCAGGAATCTGTTGATTATCCTTCCCAGTATAGTTTCTACCCGCCTCAAGAAGGAGTACGGACCACCCTGCTTGGGCCAAATTGACTGCCAAAGGCCCTCCTCCTGGACCCGAGCCGACAACAATATAGTCGAAATAGTCATCTTCGGAGGTCTGCGTGGAATTTTGATATGACGGAGCGGATAAGACCGAAGGAACAAGGAGAAGCAAGCTTGTTATAATTGAGGAGAGCATTTTGAAGATTGAGAACCGACGGTTCTATCTCCGAAGAAAGAGTCCAGTTATTGTTAGGGTAACTATGTAGAGTCTGGACATCACGACTGCGATATGAGATTATATACTCGAGTATCTCGTGCCAAAAATCACGTCACGAGTTCATTATAATATCGCAAACCCAGTGATGCAAACCCAATGCTGAAGCATGCTTATACCGATCTCGCAACATTAAGCAAGGGTAGCACCAAGGTCTAACTGGGACTTGCCTGCCTACGATGATGATCATGAAAATTTTTATTATCATAGCTGTTTATCCCAACGACATTGAAGCCCCTCTGCTAGACCCAAACCGGAGGTAAGGGCCCTCGAAGATACCGTTATTAGGCGAGTTCAAATGCCAGTACTAGGCCATGATGTCCCATTCTCTTAGGTCGGCTCGGTAGAGGAATGCGTTGGCATATGCAGCACTACGATGTATTCGCATCTAGCATATGGGCTCTCATGCACAATGATGATCTGATAAGATTAAGGTCACATCTTGGCCAGGGGTAAGAGTCGAGATCCACATAAACATACCGTTCCACCTCCTCAGGAGTGCCTAGTTTCTTAATATGTACGGGGGGGTCCACTACTGGGTACATTACTTACATGTTGCATCTACCGGAGGTCACTCGTGCGTCAAGGTAAACGCATCATCAGCGTTAATCCCTCAAAAATTTATACTGTGGACAATATGTTACGGCCTAGGCGATGTTAACCAGGGGATACGGTATAATTATGTATTAGCTGGGAATAGAATAATAGACAAATGGCAGTATTTGCAACATTCTAACGGGCCTTTTGGCAATCTAGGTCGATGGCATTAAAATAAGCACGAGCACCTTTCTTTTACTATGTCGCGTTTAAGCTATTCAGCTAGCAAATCTTAAAGGGGATGGGCATAATGTATTAATACCAAGCTATATGTGAGGAACTTCAGAAGTTCGGCTAATTGATAGGGCTTTCCCAAGAGCCATATGTATTAACAGAGCTTTGACGGCATAAGAATGTGACAGTAAGTCAACTAGGTTAGAGCTCTCTCTCTCACACACCCTCTCCCTTCTCACCTCAAACGTGACACCAGGAGTGGCTACGGCAACTACCACATAAATAAGTCGTTGAATGATATTTTCTGATGGTTAGCCATTCAGACGATCCCACCCCCTAGCACCCGATTGTTGCTCCTTGCCCAACTTTAATCAGACTTCAGTCGGAGTGGGAGATTTGATACGACGTCGGAAGCCTGTTCCCCCTGTGTCTTTGGCTTTTGGTTGTTTGAAAGGCGGTTAGATTTGCGCCTCTGAGGAACGAGAAATGGGCCTTTACTGGAACCGACGTAGTGTTGATTTGTTGTCTTGTCTGGTAGCGTATCGTGTTTCATGAAGTCCTCGTTGTTCATGATGAATTGGCTGGCGGTGCTGAAAGGGATGATGTCGCTCATGTTCTCGGGTTCAAGTTCTGGGCCTGCGTATGGTTGTTCTTGCTTGCTGATACGATTGTTGCAGATGTCTGCAAACTGCTGGACGAGGCGTGCCACTTCGCTGTCTTGGGTAGTGGGATGAAAGTTTTCTTCTCGTCGTCTCTTGAGACATTGCTCTCTGGCCTCAATGAAAAGATAGATGAGCTTGCTGAGTTCCCAATTAGAGAGGGACCGAACCCAGAGAACCTTGTCTTTGATAGCTCTGAGGAACATAGGTTGGAAGTCAAGATTGCCGATATCACATTTCTCGTCGTATTTAAATTCCATGTAGGCATCGATCATTGCTCGAAAGACTTTCTTCATTTGCTCTTGGGCGTCCCCAGTTGTAGCTCCGTCAGGGCCCCAGGCACCGAGGAGTGAGGTCTTAAGACCATTGGGAACCCTAATATAGGTCCACGAAAGTCCCTTGCTTGTGAGGATCGATTCGAAATGTTCCGTTGGAGCGTCCATGGCTGTCGTGATATTATACTGGATAAGGTGTTTGATGAGGACTACTGGATGGTGGAACGGTGTTCATAAGTTGTTGGGTAATATATCGAGGTAGAATTCATAAACAATTGAGTAGCTGAGCTGCGAGATAAAATTATTTATGTAAAGATTTTCATGGTTAAAGACGCAAGACCTGGGCAGTGGCAGTCTACAGGTACGTAAGTGCCATATGAGGCAAACGGACAGTTGCTAGGAAACGAATTCCCATGAGCTGTTCGATCGATTCATTACATGTTTGCCAGCAAGGTACCTACCTAGTTAAAGCATACATCAGGTAAAGTTTACATATGTAGTAGGTACGTATTGATATGGCGCATTGGAGTTTATAATATACCACAAACCTATATCTCTAATTGATTAACAGACCAATCTTCCATGCAGTGGGTGGTGTGACTAATTGCGAGTCCTTCGTGGTTACAAGTCCTTAATAGGTATTCTACCGGATGCGTCACGGAACCACACTGGAACCACACTGGAACTGCATGACTTCTGCAAAATTTCCAACTTTTTTTTTATTTTTATTTTAATATTTTGCTACTAACTGTTATCCTTCATTCGTTTATTTTCTAGGTAATACATGCTTGATCCTTATTATTGTTATTCATTATTTACCCAAGTAAAACGACCATCAGATTAAAACAATAGTCAGGAAGTGGTCTGCAAAAGAAACCATAGCACATCATCAGTCAAGCCCTATACTTGATCAACCTAGGTAATACCTCCAGAGTAACGAAGCAAAAGCAAATAATTAATGATTTTCCATGCTTGCCTCGACCGACGAAAACATGCGTTTATCCCCCGTGTGCGTATTTTTCAAGGTACGCAGCTGCAGAATTATCTAAGTAGGTGGTCAGGAAACTCTTTATACAACAGCGGAGCGTCAACCTACAGGATTTGACGCGACGGTCAATGTTTAGATTCATATAGGTCGGGCGAGCCTATCGGTATCAGTATCATCACGTCCATATTGGGATAATTATTCGAGCTGCATACAGTAGTGTCGGCGCCATTTTCCAGCCAGTCATGAATAGATTGCGCATCCCGAATTGTCGAGTTCCAGTACTCGGGTAAGACGTCGATGCAAGCTGTGAACGACAGTAGGCCATTCGACTGCGCAGACTGTAACTCCTGGCGTGTCTTTCTAATCCCCTCTAATTGCTTTTCAAGATCCTCCTTATCGCTAGTCTTCTTATTGATCTCGTGTTGAACTCCTATTTACGGAGAGATTAGCACACCCGAGCCACACAAATTATGAGTAGTATAGGAGCACAGCGCGTACGTTCAGCAGCAACTATTAGACTTAGAGATGCGGCTAGAGAAACGACTACGGTGATGAGGCCTCCAATCTGCAAACACGTAAGTGACTAGGCCGTAACTGAAATTCGCACCCCACGTACGAGAATCAACTGTTGGATAGGTTGAAAAATCGTCCCAAGGGTTGTTGCAACTGGTCTCGCCGCCCCTGCCACTGCTGCCATTGCAGTTTGAGCTGCCTTGATTTGATTCAACTGTTCAGTCAAGTCACTGATCTCCTTCTCTAGTTCTTTTATTTGGGATGTCACTTCTCCTTCTTTGCCGTCTGCCCACGAAGAGAAAGTCTCCGCAAAGGAGGTGACATCAGTTTTAACATTTGAGAACCGTTGTTGGATGTCTTTGGAGGTCTCCTCAAATCTTTTGGTACCCTGGAAGCTGTATGTCAATACCTATCCCTAAAGACATTCTTAACATATATATGGGTACGATACCAAAATGAAGCTCGCAATACGAGTCTTGCGTTCTTCGAGAGAGAAACTTCCATCCGCACAGTACTGCACGAGGATGGTATCGAAGCCTACGAAATGGTTAGAAGTAATATGGAAGATTTCTAGGGAATATTCCTGGAGGGGCCTGCTTACTTTTGCCATTCTGTGCGATGTCAGCCGCCAGTAACCTACTATCCCCCAGTACCTGGTTGTAATTCTGTTCACATGTGTATTAGTGTTATCAGTATTAGAAAGATTATGAAGTGACTCATAACTCTACCTTTCGAATGGAGGCTATAGTTTCTGCAAATCCTTGGTGATAGGATTCGTCCATAATAGATAACTTCGCCTGAATACTAAGGAGATTATTGTCAAAGTTTACCGCCGCTTGAGACTTCGAGCAGCGTAGAGCGCCTCTTCGACCGTGGGGCTACTACTAAGGAGATTCTCCGCGTGATACTATCATAGGACCGTAGATCTAGCTTCTATACCTTAATACTGTTGTCTGGGAAGGCAGAGCCACTCAATAATAAAGTCGATCTTGCTTTCTATCCCTTGGATTCATCGCGTACCGCCATAATAAGCTAGCTTAGTCACAAGTCCAGCAACTGATGAACACATTCGAAGCGGATTCTGGTATTTGATCCGGTTATAATTATCGTTTTCCCTTTAATGTCAACATCTCTTGGTAAAGGTGGCTCTTTAATAATTGTTGCCGCAAGGAAATTAAAAGATTTGCCCGCTTCTCGGCATCGACGAAAGCTAAGGTAGTCATGGTTTATCTCCTATACCATAAGTATTACCTATCAGGACTACAATGACTTCTTCACTCAAGAATACACATCGACAAATCGTTCAGAGTTTAGAAATCAATGTTCTCCTTTCAAGGATATCGGTAGCATTCCACTGTCCAACAATCCCGTCCCGCGAATCGCCTAGAAAGGGATCTTTCTCTGGCTTTGGGATATTCCATGAAGCTTCAAAGTCCCCCACGTCCTCTCCCCCGATAGAGAAGTCCCAGTGGCCGCAGTTTTGAGGGTAAGCACCCATCATCGTGAACCCCGAAAGCCGTATATTAGCTAAGGATTCCCGGGCATTAGGACCGGGTATCCCGCGTCCATCGCCTGGTGATAATAGACTAAATTCTGCGCTGGGACGAGTATCATATGTCTTATGAGCCACGCCGGCGGGAATTATGAAAACATCTCCAATGCTAGCCGTTACCTCGACCCCACCCTCTTCCTTCGCACTACCCCAGGTATTCTTATCAAAGTCAGGATCTGTATCGGCAACACCAAATCTAATGGTTGCCCTACCAGAAAGCACGACCATAGCTTCGTGGATTCGTGAATGGTAATGCGATGACTGAGTTGGGCCGTACCGAAATATCCATTGCGTTTTCCAGTGATTTTTATCGAGCGTGTCGTGGATAGCTTCCGGTCGACGTTTAGAGGGGTCGACCAGGAGTCCTTTATAATAAAGCAGAGGTTGTGGAGAATTAGGTATGAGGCGAGTAGGCGGAAGATAATATTTCTCAACTTCAACCATGTTCATATGGGGATAGTTTACCTGATAAACCGAATAGGTTCTATGATAGCAGAGACTTTCTCGGGTAAGTAATGGAGACCCTAGTTGTAAGTCGTACCTAGGTATGTAGGGTATGAATTTTATTCGTGAAATTCGAAGCCCCGCACTTTGATCAACAGCGACGGCATCTTTCATGACGACGTACATACTTGAGGCTTGGCACTTGACGTTATCTCGTAGTAAATACTTCGATTCGGCTTCGACGTATAAAGATTTCTATTTGCCGCAATTTACCTGATATTTATGTCTTAGATTAAGTGGTTTATGACAATATCAGTATTCTGTGAAAATTATTAACTAGGTAGTTACTCCTTTCTCTGTTCGAGTATGGGATATATGCTGGCTCGACATTAACTACTACCTAGCCCTGTGTCTTATTCAAATTTAAGTGTCATGTCTTAAATATAACCCGTCTTTATTTACTAGGTCGCATCGTAAACTGTTCAATCTCTATAAAAGTGGTTGTTAATTTTACTTGAGTAGCAACTATCGTATATCTATAACTTGATTGACTTAGAAACCCGTCAACTCCAAGTGTTCTCATTAAATTACCCATGATAACATGATCAAGATTTAAAACCTAAGAAAGAAGCATACTGGAACTTAGTCTTATCATCATTCTGGTTTATATTACAATATCACAATAGTTGATTGGTCTTTGAGATGGGTGAGACTCAGTATTAACGCGTATAGAGGTAACTATCTCTATAATCGACGATTAAACCCAATCCCTTTAGCTTATTCTATGGGCTAAAGACATAATAGACGAGGTTCAAGCGACCTGTCTTCCGAGATAAGGTGAATTGATATGAGTTGCCAAGCGCCGGCCGGCATCGGCCAACTCAGGCAAGATCTAGTGACATCAATCAAGGTCATTATCAAAGCTCCGTATCGCAGTTGTGGGGCTTGAATTTAGCATTAGTATAAGAGTATATCTCTCGTTAATGTAACACATAATCATTATTATGACAATATAGAAAAGTCACAACACTATGCTATACAGCATGTCGGCCTTTCTCGTCTCATTAGCTTTGCTAAGTTTATCCGTCGTTCTCATAAAGATATGGCATCATCATACCAAAAAGGCAAGCATCGTCGTGACGTTTACTATAACGAGTTCAAATATTGATAAAGTGACACAGCAAATCGACAAGTTACCTCATGAAAACGATGATAAAATTCGCCAACCTGGGCCTGATGTCAAACCTCTCGACAAGTTCGATTGGCAGACAACAGAGCCACATAAGTTTCGACCATTCAAGCCGATCTATCATATAACGATGGGTATGTGAAGAGCTCTTCAAAATAACCAATGCTGTCGTTTCGTAGAAAGCTCACGATAGTGTTACCCTATATAGCACTCAAGTCAACATCTCCGTCAGATCTCATAATTATCGATCGTAATTATTTGTCACGCATACAAGAGCGACAAGTCACAATGACCAAACATCAAAACCACACGCTGGGCTGTCTGCCTTCCGGTATTCAGGCCGTGAGGGAAACATATTCATATCTTCTAGATTACCTCCTAACTAGATATCCGACGCTCTTCGAACGGGATGGGAAACTCTTCCATAATCGGGTTACTGGTGCTTCCCTTCCGCTTCTGCCCCCTGATGACCCGGTAGTTGCGTTACGAAGCCTTGGTGAAACCGTTGAAGATGACATGTTCTTTCTACGCGAGACACCAGATGGGCATGAATGTGTTGGCTTCGTATGCTGCTGTCCAAGTGGCTTCGATCCAGCCAGTAAGATAGGAAAGCTACTGAAGGATATACATGAACCAGTTCCGTCATACGAAAAGATTGGTTTGAGTATGGAAAGATATTTTAGCCGTTTAGAAGTTGGGAAAAGCGTTTGCCGGGTCAATGTGAGTTATCTGCGAACCGAAGAGTTGTATAGGTACCACATACATACCTAACCTTAGGTTCACTAATATGAAAATGTAGTGGTCAATAACAACTAATTCTGAGTTATTCAATGTTTCTGGTAATCACGTCAACGAAGGAGACCAAGTTGAAGAAGATATTGAAGTGGACATCGAAGAGGTGAGAATCGCAATGCAATGTGAACATGTGAACATCCATTGAACAAGCACTAACTAATGGCCAGCAGACTCGGGTAAGAATGGAGTTACAAACGTTGACGCGGATGCCCAAGACGCGAGCGATACTTTTCTCCTTTAAGACGTATTTGTACCCTATCAAAGAGATCAAGGAAGAGGGGCTTGGACCAGATCTTGCTGATGCTATCCATGGATTGAAGAACGGTAATGCTCCAGGAATGTGGACTTATAAAGGAGGGGTACGTTGGGGGAGGAGTGTTTCTGAATATTTGAGATCGTAATCTTTGAGGGTTATAGGTGTAAGTGAATTCTGGTTGTATGTGAGCTAGAAGAGAAGAATAGGGGCTTTGTAGGCTAGGTACACTCAGCTCCAATGAACGGTTGGCCATGTGAGATAGGCTAGCGGGCTAGGTACCTCATGTACCTAAAGCAAGACCAATACATAGGTGACAGGCAGTATCGATAAGGTTATTTAAGGGGCCGCTAGGGCCGCTAAGGCCGCTAATACCCCGGTGGTTTCTCTTGCCCTGCTTGCGGATCCCTGCATGAGACCACCGCGCAATGGTAATGTCAGCTGTCGAAGCTCGGGCAGCCCCGGGCAATGGCGATCCTTGCCCGTACCTGCCATCGCTTTCAGAAAGAGGATTAGAAACTTCTCCCGACTTTGGTTGTAATTAATTTGTAGCAAGTCGGAAACATATTGCTTTGCGTAACATCAAATATACACCATCACCATCACGGCGGGAAGAGTGTCATTTCTACCCACTACGTCCGGTTTAGAACATTTCCCGAGCTTACCTATTGTCCACGAGCCGAACGACTTTATTCAATACTAATTGCTTTCGACGCTCCGTAGACTAAGACATCACCGCGACGCGAGACATGTTAACACGAAGACCGAGAGACGAGGTCCCTGCATAATCGCCCAAAGCCCACGTCTTTGTGGCCGTTGAACCCGTCTGCCCTACCCGTTACCGCAGTTAGGTCGACATAGCTACCGCTGTGCTATCTTTCACTATAATCGGCTATTTTATTCATGCTCCATCGCATTTGGTTAGGCGCCGATCGCCATCCTCGAGGCGTAATCTATTGTCCCAATTCAGTCAACGAACAAATTGTCACGTCTACAATATCTGTCGAAACGTGAATACAGAACACTCGGCGCCCTGGAAGGAGTGGGTGGTGCTGAAGACAGGTTGTAGGGGGTCATGCAGACAAATAAAGCCAAGGCCGAGGCGCTGGGGCGGAAAGCAAAGGTTAGTTAAAACTGGTGTATACGTCTTTTTCCTGGGGGTGTATTTTACATGCTTAATTGCTGACGGTACTTCGCATATTTACAGCTCGCCAATTCGTATCAGGAGTTACTCGAGTAAGTTCAAGTCCGGTTCTCCTTCGCGTAAATCATATGGGGTTAGGTACTGATATCTTCCGTCTCTCACAGCGAATTCTCGAACAAGGACTTAAAACATGTTGGAAATTACACCTTAGGGAGGTTAATAGGGAAGGGTTCCTTTGGAAAGGTCTATCTCGCAAACCATAGGCTTACGAATGGCTCCAAGGTTTGTCACGCTCAGGCTTTTCAAGCTTCGACCAGACCCTCCCCTAGAATCGGTCCTAATTGCAACAGGTCGTCCTCAAGTCAGCCAATAAGGATGATTCCAACCTCGCCCGAGAAATCCATCATCACCGGCAATTCGTCCACCCTCATATCGCGCGCCTGTACGAAATAATAGTAACCGAGTCCTTGGTATGGCTCGTGTTAGAGTACTGCCCAGGTATGCCGTAATTCACAGTACCGCGAGATAATATCATTATTGACCTAGCCTAGGCGACGAGCTCTATAATTACCTCCTTAATAATGGTCCTCTCCCTGCCGAAAAGGTACAGAGGATATTTACACAGCTCGTCGGTGCTGTTACCTACGTACATCAGCAGTCATGTGTCCATCGCGATCTTAAACTCGAAAACATCTTACTCGACAAACATGAGAACGTCAAGTTGGTCGACTTCGGGTTTACTCGCGAATACGAAGGCAAGTCCAACTATCTACAGACGTTCTGCGGTACGATATGTTACTCGGCGCCGGAGATGTTAAAAGGGGAGAAATATGCCGGCGAGAAAATAGATGTGTGGAGCCTAGGTGTAATTCTTTATGCGCTGCTGTGCGGCGAGCTGCCGTTCGACGACGACGACGATAATATAACGAGAACCAAGATCCTAACGGAGGAGCCAAAGTACCCGGGGCATCTTCCTCCTGACGCTGTTGCCCTAATCAAGCTCCTCCTCTCCAAACGGCCTCTATTAAGACCTACCCTACCCGAGATCCTTTCCCATGCATTTCTCGCGGAGTATGCTCCTCAACAGCAAGCAATTCTTAAGCTACACCAGCCTCCGCCATTCACTACACATCTGGAGAAGGACTGTCTACAGCGGATGCGAAGTGCCGGCGTGGATATTGATGCTGTTATCGAAAGCGTTCTAGCGCAACGATGCGACGTGCTGGCTGGTTGGTGGACACTATTGCTAGAAAAGGAGGAGAGGAAAGCTCGCCGGCGCGAGAGAAAAAGGAGAGAAAGGGAAGCCGAAAATAGAAATTCGCGGCGATTTTCCGCGGCATCTAGCAAGCTTGAACGCATGGCGCCGATCTTAGATGAGGACCCTAATGGCTCCGGGATACTAGGCGAACCGCCCATGCCCAGGATGAGAGGTCGTCCAGAAAGGAGAAGTACTGTGTACAGCGACTTCCAAGTCCCGGAATTGCCTAACTTGCCTGAGTCTCAAGTAAATACTCACCCGAACGCTGACGACGGTACTCCGCCGCCACCACCAGTGGACAAGGACTCTGTGCGATCGGCTAGCTCCTCTCGACAACGACGGCCAATACCACCGCCGAAAGAAGGCATCCTCCGGAGTGCGAGATCTAGAGGCTCCACCCTCCACCTTGTAACCACATCGGATGCATTAGGACATGAAACACAAGAGCTTCATCCACCACAAAAAGTACGCAGGAAGCCATCGCAGGCGATTGTCGCCACATGGAAGAACTGGACACACTGGATTGTCGAGAGTACAAGACGGCACAGACCCAATAAGCGAGGGAGCATGTCTACTCCTAACCTAGCCGCTAAAGACGGCCAGTCAGGTACCAGCAAGAATCCCAAGGATCCTAGTCCTCGACCTCACACGAGTAAGTATCCCGCCTCTTTACAAGGCGCTGCTGAGTTGAGCGGTGGGAACTCGCCGAATCTACCCAACGGGAATGTTAAAGGCATTGGGAGAAGCGACGGTAACCAAGTGAAGAAGCCTACGCCAACTCCGCTTTCGACGTCTTCCAACCAGGGACCGCATCGCATACCGTCCGGTACCTCATCATACAAACGCCAATCTTTATCTCCAAGCCCGATAACGCCGCGCTCTACGATGCGCCGCTCATCCATTGGTCTTCGAGGGCGAAAGTCGACTTCTTCCTCCCTATCCTCCATTCGAACGATGCCTCATCACCACCACTCGCACTCGAAGGCCAGTTCAACAAGCTCTACCGGATCCGTGTCGACAACGAGAACACCTGGGCGATCACCGCATCATTCGGTCAAAGTTCTCCCTGCCACGCCGACTAGCACGTCATTCCCGTCTAATATTCGTCTCGTCCGCGGACCAGCACTCGCGTTAACCTTTAACGAAGGCATGCCTTCATCTAAGTCGGCGCAAAATCCTCCCGGCTCTCCTAATCCGTTTATGTCGAATAGCCCCTCTGTGTTATTCGCGAAGCGCAAGCGAAATTTATTCAAAGGGCCCATGCTCGCTATTGGCAACTCATCGCGTGCCGGTCCTAGCTCTAGTAGTCATAGCCGGAATGCGAGTGCGAGCGGACTAGGGAGGAGGAGCGGCGAAATTACTATCCAAGAAGAGGACGAAGAAGCCGAAGAAGCAATATGTGATGTCGAGCCTGACGACGACGTCGAGGAAGTGGAGCATTTCAGTCCCATTCTGCAAGTCCCTGGAGAAAAGGTAGAGGAAATTTACGAAGGTGAGGCAGACTCTAAAGATGCTGCACTGAATTTTGGTGCCGCTGTTGGAACCGTCACAGCTGGTGAGCGTGATAGGGGATAACGACTTACTTGATGATACCCAGTGATAGCATGAACGCATTGTAGCGGAGCGAGTTCTTGTTGTTTTGACGGGATTCCCGGCCGTATTGTTATATACCTAGGTAGATATCTATCTTGGTATTTTTGTTTTCTAGGTTGTCAGCTGAGCGGTGAACAGCACACACGCGGCTCGGACTGTACAGCTTTGTTGTATTTTTGGTATCTATTACGTACGCTGTACGATTTTCGGAGGGAGAAGATGAGAAGATTAACCATATGTCAATCAGCTGATGTATGTCCTGGAATGACCGCAATTCTCGTTGTCTTGTACTAGAAGAGTTTGGTGGATTCTATTTGTTAACTCGGCTAACAACTTTGCTGCGAGCTTTCTGTGAACCAAATCCCTAACCTGTAGTTAAGGATCTCTACATAGAAAGCCCATGAGCTCACGGTAGCTCATAAATAGGTAGCTATATATACTTAATCCACAATGTTAATATTATTAGGTCATGGGGGTTTTTAACGTAATAGGCGGCTCAGTAATTCCTCCCCAGTTCTAACCCCCGGCATTGGCAGAACATCACATCAGAATAATTTGATACGGGTAAACAGATCCAACGCTTAGTTGGCGTTCAAGTGGCATTAAATATCTAAGCTAGCTTGAAAAAGCAAGAACACATTAGACATTAGTAGGCAACTTTACACTGCCCAAGCCTTTGCTTGCTAGAAACCTCAACAGCTGCAACCATTTAGTCGGACAGACCTGGAAAGCCAGCTCGCACGAAGCCGGTGAACTCTCCGTCTAAGAGCTTCTGCGACGTGTCTGTTAAGAGACGGATTCGGTACTTCTGAGACGCCTCATCGAGTAAGTACGCCCACGTCGTGAAGTTGTTCCACCCCAAAAACGTGCCATCCTGCCGGGTGCCGTTGGGGTAGTAATGCCAGTGAGGTTCGATGGGAGCGCCCCGAGCCACGGTCTTCGCGAAGATTAAACCGTCGTACTCGTGATAAATGTACTCTGATATGCTGAGGGGCTGGAATTGGCCGTTCAAGCTCACGGCTAACATCTCTGCGCTGCCGAACGCCTGGCATTGGATTTGAGGAACTGCTACATCTTTGATGTTGCTTATACCCAACTGTTTTATAGCGTTAGTATTCCAAGCAGGATTAACCTAGAGATGTAGCGAAGATTTCGTACCCAAGCAGAGGCAATCGTAACATCGGATATGTTGGTATAGCTGGCTTTGTTGCCGTCGATGTCTTTGTCGGTTGAGTCGGCGAAGATGTTGAATGGACCCGCAACGCTAGACGTCTGCCGAAAGAAGGGCCAGTTGCTACAAGAAAGCTCCTTGGGAACAACGGTGATGTCGGGGATAGCGCTAACGGCGATAGCCAGGGAAAGCGTTGGTAGTAGAGACCTCATTGTGTACGCTAACGAGTTTAATCCTGATCGATGAATTTGGCAAGAGGAATGTCGTCGTGATTCACAAGAGATGCCATCGTGAACGAGCTGGACCTCCCGGTGTCTTTATACGCGAATTTCCAAGTCCTAGTAGGATCTTGCACGTCGCTTTCGGGCCTAAGGCACATCGTGAGATACTAGGCCTGGTCACCGACTAAACTTCAAGGAGGTGCCATACCGAGTGAAGCCTAGAACTCCATTTCAGATTGTCCCTGTAACGTTGATTCCCATGCCAAGCATCGACACGAGCACATGTGCATTGTCCACTGGTCATAGAAACTATGCCGGCCCACCCGTAAGCGATGCGGAAATTACCCAGTGCGGCACAGCTAGTTCAGCTCTGTTCAGCTCATCGCCTAGAGATCTCGCTTTCGTGACGGTGTAGGCGCAACTTTGGCCACATGACTCTTATTTATTAACTGCGCCCCCAGATACCAAGTATTATGTCGAGGAATGACTCTATATTGAGTAATTCATAACATACGACTAATACATACCTCAAGATAATTCGAACTAACGTTGAGTTCTCGGGTCTTGGTTCCAACTTCTTTAACTACCTATAGAACATAGTATCCTCTCATACAGAGATATTTTTAGGCCAATTCAAGTGGTAATGTCACTATAAACTTACGACGAACCACCTGACTCGACTAAACTTCGTGTTGAGTGAGATCTTAGGGCTTGCATTAGAACTAAAATTTTCGGTCTACAATTGCTGGTGTAAATAATTATTGGTAGAACCTCAATTGATGCCTTCGAGGTGTCTTCCTCGCTTGTATTTTTTACATTGGTCGTAGCGCGGTGGCACACGTATTAATTAGATCAGTAATATAACTTATCTATGCTAAGACTCTAAATCCTCCATGCAAATCCTTTGAGCTATCTAGTACAATCTGTATTATATTACACTTGATACTATAGCCGCTGATACCTTAGGCCTTGACTATATACGTTCTAGATCAAAACCTCATCCTTACATGGGTTGGCTTCTTGAACGGCCTTGTTGTGCAAGTAACAGAATTGTAGCATAGTTCATACCTAGATGTTAATAAGTATGGTAACTAGATGCTAATGAAACTCTTCAATGTTCCATTCTTCATAGCAGAGACGTGCGAAGACTACCAAGCAATCAAACAAAAGGTCATATAACTACATCCACCCAGTTATATCTATACTAGGCTTATTTATCTTACACGCTTAAGTCTCAAAGATATCTATCACCTATTGATCTTCAATGAGATACCAATATAGCGTAACTCATAGGTACCCTATGGATGCGTCCCCTTAATTATAAAACTGAAGACATAGAACTTGGAACTTTGGAGCTTACGAGGAAAGAAGTATAGCCCACGATACCGAAATCGCCTGTGAATACCTAGACCCAAACCAAAAAAGTAGAAGGACGAAATATACCTAGAATATATAGATAGCACAAAGCCAGTGGCTTAGTGATATACGTCTGGAATCAAGTTCAGAGACTACATAGTAAAGTATTAAACACTGTCATTTATGAGTATCGCATGAGAGGTTGACTTAGATTACATAGGAACTCGATCATTATAAAACGGAATGATGAATTCAAAGTTATAATTGATTCGTAAACTAATATGGGACGAAAATATTAATAAGTCATAATGTGTTGATAGCCATTCATACCTGCCTTCACTGCCCAGGTAAGTATTATAGACTGAAGGTTCGTGAATGAGTTTCGACATAATTTATTAGAGATAGGTGATTTTAATAAGGTGCCTTAGGTTACGTAGAATGACGTGACAAAATGTGGCAGTTCCTGTGGCTGTATGGCTGTATCCTCTAACCATCAAGGTACCTACCTTTGTAGTATCTATGTAAACAATTATCGGAAGCTGTTACTAAATAGAAACCTACCAACTTCAACATCTTCCATATGGTCTATGCGGTTAATGTTGCTGGACTAACAACAACTCAATTAGCGTGTTCCTTTGCTTTAATCCTTAGATTTGGAAATGAAGTTATCTCTTTCGGTCTTGCTCCTTGGTAGTTCCCAAGTCCTGGGACTCGAGCTTCAGAAACCTATCAAAGCAGCTCAAGTTCCAAGTTCGGTCATTTCGTCCGCTTCCGACTCTAATGCGCCGGCCTATCGTGACGATTTAGTCTCCCTGCACAAGTCCCTCGTAGAGATTTCTTCGATTAGCGGTAACGAAAACGAGGTTGGAAAATTCTTGGTCGATTATCTCTCGGCGCGCGACTTTGTCGTCCAGCTCGAAGTTCTCCCACCGACTAATACTTCTAATCCTGGCAAGCCCCGCTTCAACGTCCTCGCCTGGCCGGGTCCCAACAGACACCCATCCCCAAAGGTGCTCGTTTCCAGCCATATCGATACTGTCCCACCCTTTATTCCCTACTCGCGAACCGATGCGGACCCCACCGCAGACACTGTGATCGCAGGCCGCGGTAGTGTCGACGCAAAAGCTAGTGTGGCCGCGCAGATCATTGCCCTCCAGTCTTTGCTCGAATCTGGTCGCATTGTTGGTAAGGAGGACTCTGTTATGCTTTTGTATGTGGTTGGGGAAGAGACGTCGGGTGATGGGATGCGGTTCTTTTCGGATACGCGTAGCCAATTGAGCCCTCCTCCCGACTTTAAGGCGGCCATCTTTGGCGAGCCAACCGAGGGTCGTCTTGTTTGCGGCCACAAGGGCATCTTTAGCTGCAACATCACAGTGAAAGGGCACGCGGGCCACAGCGGATATCCGTGGCTGGGCAAGAGTGCGACGGAGGTTCTGGCTCGCGGTCTGGTACGTGTCCTGGATACAGACCTAGGTAGCAGCGAAGAGTTTGGCAACACAACTGTAAACATCGGATTATTCGAGGGGGGCGTCGCTGCAAACGTGATTCCGGAGAGGGCGACAGCCCGGCTTGCGGTCCGCGTGGCCGTCGGTCCTGAGATTGGAGGCGAGAAGATCGTGGCGCAGCGACTGCAGGACGTCATGCGTAGCGTCGACGAGGACGCGTTTGAATTCGATTGCAACAGCGGTTATGGCGTGGTCAAGTGCGACTGCGACGTCGAGGGTAAGCCAGGAAATTCTACACTACTATCGTCTAGGCCGTCTAACTCTTAATACAGGCTTCGAAACTACCACCGTGAACTATGGAACGGACGTACACTACTTACAAGGCAACCACACACGATATCTATATGGACCGGGAACTATTTTTGTCGCGCACGGCCCGGACGAGGCGATCAAGCTTGGGGATTTGGAAACGGCGGTGGAGGATTTTAAGAAGCTCATCCTGCATGCTCTCGAAAGCTAAGCGGTTTGTGTCTGTGTCTGGGAGACTGGGGAAATTTAAGCATAGCTCTTCTAATTTGTTCATGTCCGCTAATTCGTACAACGTCATAGGATACCCAAGAGAGGAGATGGATGTCTTGGGCTGAACCACTAAGGTTATAATTCCTAACCGCAGAAAAGCCGGCCCTTTGATCTCTCCATGGTGTTCCTCGGTGCTAATTCTTGTTTTCAAACTGCCATGGGTCACCTTTCGGGGATGATGCCTTTGAAGTCGAAGGTCCCATCTGCTCCCTTCACGACAACACCGCGCTCCGTAACCACGGCATCGATCAACTCCGCCGGGGTCACATCGAATGCCGGGTTCCACACATCGATCCCTTGATGCGCGGTCGCTACACGCTCCGTACGACTAACGTCCACCTTTCCGTCTTTTCCTACTACAGCTCCGCTGATTTGCGTCAGCTCCTCCGGTTTTCGCTCCTCAATCTTAATCCCCGCGCCTGTCTCGGTTTGCAAATCGATACTCGTCGTCGGCGCTGCCACGATGAATTTCAGACCGTGATATTTGGCGAGTACAGCGAGCGTGTAAGTCCCCACCTTATTGGCTGTATCTCCATTGCGTACGACTCGGTCTGCACCTACAATGACGGCAGCAATGTTGTTCTCGGTCTTCTTGGTAGAGAACAGGGCGCCCGCCATGGAGTCCGTAATTAACGTGGAAGGAATGCCCTCGTACACTAGCTCGAAGGCGGTCAACCTGCTTCCTTGGTTGTATGGCCGAGTCTCGGTGCAGAAGGCGTGGTGTAGATGGCCGCCCGAGTGTAACGAGCGGATGATGCCGAGCGCTGTTCCGTGGCCTGATGTAGCGAGCGATCCCGTATTGCAATGTGTTAGGACTGACACTTTGCCATCGGAAGACTTGGTCGGTGCATTCTCGAGCAACCATTTGCTGCCATGCTTGCCTATGGAGAGGTTGGTCTCGGTATCCCTTCGAAAGATTTCTTCCGCGGCAGCTATATACGCATTGATGATCGCGTCACGTCCTGCCGCATCGTTCTCCTTGCCGGCTACATTCACGGATCGGATCGTGTTCTTAAGGTGGGTAATTGCATTGCTGAGATCTACGGCTGTCGGGCGCGATTGTTTAAGGTAATCTAGGCGAGAGTCGATGTAGGATATCGTCTCGTTTGCAGTCGAGGCCTCTATTCCGGATTAGTTATTTGATTGTCGTTGACCGCCGTGGAACCGAACTGGTAGGGCTGCAAGGGATACTTACTGCAACTTCCATTGTTCAGTTCGACTCCGTGTGCTAGGGCAGCTACAATAGCAATGGCCGGTGCACCCCTAACTCTCATAGATTTTATACTGTCGAATGCTTCCTCGCTCGTCGAGACCTGGTCGTAGTGGTGCTCGTGGGGTAATTTAAGCTGGTCGAGCACTTCGAGTTTACCCCGCGAGTATCGAATGGCTTGGAGGCCCGACATATTTCCTAATAAAGACGAATGTGTTGTTGAGATTGCCTGGGATTGCTTGGGATTGCCCGAGATTGATTTCTACGTGGAAAAACTATTCGATTGTAAAACTATGCGATTGTATTATTGAAATCAACCTGGCTGACCTAAGGATTTCGCCATCGCTATTAGATTGTCCCCCGTCGCATACATCAGTGCCATCCATATGGCGAAATATTTCCCTAAAATTCTGCCGGACCCCGCTATGTACAATACAAATATACAAATCCAAAATGTACCTAACCTAGATTTATGTTAACCAATAATTGGGCACCGTGGCTTGTCACCGCTCTCGGTCGGCTTTACTCCCTGAACCTTGTTACGCATTAGCGTGATGCTGGAGCTTAGAGGTATCGATAACCTCTTAGTTTAGGTACCTCTACATGTACCTATCGATATGGCGACTTGGTGATCCCGCGACAGCCTCAACATTTACACTGATACATACCCCTACATGCCTCTTAACCCAGACTAATACATAGACAATTGTTCACACTCTAGGGCGTTTATACCTATGCTACCATCGTTCTAATTCGTATATACAACGGAAATATCATTGTCACCCCAGCCATGAAATAGAGAGCGAATCTTTAAAGCTGTTCGCTATGGAACAGCCATTCTCTACCTCTAAAGTCACAGGTGCTTTCGTACATAACCTCCTTAAGCCATGCGCCGGCCTTGCTGATTTATTATAGTCGAGTATTTCGATCCCCATGATGTCTTTAAGCTTCTCGCACCCGGGCTAGTACCTCGACTCCCTCTGCGCAATCTCCATTGGCAATCCCATGCCGGACCCCTTCGTTCCATTGACACATTACACGTCGACCTCCTCCCGGCTGGTGACAAGAACTCCATCACTTCGCCTCTGTCCTCTCCGCCCCCTTCCCAACCACTAGAGAGCGCCGCTACTCGCGATGATGGCTTTCAGACTCAGATCGGAGCGACGTCTTCCTCCGACGCTGTCGACCAGACTGCAAATCGGAACAGTACACCCGCTCGACGGCATCAGATACCGGGGTTAAGGAGAACGCCCTATCTAAAGGTGTTTCTAGTACGGTGTGACGATAACGATTCTTATAAGGGGCATGTGAGACAGGAGATACGTGACTGGATTAAAACGAATACACCTTCCTCTAGCTCTAAGAGGAACACGGCCGAGAACCACGATGCCTTCGAATGGCTTATTGTTCATGTTGTTATACCGAATACCGTCGCTGCGACCCAACCCCGCGACTCGGGGTCTGTATCGGAGAAGAGCTCCGCCGCATCTAGGTGGAGGCCCGGGTCAAGCCCAATTCTCGAGAAGATGAGGTCTGACTTCAACACTTCTAGCAAAGGAACGGTGGATCGGATCGCCCAAATTCGTATTGGTGTTAACGATGTCCCGTATGATCTACTTCCGCGCGTGGTACCGGCTGTACCTAGTGGTTATACTGAAACAGAACAAGAGACGGAGAATTCCTGGACGGATCTCGTATCCAAGTTTCGCAGTCTCATTCTGTCCAGCTTTGACCTACGTGTTAGCCAATACGAGGAGGATATTAGGGAGAAGGACGCGCAGAGGACTTTGCCAGGATGGAACTTTTGCACGTTCTTCATTCTTAAGGAAGGACTAGCTCGGGGCTTCGAAAGTGTAGGCTTGGTGGAGGATGCGTTAGTGGGATACGATGAGTTAAGCGTGGGGCTCGATATGATTGTCAAAGACCAAACGTCGGCCGGATCTAGCTCTGCTACAAATGCGCTGCTAGGCTACACAGAGGAGCTGAAGAAAATCGCCCTCAAGGCCAGGGCGGCGGTCGCTGGGGTCGATGACGAGGACGAAGATGAACTAGTTGATTTGCAATCATCCCAGACCGAAGCTACTCAGCCGAAAGACGCATACGATGATATTCCAATCAGCTCTACGAAGAAGCCGTATCGAGATATGATCGTCGCCAACAATGTTTCCGTCTTCGACTTCAGATGTTATATCTTCGCGAGGCAAATTTCTCTCCTACTCCGGCTTGGGAATGCCTGGTCGACCAGAGAAGAACTGCTGGCAAAGCTCAAGGAACAGCAGGAGTCCGTTTTACACGGCGTTGCTCCTCGAGCACCACCCCCAAAACAAAAAGAAAATGAGCATGAAGATTTAACTATGCTTGCTGAGATCTGCCGACGGACGTTAGAATTCATACCGACGCTTTCACAAGTCATGAGGAATGATGTCTTTGCTGCATTATCTGACATGAGAAAGGAGGACGGAGATGAGACAGCAGTACTTTCTCAACCGGATCCTTTGGTTTCGGAGGTGGTTGATAATCTGGTGGCTTCTTTTGCATTTTCCATTGCGCAACAAATCCTAGCCCAGACGTCCACCAAAGCTTTGCCAATACCATCATCTACTTTGGCTTCTCCAGATTCCCACGAGCCAAAGTCAGCAATACCTGAACCAAAGACAATGATGCATCCAGCTAGAGGCTCGTCTCTGTCTATACGGACAAGCGGTACCGCCAATGTAGGCCGTCCGCCTCCAAGTCCAAACATTTTCTCTGGGCATCCACCGGGTGCTATAGGCGAGCACGGCCAGTCCGCATTTCTCAAGGCTGGGCTAGAAGAGCTCGCTGCTAGGAGAGCAGAGCTCTATATTCTATCCAGAAATATTCTTGCTGAATGCGGGAAGAAGCGGGGGTGGAAAGATGGTTGGGCTGACGTACCAGTCATAGGACAGACAAGCATGGTCGAAATGGTCGATATTGATCTTGGGGACAGCGATAACGACGAAAAGCCAGCAGCAGAGGATAATGATATACCGGCAGATAGAGAAGTTATTGTGTCGCTTTCGGGCATTGACAGTAAGCTTCTTAGGACGGCCCTTGACAACAGTGACGACTTCTACCGCCTTTATGAGACACTCACCGATAAAGCCTTGCGGCATTACACCGTTGCCGATCATCATCACTCGGTGCAGGCAAGCATGGCAGATATCGCAGTATTAAAATACTATCTTGGCGACTACAGCTCAGCTTCCTCTTACTTTTGGAGGACCACCCCCTTTTTTGGAGAAAGCGGTTGGAGCCTTCTCGAATTATCTATGTTGGTTATGTATTCAAAAAGCCTCAAGCAACTCCAACGAAAGGATGAGTATGCCAAGGTTATGCTGAAGCTTTTGACGAAAGCCGCCGCTGCTGAGAGAGATCGTCAGGCGCAGAAGTCAGGATTCCGAACACCAAATATGGATGATGTTGATTATCCGGATAGCGACGTTATCAAGGGATTCTTGGACGACCTGCTTGCAGCAACCAAGACTTTACCGAACGAATTACAAATATCACTTTCCAGCTTCTTCTCGGTTGTGGAAGTTGATGGCCCTCCTGAGTATCATCAGGGTCAGGACAGCATTTCCCTCAACCTAAAGGTGATGAGCCTGCTGGTGGATAACTTCAAAGTTGACTCGGCGAAAGTACGGGTTGTTAGTCCGGCCGGGAAATCGTCAAAGGAAATACGGTTTGAGCTCGCACAACCGGTAGTGATAAAGCCTGGCAAGAACAGGCTCAAGCTGAAGAGCAATGTGAGTCTATCCTTGTGAGTATCTAACTATGATCTCCCACTAATTATCATAGTCAACGATCCCGGGGACTTATGAGATCGATAAGATAGATCTTGTAGCTAGCAACTTGCGCCTTCATTACGAACGAGAGACGGGTCAACCGTTAAATAAAGACAACGATATTGTCCACTCCCCACATGTTGTCATTTATCACCAAGCCGATACGTTAGACGTGCGGTTACACGCATCAAATCATGTTCAATTAGATCGAAACAATACGGTAGACGTCGAGTTAGATCCCGGCTGGAATAATTTGGTAAATGCGGAAGTTCGAGTTAAGGCGGCTACGGGAGGGTTAAGACTACTTACCAGCGAAGCGAAGTGCGTCAGTTCTTCTATTAGCTTCTCTAAGCCACCGGAAGGAGGGTTGTTTTATTTTGATTCTATATCGAATAACGACATTGTCCGAATCCGATTCCCGTTCACGGTGGAGCAGGAGACACTTAACATATCTATACGCATCGATGTGTCTTATACTACTGAAAATGGCAAATTCTTCTTTTCGAAAACACCCACCGTCGATACCGCCCTGGCCCTCGGAGTCAATGTCCAAGATGTCTTTAAGCATAAAGCTCTCTACTCCCGCTTCACCGTGTCCACCGCGAATCACAGTCCTCTGCGCTTATTTAGGAGCGAACTCCTCAGCTCGGAAGTCTTCACTTCGGAATTTGGAGTGCCGCCTGGTGCGCCCGTCGTTATCTTCCCGAAACAGCCAGCTAGTCTACTGTACAAGATCACCCGCAATATTGATGTGAAGATTACACCAACGACTCAGAAGACCATGTATCTTAGGCTTCATTACAGCGTCTTACAAGAAGAGATCGAATCTCTATTTGAAAACTCAATAACTGAATCCCTGCAAGACAAACCGCTACGTCCATTCTCTCGGCTCCTATGCTCGATCTTGATTCCACATGTCCGGCATCATCTTACGGAACAAGAGCTTGAGCGCGCGGCTCTCCTCGGATCTGTTTCGACCGCATTCCTATCATCCATCGGCTGGGCTAAATACTTCACCGGCTTAGGCAAGGCACCCGACGGTACCGACTGCTCGCAGACCCTAACATCTTTCCTACGTGCGTGGCAAGCCGAAAATCCAAAGTTAGGTCTTACAACCTCGGTTCCCGCCGAGCCTAGATCAATACTTATTCCGGTTGACATACCATCGTTAACCATCGTACACACAACCGATATCCGACTCCGAGAATCCCCACAACCGTCCCCAGCGCTCCCCTCTAACCCATCGAGCCCAACTATCTCCGCCAATCAGCTACTGCCCGCGGCCTTGCATCTAAAGTGGACGCGAGTCTGGGACACAGACACGCCGCCCGCCGAGCAGACCGACCTCGAGTTCAGCTACGAGATCACCGCGCCCCAGGATACGTGGCTGCTAGGCGGTCGGCGCAAGGGCCACTTCGTCATCCCAGCACCCTCCTCGTCCAGCGAACCGAACTGTTACGAAAGCACCCCAGATACCGAAGCCGAGATCCCAATCCTCCTGATCCCGCTGCGCGAGGGCTGGCTCCCGTATCCCAACGTCGACATCCGCGAGGTGCGAGACCAGGAGAACACGGGTGCTACGACGCCTGGTGCCGAGAGCGCGAGAGCGGGACAGTTCGAGACCGACCTTAGGAACCTCGGCGAGACGGTGCGTGTGCTTGCCGATAGGGCGCGCGTCACGCTCAGTCTGGATGCTAGTGGTCCTGGGGGCGGGCCGTTGGTGTTGGATGTGGAGCGGTTGCCGGGGGTTGGTAGTGTTGGGGGAGGGTATGTGAAGGGGAGGGCTGTTGCATGATTATGAATGAGGTTTGGTGTTATTGGCTGTGTACCTACCTATGTATGCGTAATCTTGGAGCCGTAGAGTATCGTGAGATACCTGTTTATTTGGGGAGGCTCTCAAGTCGGATAGCTAGCTACCTATCTACATGTGTGGATTTATGAGGTAGTTTATCTAAGGAGCGCATAGCATGCGATGCGTACTTGCTATAGCCAGTTTAGCCAAGATATCAAGCTTACTCGAACCAGGTAGTTATGTCTTTAAGACTTTTGTGTGTTAGTAGTTTGTATGCCTAAGTACCTCTTAACCTACCTAGATACATGTAGCTATTTTTCATATAAGACGTGAGTCCTACCTAGTCCTAGTGATTCGTCAATCTCTATTTCGACAATGCAGTCCTAAATCGATTAGGGGAAGGGTATCGATTTTTTTTATTGTGACTACCTAAAGCAAACGCTCGCTATCGTTCTTTGTTCAGCGCATTCTCCTATCCGAACGGACATATTTGACCAGTCAGTTGATTCATAATCGACTTTTCGAACCATACAATCCCACCGCCGTCTTCTGATAATTTATCCTCTAAGTCCCGTTCTAATCTAATTAATTTCTCCCTCGAATCTCAAATTTCTAACAGTATAGCGCGTTCCGGAGAAATCATGAGAGAAAGCAAAGAAGTAGATATGCTTTAATTATGTTGGTTCAGCTCGTTACTCTGTTTAGGCGTCCAAATCGTCCAGCTTCGGTGGGTAGAAAGGATTCCACTTATCCATCTCGTGAATAGGTATTTTGCCCTCGGCCTTCCATTTAGCCTCTAGTCGTGCAATGGTTTCTCTGGTTTTATCCCAGTCGAGTTCCTTTTTTATCTTTTCAGTCTCACGCGCCCAATCATCGTCGCTATCATCGTCTTCTTCCGGAGAGGCCAAGAATGCCTCCCTAGCCTTAGTAAGCCTCCGAGAGGCCTCAATTCCTATGCATAGACGCGGGTCGAATCTCCCTAAGCCTTCCTCCTTTTTTTCGTCGCCCTCAGCCTTGGCTAAGGTTGCCAAAGCAGCGAGCCCTAAGTATCCGTGATACACGTCGGGAGGAGCACCGGGATGTTTTCCGAATCCGCCAATCATGTGTTGCGTCTTCTCTAGTATGAATTTCCTGGCGGGACCGCGATCGATGACCTGGCTTTCGCCGAGCATGAACAACGCACCGCTGACCCACCACGTATAGCACGTATCGGCGACCTTGTTCAGGCGACCATTGAAGCCAGCTATTTGAGGTGCATCTGATATAGCTAAGGCAGATATATCGGGTAGAGGGTGGTTCCTGGATTCATCACTTTCGTCGTCGGAATCGGGTTCGAGGTAGTCAAATTGGCGGCAAGCTAGGAAATGCACTAAGGACGGAATGGAGGGAATGCCGGCTCGAAGGTACCGATCCGGTTCCGTAGCCGCCTTTGGGTTGGTGAGGTCAAGAATGGATAGTGCTGCTACGGCACAATACACATATCCAGCATGACTTTCGTGTGTCGAACTCTCGCCTAGACCGCCATCGAAAGTTTGCCCTCGTCGTATGTGCGCCACAAGAGCATCAACGTTAAAGTCTTCGCCCGTCTCAGCTCCCGCAAGAGCCCACCTTATGGTAGCAGCCAAGTAGCAATACCGCATATCCCTTCCTCCCCCTACATATCCATCCTCGTCAATGATTTCGCCAAAGCTTCCGTCGTCCCTTTGCAATGTTTTGAGCCAGCGCAGAGTTTTTATGCGGTTTACTCCCTCGAATGCTTTTGAGCCGTCATCCTCGGCTAAAATGCCCAGCAGAAGTAGGGCAAAGTAGGTAGCAGCCATATTAGCATTGGCTGGGTCTAATGCGGATTCGACATTGTTAATAGCATCCCACTTGGTGGTATACTTTGCTGGTAGAACATGGTGAGGTGAACCGCAGAAACCACCTTGCGGGTGTTGTAGTGACAGAACCCAGGCTCTTAAGCGGGTACGATCTTCTCGGCTTATAAGAGAGGCTTTCAAGGGATCCTTTGGAGGTTCGGAGTATGAGGAAGGCGAGGATAGGAGGTCGAGAGCGGCGACTATGAAGAATCCGAGAGTAAGACGAATACTATCATTGCTCACGTAGTGATGAGGGAGTACAGAACGGAAACATCGTTGCCAGTAACGAATATGTCGGGCCGTATCGAGGGGAGGTTGAAGATCGGAAGAGGTCATTGTGCGCGTAGCTTGTTACGTATAGGAAGAATTGGGCATTGGAATTGGAAGTTGAAGAGGAGGAGAAAGAGGAAAGGAGAATGTATGAAGTGGAGGAATTACATGTAACTAACTAGAACTAATTACCTAAGGTGAGTTTAGTTAAGTTTACTTTAGCAAGTATATTCGAGTCCTGCTTTCCTATTACATACCTATTGTCGTTATCGCAGTGTAAATCGTTTTAACCTGCCCCTCCCCTTTCGATTACCTGCATCAGCCCTATAGCCCCGCCTGCCCCTCTATCCATGTGGCTGCGAAGGGAGCCACGACTATGTACGACCTACAGGTATGTACCTAGGTACTCAGGCATCAACATTTGTTAAGCTCTCGCGATAGGCGATAAGGATAAGCACGATAACTTACCCCAAACCCAATAATCCTGGACCCTGAAAATGGGAATCAATTAGCATTGCATGCCATCATCTGCACCATTTCCCCCTTCCAATCCCCAAACCTGACTCAAGACAACCCCCTCCAAGACCCAAAGGACCAAGGATTCTCTTTACATGCGTGTCGCAGGACGGCCGCCGTTCCATCGAGTCCGTCACACGAAGACCCGTTACTCTCGTCGACGTCTATGGAATTTACATCCGTCCCGCTCTCGTTCTCATTCCCCAACTATCTCTCCATCGACGGAGAACAGAATATTATCGTCGGCACTCGTTTCGAATAAGAATAAGAATAAGAACATCTACCTAACCTAATCTACTGTGGATACATCTATACCGTTACGAACGGGAACCCAACCATGGCGCTCATATCAGTCAAGACCATCCTGACATCCCTCTGCCTCTTCCACATCACCCTAGCCTACTTCTTCTACACGAATCCCAACGCCATCGCCGACCAAGCTCTCGTCTACGTGCTAGGCGAAGCCATGGGCATGGTAAGCTCCCCCCCTTTCCATCCCAACCAACGAGTGATGATCAAACCGCTAACAATCAACTCCCCAACAGCCCCAGACAGCCGCCTTCGCAAACCCCAGCGCCATCTCCTCCCTCCTCGGCGTCTTGCTCTTCATAACCGGACTCTCCGACCTACTCACCCTCTCTATGCCCGAAGAAGTATGGCTAATCCACCACTGGGGCGCGCAAGCACCCCTCCGCATCATCGTATTCGCCTCGCTATCGCTATTCGCATACTTCTCGACGCCGACCGCCGGCCGGTCCGGATCAAACCGCCTATCTCACCCGCTGACACCCCCCTCCGCATTTATCCCCGGCACCGTAGTTAGCGGTAGCGACGGCTTGCGCAACCGTGTCTTCTTCACCTTTGCCTTCCTCGAATTTATGAGCTGGTTCTGGGTCTGGGTCACGCTGAAGGAAGAATCTGCGACATTTCTCTCCCGCAAGAAGAGGAGGGGGAGCAGCAGTGGTGGTGAGGTTCTGCGGTAGATGGATAGAAGACTTAGAGCAAGGGAAGTGGATTGCGATACACGAGCAAATGTGGATAAACGAATGCATCCTTCAACTTTCGACCTGCGTGGCTTTTCTAGTCCAGATTTAGCTTTATTTTCTCCCTATTTTAGCCACGTTGTGTCGTACAGCGGATTCTTTAGAAGCATATTTTAGCGTGGGCATGGGCATGGGCATATGTTGTTGGCATTTCTACGGTATCGGGCTAAGACTTGCAAATTGGATCGAAAGACTGCTAGACAGAGAGATATGAAGGCATGGAAGATACCCTTTTCTTCACCAGCAAGTTGATTACGTTACGTAGCACTTATCCTAGGTGGTGGTCTCGTCTATGTTATGAATGTACGGTTACTTAAATGGGCACCTGATGTATTGCTTATTAACAATCGCGAATATCTGTACAAGCTATCGCAACTTTTATGTATGGCATCATAGTAGTACCGTATTATGCCTAACCACCCGTTGGCCAGAGTTAGGGCTCTATCCCCTTCCATATCTTCATTCTCAAGCCTACCCCTTAGATATCCTTCATTCACAAGATTTCTCCGACTCAAATATCAAGATCCAGGAGTCATTTTGGACCTAAACATGATTTCCAAGTTTTCGAAGAATACCATTCAGATATAAAAGAGGTAGACCAGGGATATGCAGAAATGCTACGGGATCGTAATTAGAGCCCTCTCGAGGCAGTAGAGTGAAGCTCGGATTGTAGCAAAGATCAAGATGAACAGGGCGGGGAGAGATCAGTCGAATCAGTCGAACCTGACAGCAGCCCAACCCTTCATGAGCTCGCGCCAAGACTCCCCAACCTTATCAGCCCATAGTTCACCGTTCGCCTTGGGGATGGCGGCTCTGATCTTGCTAGCTACCTCCTTCTTGAATTCCGGATCCTTATCATATACCGCAGTGTAATCACCAAAAACCCAGTCGCATAGTCGATCTCTCCAGCCGTCGACATTGCCCAGGTAGTCCTTAAGCAGCTTAATGCGAGCTTTGATCGTGTTCTCCGACTCGACGGCTGCAGCTGTCATCTTCTTGAGCTCGGGCGCGAGCCACGCGAGCTCAGCGGATGCGCGGGACTTCTCGGTATTCTTGAGTTTCTCAGAGATGCTTGTAAGGTAGTTCGCTGTATACTTGACGGCTAAGATGGATTCGCGTAGCATGCCCATAGCATGAAGAGCTGCGAAGCCGTGGAAAGCGTAAATCTTAGAGTGGATATTCTCAGGCACTTCTAAGAAATCTTTGGTTTGGCCTTGGAGGTTGTCTAGAACACCCTTGATAAAGAAGCGGTTGAGATCACGGGTTTCGTTAGTAGATGCCGAGAGGAATCCGTGTCCCAGAATATTCTTCACCGTGTTCGCGAGTCTCCATATAGTCCCATAATACCAATACTCAGGCGTCGTGAAAGAACCCTTTACCGACTCTTGTAACTTTCCTAGCTCAATTTTCTTATCTTCCGGAAGGCCCTTATCACCGATGGCTAAGAGACCTCTCATTTCCTCCTCCAGATGGGAACTAATAAGGAACGCATATTTCCAGTCGATTTGCGAAACTTGGCCTACTTTCGAAGGCTTGTACTCTTTTGGCTGTACGTAGCAGACAAAGTCAAGGAAGCGCTCGGCCATCAACCCAGCATGAGCACGGCCACCCTAACGTCACGATTAGAATTCAGCTCATAAGCATGATATCAAGGCCACAAACCGTTGGGAGCGGTCCATAGTTGACCAAAGTAAAAATAGGTTTCGACGGTGTACTATCCGGAATTGCAAAGATTCCGTAGTCGGTGATGTCCCGAATCATATGGCCAGGCGTTAGTTTCCCTATCTGGTCAGCATTCTCAACCTTCCTTAGCATCGGACAAAGAAAACATACGGACAAGAGGCTGGTCTTCTACGGGAGCCTCAATCTTTCCTGTTTTCATTCGTAGGCCTCGGCGTTCTTCCACAACGGCCATAACAAGAGTACAGCTTGCGGTTTGTTTTTCGGCATGCCGGATCATTTCCTGAATGCTGGAATAAGTTCCCATTTCCAGAGAATCCATAATTCTTCTGGGGGTCGTAGTCATAAGCCCCCTTGTGAAATGTACAAGGAAAGGTTCAACAGGGTTATCGCGATGAGAGCCCGTGACGAACAACCCTGGAGCGATGGATGATATGCGATCGACGAATAGAAGACCTAGAGAATCCAGGAGGGCATTCTTAACATCAAAGCGATCCCACAGAACCTTAGCTCGGGACACACAACCCATGAGAAGGTACAGCTTAACGAGTAAGATACGATGCGTACTGCTAACAGATGACGACGTCGTTAAACATGATTCCAGCCAGATAACGGCTTGTAGGAACAGTTGGATGTTCGCACGGTATAAAGAGTTGGTTCCCATCGGTGGAGATTCGGTAGCAAGCCCTGAGAGCCTTAGCAGACATGCAGCTCCGATTACTGCAATATCTGAGAAAGGGTTCTCGCCTTGACCAGATAGAATCTTCTCGCGAAAGTCAGCATCTTCCATTCCTGCCTTGTACGCATCAAGGGCATTGATTGCGATGGACTTGAGACAAGAGGCGCAGGTTCCACGTTCAATATTTCCGTTACAAAAGACACAACCAAGTACACTGCCTGTTGCCACTGCATATCGGATCCTCAAGTTTAGTGATGTCAACATGAAGCGTTGGAAGGCATCATCGCACTAAAACGTTAGGGTCAGTAACTTGCGGTACGAATACTAGTAGAGTTGGTAGTTACCTTAATGCTGGTGGTACGGAGAGATGTAATAAATGCGGCAACCTCTGGATTGCTCAGCTCTGCCATGAGCGTTAGCGCTTCGGCGAGGCAGCGAGCCTCATTATAATGCTGAACAACATGATTTGTGAGGTTAATGACCCGCGTGGTATAGCCATCGGATTCTGGGTCGGCTGGCGATTCTCGAGCGATTAGGATGGATAGAGAGAGAATGCTATGTGTTCTTTGGAAAATGGGTCTCGTGCTTTCTGCTCGGGTTAAAGCCTTGATCAGCTTATCAACTAGCTGGCGAACCTGTTTAAGGGCTCTGAGAAGAGGTTAATATCAACGTCCCTATAGGTATACGGAATAGACAAACTTGCCGCTTCCTATCAGACTGGTGTTTAGCTGCTTGGAAGATGGCCGTGAACAGCGCATATTCACAGCTTGCAGATATGTATGCTTGGTCCTTTAATGTTCGCAGAGGCCTAGCCTTTTCTATGGCTCGAACTAAGTCTTTCTTAACTGACGAGTCCTGCTTAGCTTCGGCTTCTGCGAGCTTCCGCAGGCTGATGACCTTTTCATCGTTTTCGATAGCCGAGGCTTCGACTTGGACTATACGGATGGCTTCTTCCAAGACCTCCTTTCCGATTTGAAAGATGTCGTCCCACGCTTTGTAGGTCTGTAGGTAACTTAGAACTATCCAGTAGGGTTCCTGTTGGCCAGCTTTCAGGAATGTTAAGGGACTATACTCAGGCTTCCTAAAAAGCTCCAAGTTTTCTTTCGGGCTACAATGGCTGATTCGAATATTTAACCACAGCCAAGCTTCGGATTCGTTATAGACGACACGACCATCGTTACCAGAAGTCTAATCGTTATAATCAGCACTTGTCCTCATAGCTATATTTTCTGCATCAAATCCTTACCATAGTCCGGAGGTCAAACGCTTTGTCGGCCTGCGCTTTTGCAAGCGACGCAAAGATCTTTCTGCTACCCTCGGGACATTCATCGGACAACTATTCAGGTTAGAAAGGTAGACTCAAAAATAGATAGGGCGAGAGTGTAAAATCTTACGGAATATTGGTGGGTGGCTAGGATATATCGAAATAAGAACCTTCGGTCGCTAGCAAAGTTCTTACTCAACGATGCCGCAATCTATATGGGTCAGTTAACGAGTTTGATATGCGGGCACGTAGAAGGAGATTACCTGTTGAGCATTCTTCCAGTCTGAATTCCAGACGCAAGCATTGAAGCATTGAGTGCATGACTTTTGGTCTTTCGGGAGGGCCTTCACCAGCCTTGCACGAAGCACACCGATAGTTTCCGAGTACTTAATGTCAGTCCGAGAGCAGGCAAACTCATACAAGTCCAGCGTATCAACATCAGATATGGTGATGTTGTCCTTAATCATCCTCTCAACTTCAACCTTTCCTGCACTGCGGTCGGCGACATTGTCGCTCTGAGATTTAGCAGCAATCTCGACGGCCTGGCAAGAAGTCAGCTATTGTACACGTAATAGAAAACACGCATAGCTTACCAAATAGTACGGGTCTTTTGTAGTTCTATAACGCTGCCTAGCCAAGTTCGCAGCGGTATTCCATTGCTCTTCGGCAAAGGCAGTTAGTAGACTGACGGGACCGGTGGGTTTGAGATTGATGGGCCGCGGGGTGGGTGGTATCAAGGGAGGCTTCATGGTGAATACGTGAGTGGTAGTCTTGTTTTTTTTTATTGTGGTGATAGGCTTTATTTTGCGTCTTTGTGGTGGTGAATCTAAAACCTACCCGTACGTTAGGTAGGCATCTATTTTTATGTTCGGTAGGTAGGTGCAATAGTTTCTAAGTGTGAGATTTTAAGGTGAGGGTTTGAAGAAGAAAGAAGAAATGACGGTGGAGTATCATTTCGGGTTGCAGGTGTATTAACCGTCTCGTAGGAGACCGAAGACCTTATCTACGTCGTTGGGACTACCGTCACCGGGCAGTCACGAATATGCTCATAATTGTTGTTTGCTGTTGCTTGTTGTTGCTTGTTGTCTACCTGGTACCTAAGGTATAGCATCTATAAGGCATCCTGCTCCAACACTGCTGCCCCCCCATTGTTCTTGTTAGATTCTGCCGCCGAGGTGGATTAGGGTTACTTCTAATTATTAAAATCGGTAGGCGGTGTGCATTAGTGCGCCCGGCTGTGACAGTGACACTCGCCTGTAACACTCGCCCTATATGAGGTAATATAGTGCACTGGCGCCTCAAGCTACATATTGTATTGAGGTTAGGTACATGCAGGTAGGACTCACCATTCACGCTACAGTCTTTAGGAATTAGTAATCGACATAAATCTGTTAGAACGGCATATACATAAAAATGTGTGAGTTACTACACCTTCATGTTCTTTGTTCGTGTATGTAGTCTCTCTGTCCTCTGTTTTACAGATATTATTACAACTATTTCTTACATAGGTACCCAGGTAGGTACCTAAGTAATCAATAGCAAAACGATAAACCTTGCTGCCTCAGTTCAAACCCCCCAAACGTCTGCCGGAGTTTAAGACTTTCACGTAAAACCTCAAGTCATGTAGACTTAGATGGGCCAAAGAATATGCTGCCACCTTCCCTCTTCCTTTTATTGGTCTTTCAGAAAATCAGGTCAGAAATATTGATAAGCTTAAGGTAGATTTATAAGTTATCCTTACCCATTCCTTTTTGCAAGCACGGTATGCCCTAGGCGGAGTCTCGCATTAGTATGGCCATATTTCTACATTCGTCTTCGGTCCTTGATCTCATTCTAATTCTTAAATCCCCAGGAAGCACTCACTCGAAGTAGTCGGTGCACATTTGCCTATCTCCCCCATTTCGGTTCAGACATCGGATACTTTTTGCTGCGGCTTCTTGACAAGGGTCAAAGAATTCGCTCTTGGATTTACTGTCGCAACCTCAGTTAGCAAGTGCCAATTAAGCTTGGATTTACCGTAGACTTGCTTCTGGAATTTGCGCTTCGTATCTTTATTCCATGGATCTTCGCTTGGTTCAGCTTGGGAAGACATGTTGGGCCATCAAACGTGCGGTTGCGACGTGAGAATCAATTAGGTTAGAAAAGTTCGGCCCATGAAGCGATGATGTATGTACGGATTAGATATTGAAAGCTTTCGCGCCGGATCTTCCCTAGAAGTACAGGGATTACCTGAGTGGGACCGTGGGTACGGGGTACGAAGGTACCTATCTCACATTCAGCTTAGACTTAGGTAAGCAGCTGAGTCATTTGATGTGGTCCTACATACAACATAGCACCTGCGTAGCCCCTATTTCATGTTCAGTGCTCCAATACTGGCACTTACATCGTCTCTACCAATTCGCCATGTAAGACAGCTAGAATCCGCCAAAGGAGTTGGCGATAATCAATATCGCGATATAGCATCTCTTAGGTGAGGGAAATAGATCATACTTGCCCTTAGTTCTCGCCTCACCACGTAGTTATCCAAGAACACTTCAAGAACATTGGTCTCATCTACACAAGGTCCTTACCGCGGCGAGATCGCTCTGTTTATAAACAAAAGTTACAATAGCCTTGGGCGAGAGGACTTTGACGTTGTGATGCTAACTGCAAGTCAAGGGTCTGGTCGAATATGGAGACTCTCTAAGCATATTTCATGGGTTCCTAAAGCCCTCAAAGCTATACCAATTGACTGGATCTTAAAAATTGCAGGCAATTATATGAAGGAGTTCTTTCTTCATCTTCAAGTAAGACCTAAAGAGCTTGATAGGCGATTACTGTTACTAATTGTTACTGAGTACCTAGGAAACCATGCAAGACACTAAAACCCTTATGGCAGCCGCAGCTTTGCCTGCCTCGGATGAGAAACAGCGTGCTATAGCTCACGAAATACTAAAATCTAAGCTTACATCACCGGAGAAGTCCCTCGATCGTGTATTTGATGATGTAACAACTATCACCGGTGCGGGATTCGAGACAACTGCCAGCGTTCTACGACTTAACTATCATTTTCTATGCGTTTAGCAATGCCAAGATTCTCCAGGAACTTCGAGCTGAAATTGGGTCTATGGATGCGGACCCAAGCGAGGTTGAGTCAAAGACCCTCGAACAACTACCGTATCTAACGTCTACATTGATGGAAGGCCTGCGATTAAGTCCGGCCATCGCCACACGTATGGCAGGCATTTCCCTAGATAAGGATCTCTTCTACGGTAACTGGCGGCTACCTGCCGGAACTCCTGTTTGAATAACATTAATACTAATGCATACGGATGACTCGCTCTATCCAAATCCTAAGCGCTTCAATCCAGATCGCTGTATGGATCCAGAATTTCGAAAAATGGTCGATAAAAAATTCGCACCTTTTTCAAGGGGGACAAGGATTTGCCTCGGAATGTAGTAAGTGCCTGCTTATGTTCTAGCCATAGCCGAGACAGCAGTCTTTTAATACTATAGATAAATCTAGCATGGGTTGAGTTGTACCCAGTCATTTCTACGCTTATCTATCGCTACAACTTCCAGTTCCAGGGCGCAATAGCCGAGGATTTCGAGTGTATCAGTGACCAATTTGCCATTGGCACCAGCGGTAGAGGTATTTTAAACGCCACCGTCACCACTCATGAAAGGTAGAATTGGAGAAGAATTGTTCGTCTGGTTACGTCAGGAGAAAATAGGGCTACCCCAGAGGATAGCTGCTATATGCTAGGTTCATATAAAGTGGGCGTCCCTCCCCCCCTATTCGCAAATAGGGTATAGGTTAAGATAGTCACCATAATATCACGGCAATACGTACCAAATCACTATCTCTCTGTGAAGACACGAGTCCTGACGGGTAAGCAGCATACTTGTACGCCTACACAGGGTTGACTATGAACGCGGTTATGACATTGCACCCGAATCTATCTTCTAGTTAGACCATCTATCATTTTCATATTACCCTATAAATAGATAGACGTAGGTAGTTTCGCCGTAGATACCATCCTTATCACTTCGCGAATCCTCATATATATCCATACTACGAGGGCCGAACAAATGTAAACGAAGCGCTAGATCCGTAAAGTTACCTGTCCGCCTGTCTGTATACGTGCCTAGGCTAGGTTACATATGTACCCAAGGTAGGTAGGTAGGTAAGGAAGTACCCGTCTGATGATGCCCGACAAGAAATTTGTAGTATACCTGCCGGTGGCCTATACCCTACTTGGCGGATTTAATAACAACTTTGGCCAATACAACACGATAAGACTTGATCGTATCCCCATCACCACATTGTTACACCAATCTATTGTGATAATAATGTGTCTCGTGTATTAGAATAGCATCATTACCTAACTAGGGCGTCTCATCACATCGGATTTTGGAAGGTCGAGTTTGCACTAACAGATATGAGCGTAGCATTAGATCACTCGTTAAACTGTCCATATAACTATCGATAGAAAGAGTCAAGTAGACTGCTATATGCGAAGTTTCTATGAGGTCGGTTGACTTGCACCATTGAAATATACACCCAAAGACATTTCAGCGATTGTTTGCGATACCCGATTACTATGTCCGGGGCCTTCAAGACCTATCGTACTAAGAGGCGTTATGAGAGATCGCTCGGCAACTCCTCAACTGCGTTATAATAGTGCCGGATCTCAGATATCGGATTATCTACGCAGTGTCGTTTAACTGACTCTAAATAAAATGTGGCTTGGCGAAATAGGTGGCGTATTTGGTCTGTCCAACTTTGGACTCGTATAGCCGCCGGCGTTTGGATGGTATACGGCCGGGATTACCGTGAAGCTTTCACTCGGTCCAAAGAGCGCTGGCGGCTGTTTAGGTACGTGCTGCCTAGGTAGCTACCAGCTTATATATTAAAAGCATATGTTACTAATGTGAGATCTGTTGTTTCTCCCCTAATTTCGAGCGAGACTGCGACTAGCTAGAAGGGAGCGAAGTAGGAGAAAAGTCTGCTGTCCCTCAAATCGCACCTATCTAACCTTCAAGGTTAATAGCAAATCTACCTACATCATTCCTTTAAGACTCCGGTAAGCAAATGCTAGATTTTGCCGGGGCTTTTTGCACGCTTGGGTAACACAAAGCCCCTTTTTGACTGAATAGAAACTTATTCATCCAAGACATGCATGAAATAGTTGCAGCCTGTGGCGGCGAGTATCTCGTAATGTAGTATTAATGATTGCTACCTACCTACGAAAGCATTGACCACAGGCCTACAGCCTTACACAACTCTGCGGAGCCGAGCTTGAGCCATAATAGATAAAGTATGGTTCGGCCGTGATCCTCTAGATAGTGAATAGGCTGGATAGGTTAGGTAGGCAGTATTGGAGATATCTCAAGTCGGCCACATGGGCGACGCACTTATGTTTTACATTTCGGTGACATGAAGTGACTTGTATTTTGCAGGCCACCAGCGGACGCTACACGGAGTTGACGAGCTGACGAGCTGACGAGCTGTCTCGGAAAATAGGCCGAAGGATCCCGTCCGACCATCATGTATTTCTGATTGGCCCCTGAAACAGTTCGAAGGATTCTTCCGCACAGAACCCAAACAGCGGATCCTCAAAATCTGCGGTCGGATTGCAGTACGCCCAATGAGGCGAGCAAGTCTTACAGGGGAAATCGGTGCCGAAAAAGCCTAGTCCGCCTGGGAACCTGGGGTTCGTGAGATTTGGTTCCCTAGTTTGGAGGTTGGGGGCCTGATGACAGGGGCTGTTGCGGCATCGAATTCTCGATTAGGGACTCAACTCCAATTCAGAAGCGAAAATAGTGAGCGTACATACATTAGGTACATATCGTGTAACACAGGCGGCAGGGCGGATCCTTCATGGCTCTTCTTATTCCTGTATATTTCCGTTTGTGCTCTTCGTCTATGCTCTCTTGAAATGTCAACTAAATGTTAACGAAATTCCACCGGTGCGGTGAACCCAGAGTCACCTGTATTATCATAAGCTAGAGGACATGATGTCGCCCAACAATATCCAAAACGAGCCCGCCGGTCTAGAAGTTGCCCCAGTGTCCGACTTACCATATGTCGTCGAGGGGCCGACTATCATAGAGAAGCCATACGACGGCACGCAGTATGTGTACGATCAACATGTACCCGTTTTCCAGGGCATGGTTCATCAGAATGCTTACTCGAACGGGGCATATCCTCCCCAAAGGTATCCTATTCCTAACCAGGGTCGACCATACTGGGGAGGATCTCAAGATGGCACATACCTCGCTGAAAAGACACCTCCTATACCACCAAGTGGCAAAAGAATATATGGATTAAAGGTGAAGACTTTCTGGCTAATCGTTGGCCCGATCACTGCCATCATCGTCATTGGTCTGGCAGTCGGCTTAGGTGTGGGATTGGCTACTTCACACAAATCGAGTTCAGGTTCTGAGTAAGCAATACTGGGCAATCTATTCACGACATTACGATACTTATACTAACACGCAAGCAGCGCAACTCCTACATCGTCACAACCCTCAAGCACAACTGGATCAACGTCAATCGCGTGTCCGCAGTCAAACGGGACGATATACGAAGGGGCCGGCAACGACCCGTTCCTGGTTCTCTGCAACGTGGACTACAACGGCAACTGGGAAGGCAGCGGAACCACAGACATTGGCAACGAAGAGACAAGTTCCGTCGAGGACTGCATCGATATGTGCGCGGGGAACTCAACCTGCGCCGGCGCGGGCTGGGGTAACTACAATGGACATAATGTCTGTTGGATGAAGGGAAAGTTGGGCTCACCGCAGGACTCCCCGAATTGGTTCTTCGTGATCAGGCAATAGGTTGGCTGGGTTAGGGAATTAATTACTAGAGGTCAGATCTGGTAATGGGTGTCTAAAAGAGCTGATGGAATGGGTGTTAGCACTGGATTTACTTCGTACTATGATATGGTTGATATTCGTTTTCTACGTATTTTTTGCGAGTATTGTACATATATACCCTCCATGATACCCTCTACAGGGGTTTAATACTGAAAACCCCTGGTATATCGAATCTAAGTTCTGATACGCTATGCTTTTCTATGAATTGGATTTTGAGGCCCCCAATGATGTTTCGAATGGCGTTTGATCCCTCTGCTTACACGTGCGGTCTTGTTCAACAGACGAAGCCAACATTACATTTAACACGACGTGAGCGTACGGAGCAAACACCTTTTCAACATGCGTACTCAAGCAACGAGAAATAGACTAGTCCGAAAGTAAAGAACTATTATATTTTGCTCACTGCGAATGCCCTTAATCTAAGTAGCTACCTACGTACATCTCTATGACGGCTATATACAACCCACCCATTTCATAACATACTCACTGGCTTTGAACCAAGCAAATTAATACAATCATAAACCTCCGTCCCTAAGTCACATAGCAAAAGCCTTGAATACATCTACGATAACCGAAAAGGGGTTCATATACGCCAGCGAACCGGCGCTGTTCGCTACATTGCTGGAGTTGTCGCCACTACAGATAAAGTTAGCAAAACGAGACAAAAAGGGGAAAATAAGAAAACCACATACCCGCAACTCCAGCTCGCAGCCTCATCCACATTCCCCGTACCATCCCACGTCGCCGTATCCGGATACGCACAAATCGGCCGCTGCCGCAGCACCCCCGACGACGGCTCCCGCTGGCTCTTCCACGTCGTAGCAACAACCTGATCGACCGGCTTCCCATTCTCCACCCAGTCGATAAGCGCGAGCAAGACGTCGTGCTGCGAGTCCGCGAACCCGGGCACCGAGTACGTGTCGTTCCCCAGGGAAGCGGCCTGGCTGGCGCCGCCGAGAGCCCACGGCGCGTCCACCGCTGTTAGTCCGCAGTGCTGCATCCCCGGGATCTCGAGGCGGCGGAAGAATTCGCGCGTGGCGTTTACGTCGCCGCCGCTCGTCGTGTCTACCGCGCGTTCGTAGTACAAGCTGCCGGCTGTGGTGGGGACCAGGCCGTCCGAGGCCCCGTGGTATAGCAGCATCTTGCCGCCGCGGTCGCGGAACGTCGTTAGGTTGTAGTCGTTGGCCGTGGCATTACCCGGGTCTAACATCTCGGCTAGCTGAAGTATCGAGTCGTTGTACTGCGATGCCTCCCACAGCGGGTTGTCTAAGAGGAAGTACCGGATGTATCCTAGACCGTACGGGCTTGCGTCCGAGTAGTTGAGTACCGTGTACATCTGGTTCTCGGACCCGGGGAGTAGTCCCGGCATCACGCGCTCGCCTGTTGAGTCAAGTGTAAACCCCGTGTACATCTTTTTCAAAGTGTCAATCTGCGCGTCGTTTAGACAATTGTCAGAATTGGCAAAGTCGGATGCCGCGGTACTGCTGCCATTACTACATTGTAGGGCGTCGTAGTTTACATTACACTGTTCTGGTAAGCTGATAATGCCGTCGGAGACGCCATCGATGTCGTCGCACTGGCGAACGACCTCGGCACCGATAGGCGGTAGCGTTTCCCAGTCGATATGCTTAGGGTCGTCAGCAGGCCAGTTATACATAGCAATTTTGCAGATCCAAGTATTAAGATGGCTTGTATACCAAGCCGGAGCGCCAACAAGCACTCCGTCAAAGCTACCGGGAGAAATCTGCACTTCCTTAAGCCCTTGCCGACCGCCCGTCGAGCATCCGCTATAGTATGAATGGCCGATGGGCTTTTCGTAATAGGTTGTGACAAGGGTTTTGCCTAATAGTACGGTACCATGTAGGGCGCGCCAACCCCAGTCCTCCTTCATCTCAGGATTGTTGAGAGCCCAGAGGATGTCGCCAGTCGTTGAGTTATGGCCTGTGTCCGTTGACACAACGGCAAAGCCGTACCTAACACCAGCGCCCATATCCAACCAGTTGATACCGCCTCCGAAACCTCCATTTCCGACGGCGAGGAAACGGCCGTTCCACTCTGCCGGTAGGAATATTCCGAACCTATACGATGAAACCGGTGACGAAGCGACAGATATGATAACGGCGCATAGTTCCGGCAAGTTCGTCGGCGGGATCGGATACATAAGATCTGTCAAAGGCTCGCCGAAGGTGCCTCCGGCGCTGACGTACTCGACCGTCTCTACTTTGGCTGCGGCCGGAAGTACGCTGGCGAAGGTCGCGGCATCGCAGCTCACGCCACCGACCTGCCTACGGCCGTTGTCGTTGTCGTTGTTTTCGCCGTCATGATTACTCTTCGCTAACGTAGAAGAAGCGAAAGTAGCAGCTAAGGCCGTCACCGCAAGGGTTCTAACGGAAAATTGGAGAAGGCCTGAGCACATCATCGCTAACATATCATGCCGCCACGCTGATTTGCAATGGAAACTGCTCTTTTGGAGAGTAAACGCTTACGTGTGCTACTTCAGGCTGAAGTTGAGATAATATATATGCCACCGGGAACACACGCCTATCAACATGCATCATCTATGTATATATTCGTCTTGATAAACCTACCGGCCACGCATGGCCAAGCTCGTGGGCCACCTTGGCATGGAAGAAGTTGTGGAAGGGAGGTTGGGGTACAAGTCACATACAAAGACTTTGGCTCAGCGTGGCATCCCTGTGTGACCATACCACTGGTGCTGCAAGTCTCGACCTAGCGAAACATTATCTGGGGTAAACTTGGAGATCTATATCCACTAGAATGGTATACGTTCCGGGGAATATAGTAGTGGAATAGTCTAGTCTGGTCGGTCTAGCTTACCTAGCCCAAGTCTGGCCAGGCCGTTTCTCCAAGTTGCTTATGACCTCGTGCCTTTGCTTCATTGTATTCATTGTCAAGTGCGGGGTTTCTTACCCGCGGGAACAATGAAGATCTCATTCCAACCCCGGTTAGAATTCAATATTCACCAAGGTATTTTGTTAACTCCGAGGTACTGACCGGCTGTTTCCGAATGCAGGTCCAAGCCAGTCCCGGCGTCTGTCGTCGTAAGTGTCTAGCATAACTTGGCAGAGACCCTTCGCGGGATTCCCCACGGAATTCAAGCGATTGGCTAGACCAGAAAGCTTATCAAAAAGCAATGCAGCTTGCGTAGCTAGGTGCCATAAATATTATCACTAGTTTTGAGTGGCTTGGCGTGATGGACGTATTTCGCTTAAGGAGGCTGATGTAAAAAGGTACTCATGGTCTAGATTTTCAGAGATTAATTCAGATATATTCTTTTGGTATGAGGTTTCTACTATGATAATAGCATGAATATGCTCTCCCTACTAATCTGAAAGCTATCATCAATGTCCGATGTAAAATAAACAGCCAACAGTCTTCCATAAGCGCACATCACAACTTGTATAGTCTAGGAGTTACGCCTTCAGCGGCTCCATCTAGTAGAATGCGATTCTTTCGCCCGTAGTAGTACCTCAATCCGAGAGCACCAAAAGCTACGAAGAAGAGCATGGCACAATTCACACCGTGACCGGTTGGGTAGCCCTTTGACGCTTCTTCGGCCTTGTATATCCATACTCCAGGAATCTGTCCGAGACCTGCGCCAATGCTGACATTGAGCGCCACGGCTAATCCAATGGACGCCGTGCTCCACATGTTCGAGGTCAGCCAGCCAAGCATGGGCGGAATGCACCCGAACGCCCCAGCTGTCCCAACGATTAAGCATCCATACCGATGGGTGTAGGCATCAGGCGGCAGCACAGCGGAAGCCAAGAAGCCCGCTGCGCCAATCAACGAAGCAATAGCACAGTGATAACCCCGAGCATTGAAATGATCCGCGGACCACGACATGAGAATTTGGAAAACTACCTCTTAAATTAGCATCGAACATTTTTACTTATCTCTTATAGGAGACTTACCATAAGCAGCGGCCCATGGAGGTACCGTCATCAATTGAGCCTCTAGATCGTGGAAGCCGAGACCAGCGACGATTGAAGGGGAGAATAGCGAGAGAGAACTGAAAGGCAACGAGACCGCGAAGTAAATAGCGTAGTGCCCGCATAGCCGCCAGTCGGTAAGCGTGTCTTTGACATCTTCCCAGGTCATAGAAGAAGCTGAACCTTTAGCACCTTCAAGATACAATCGCTGCGCAGCCAAATCCTTTTCGGTCTCTGAGAGCCAAGAAGCTCTCTCGGGGTAGTCTGGTAGGAAAAACCAAACGAGAATTCCTGATAGACACGAAGGGATACCTTCGATCATAAAAAGCCATCTCCAAGCAGACAGGCCGCGCGTCTGATTCATATGGCCGACTCCAAAAGCGATTGCTCCGCCGAAGGCACCGGCAAGAGTGGCGCTTGCGAGGATGAAAGCTACTCGTACACTGCGCTCGTTGCTTTTATACTATAATGAGTCCGAAGTTAGTAATTGCATCGAGAAACCGATTATGCCGACCCGGGAAAGGAAAGCTGCTCGGCGTTTTCATATAATTCTAGGGGTCCCGGGTTGAACTCACCCAAAATGTTAAATAATAGATTAGCCCGGGGAAGAGACCAGCTTCGAAGGCGCCTAGCAGGAAGCGGACGCCAGTCATCTGGGCATAATTATGGACACCACCCATGCCAATGGTAATAACACCCCAAGAACACATAAGGAAGGCAAGCCATCTAGACGGGCGAAGCTTCTTGAGTAGAATATTTGACGGGACTTCGAATAGGAAGTAGCCGATTAGGAAGATCATGAGCGCGATGTTGAACTGGTAGTTTGAGGTCCCGGTCTCTGTTTGCATATCGTTATGGGTTGCTGAATTGAGGACTTTGGCGTTGCCAATGTTGGAACGGTCTAAATAGCAAAGGAAGTAGATGCCCGCGGCTAGGGGCACGATGCGCTTGTCTTGCCTCCATAGTAGTTTTCGCTCAGCGGCAGAAGAAGCGAGGACGGTACTGGCTACCTCCTAGTAGCTGTGAGAAACTGTGTAGTATCATTGGGGTTTATCTAGTTGTCACTTACATCCTTCAGGTGACCCTCTTCGATCTCCTTGGCCTCAGGGCCGTTGTTCTTCTCCAGGTCGCTATGGGTGTTTTCGGTTGCCATTGCGAATAGCGAAGCTCCTTGAGATAAAATAGCTAGTTGGAGAGAAGTTCCATGTGGGGATAAGAGTATAAAAGGAGGATTGAAGAGGCCCTGGACGCGAACTGGGGGTACCTAGATATGGGGTATGGGGATGAGAGCACCCTTGTAAGCACTAGTCTAGGTCTGGAGAACAAAGGACGGCGGTAAGCTCGATACAATCGATACGGACCAAACAAACCAAACAGATCGGGGAAGTATTACCCAACGCGGGGAAAGCCTCGCCATCGTGACCAGAAAAAGTCAAAGATATCCCACCATATTGGGTCATTTTCTACTTAGCAGATTAGCAGACGGCTCCCCACCGCTACTGAAACTCCCTATAGGACCGAGAATCTAGACCCGTGTAACGTAGTCGCTTTGTGTTGGGCGTTCCGAACGTTGGTCGAATTGCGTTCGAGATCGTATCATACAGCCATACCACCATAAAAGGTAAGAAGCTCGGGCTAGTGGGGGCATACAATCTCATCAGTACCGTATCTCCGAATAGGAACCACTAATAGCTTCCCCGATGTGGGGAAGATCCGGAGTCGGTGGATACCGTGCTACATTCTCGTGTAGGTTGCGGGGGAAATACAAAGGTATTGCGAACAATATTCGTCGTCTCTATTCGGATTGGAGCGAGTAATCATCTCGCAAACCAGATAAGCCAGGGAGGTCTAATAAAAAGTGGCGTAGATCTTCAGTCTAAACTCGGCAGATAATATTTCGGCCGATACGAAAAAGTTGAGGCTTATTTGAGCTCGAAGCGAAGCTACCGGTTATCAACCATTTTCTGGTGACATCTTGAGCAGTAGGTAGCGTTTAGTGATCGATGCAATATCCATCCCTTTCCCCCACCGGGACTGTAGTGCGGCTCCAAAATGAGCGAGACGACGACTTCATATTCCTCGCAACAAAGTCTCTTTCTTGTCGCGGTAGGGGATTAAAGCCACTAGCTCAGTGGTGTGAAATTGTAAGAACACCAGTCGACCAGACACGAGTTTGCCCTCGTACAGACAGACAGTTTAGCGGACGCCACATATTATGTGCATTATGTACTAGCAATGCTAGAGACGAAGTCGACATTAGTACTTTCGATTTGCTTCCTTGATTTAAGTACATATCGCATGTATTTCTAAGAGTGAGCAATCTGAAGACGCGATTCCGGGCGGAAATTGAGTAATTCAGAAATGATTATGGTTCTCGAACGATGGAATATGCAAGGAAAAAAGAAGAAGAAAAAAGATGCGGCAAGAAAGAAGTGCGAATTTACGTAGACAGCTAAGAAATGAGTTCGAGAATAGTTGGAAGTCGCATAACCTGCTATTGCACCAATTAAACAATCCTCATGTTATGAAATCCGGAAGACGAGATCTGATTGATGAGAATTTACGATGTAAAGGCAAATGCAAACGCCATCAATTCAATCTCGAAACTCGTAATTCCTACTCGTAATAAAAGCAATAGAGCGATTGGGTCTGGGCAAAGCTTAGTAACGAGCAAGGGTGATCAACACGAGATGCCTTATTTTTAGCAGTGCGCAGTTAGGTACTAAAGAGAAGCTGAGGGGGACCTTTTAGGGCGTTTGATTGGTGCTATAGTCGGGGCTGAGCTACTGCCGACTTCATATTCCACGTGCTACAGCCCTACGGGAACTACCCGATACTAATTAAAGTCCCCTAAGTGATGGAAGTCTTAGTTACCTCCTAAACTACGTGTATCCAGCAACTTCCCTTCACCTTACGTAAATTATTTTCTTCTAAAGCATTGAACTGGCTGATGCCATCAATGTTTCCATCACAAGGTTTTCTCGTTGGATGTCTTTACGGGTCACCGCTTTACGAGTAGATGGATTGTTTGCTACGTTAGCGAATGGTTAAACGAAGTAAGGGAGCAAAACCACCGAGGCACAAAGCGCGCTCTCGTCTATCTAGTATCGTCAAGTATCTAAACAGCTCGCTGAGCTCAATATCAAAGCAATACTCGCAGTAGCGGTTCCGGCACCGACGGTGTGGGAATTAAATACCAAATCATAGCTTAAAACGACCCGTGCGGAACCCGGAATGGTCGTGGGGACCGGAATTGCGGTGCTTGTGTTATGTGGCATGACTTCATTCCACCGTCTCACTACGGCGCCAAGACAAAGGAATAAGCATCGTAAGCTAGCGAATACGGGATCGTGGGGCGTCGTAGGAGGTAGGTAGATAGTAGCACTGCCACGAGTACGAGAGGTATAGTGAGCTGGACGTGTATATAATAATCGGGTTCATCACTGCTCTTGTCCAACAAATAATTCCATCAACCAGCCAACAACAATATCAAAGACATACAATCATCATCATCATCACTCTTAACAACCAACTTACTCACTTACACTACAAGTGCCACCACCAGCCAACCAACCAACCAACAAGCAAAAATGAAGTCCGTCGCTGTTCTCTCATCCATCCTCCTCGGAGCCGCCTCCGTCTTTGGAGCTCCCGTGACCGAGAAGCGAGCCGAAGCTCCGACTGAGTTCGACATCACCAAGTTCAGCGCCAACACCCTACCCCACGGCACCGGAGCCTTGTAAGACCCCCCTTTTTCGCCCCCTTATGAACCACCTACCACACCAGTACTAACACTTCCACCAGCATCTCCTTCGATGTCGCCATCCCCAACACCTCCGTCTCCACGACCTGCAAGTACTCGGACCAATCATCCGTCGCGAAGCTCCCTTCAGTATCTCTCCGAGCTTGCGACGACCCAGCCTTCGAGTGGCAGTTCCACCAGGACCCGTCGCAGCCCGGCACCGAGGGCCGTTACCGCGTCCTCGTGACCTACGCCTACGACAGCCCCAAGAAGGTCGCCGGCTTCCACGAGTGGCCCGCCACCGAGTTCCCCCTGGAGAACTTCGGCTCCACCGTAGCCACCTTCTACCGCGGCGAGCCCGACTTCGCCATGACCAACGTCTCTTAAAGTCGGAGCCCAGTTGAGGGTGTCGAGAATTAATTCCTGCTTGTTTCCTTAGATCGCTTTTCTTGATAGAGTATATAAGCATAGACACGCTCAGACTACATATAGATCTTCATCTGCTCAGAGCCAATAGGGGGATGTTTTGAGGAAGGAGTCCTAAAGAGGGGTATTGTTCAAGTTTACAGAATTAGCAATTAATAGCAAATGCATACTCTCTTTTTTATTCATTCATAACACTTGTTAATCGAGTACAAAAATCAGACATGTACAAGGTTTCTCCTTTCTGGAGTACCTACTATGCAATAGCTATGCACGCCCCTGTGGCGTGGGCCCCTATTCTAGCTAGTCTCTTCTGTGATCATGATAGACATTCGTGCGACGGCGTGCATTCAGGAATCTCAGTACCTGCAAGTCCCTGAAACTCAATGGATATGATATCAATGAGTTCATCCTAATCGTGTAAAATCTCAAACTCATCCACATAAATCTCCAGGTACTGTCGTAACGTGGACAGTAGCATCAATGTACAGCTTGTTCGTAGCAGTACACTCGACGCCTGGCTTGATTCTGACCATACCATTAGGGCCCATCGAAAAGTCCTGACCGTGAATAGACACCTGTAGCTTGCCCGACGCTACTGAACATAGTCGGAGCTTATTGGCGCTAGAACCCCAAAAGTGAACTGTGCCAGGCTTGATGGTAATGACCTGGAAAGAAATATCGCGGCCTATACGGACAGCTTGGCTTTGGGCCAAGTACGAATTCGAAAACGCAAAATCTACGGCTAGTTAGTAGGGTACCTAAAATATAACACGAGCCCTTAAGATTGGGTACTCTAAGACGGAGATGTTCAGTTACGTACTATCGACGGCTTCACTTTGCTCATCACGAATTCGACCCGGTGCGATCTCCCACGTCTCCAATTCAAGGGCTTGTGCTGGATTGATGGTACTTGTTTGTGCTCCGCTACCAACGTGAACTCCATTATGGGCATTTGAGACAATGCTAGGTTGACGGGAAGAGTCGGATCGCGATTCGCCGCGCGGTGTAAAACTTTCCTCCTTTGGAAAATTACGCGTTGCTGATTCCTCCTGCTTCTCACTGTTAGCTAATCAAAGCTGGCCTAGTTCTGCTTCATCGAGTGTTGCATGAAAGAAGACAAACCTCGGGACCAACCTCAGACACCAGCTTCTTTTTATGTGAACTTATCTTTAGGCTATCCTCTCTTGTGAGAGTTTCCGTGCCCAACAGGCTGGGGTCAGATAGAGTCCTGCCCGACCTGTGAGCTTTTGTAGGCCTGTCCTTATTATCACCTGCTTGAGAAGAAGATGGAGTAGTAGATTTGGACGATTTCAGGTAATGATTGAGAGTGGGCTCCTTCAAAGGTTCCTCGGGATCCAATGGTTTGTGAGACACTACCTCAGCAGGCATAGCCACACCAATCGCTTTCAGCTTCTTAATGATGGATAGAGTGCCGTCCCCGTTGTCATTAAGTTGTGTGGCTCTGTGGCCACGCTATAATTGAAGTGAGCTTCATGTATTAAGCCAACCCGCGAACCCATGGTACTCACATTGAAGTGGGCCCCGAGACCTTCAAGTTTCGAGAACAAAACACGACACGAACGTATCGGGCATATCCACGGAGCCTCAGGATTATCATGGAGGGTATAGCCCCGTGGCAACAATGCGCCAGAAGTGGGCTGGGTTTCTCCGGACGGAACTAATTAAATTAGTTGACGTCTCTATTAACACTACGCAGCACCCAAAACAACTTACAGGTCCAAATATGGTAATCCCAATCGGTCTTAGTTTCTTTGGTCTTAGTTGCTTTGGTCGAGCTGATCTGTTTTTTTCGAAGCGGAATGTCATCATCTGTCTCATCGCTGTCTTCATCAATTGGTGGCCGGCGGTGACTTGCCAACCGATTTTGCTTGGTGTTGGAGACTACGTCGGTATTGGGCTTGCGAGAATTGATTGTATCGAGCCTGCTTCCCCCGGTATCATTCGATAGGGCAGATGCTCCAGGTGCAATTACATCCTTTAAGCGTAGTTTCTTATATCCTTTCGATATGGTGCGTTCACGATTGGCAGGCAACAATTCATTCTCAGATTGGGTCTTAGATGATGCGACGCCAAGCGTTTTTAAGGGAGTATTTGTATGACTACCCTTCCGGCTCTTTTGAGGGTGTGAATCCCGGGAGAGTCCTGCGTACTAACTGTGAGTTGAACTTAACTTTCTAAGTGGATTATTCGAGTCTAACCTAGTGGAGAGGAATCATCTCTTTTCCTCTTGAGATCCTTCACTTGCTCGTCGGAAATACTGGGATCTATGTCTTGCGTTAGTAATTTCTAATATAGTACCGGTAACAACTAAAATTTACCTTGTGGGTGGCTATTGCTCGGGGGATGAACTATTATCTGGGGTACGGCTAGGGATGGCCTACGTTGAGATGTTGATGCAAGGGAGTCCTTAATGTCTTCCGTTTGTTCTGAAGCATTAAACGGCAGACGGTTTTCTCTAAGGGTCTGTAGAATATCACTAACAACCCTAGATGGATTAGGGCTGGTAGGAGAGGCTGAAATTACCGGCTTATTGGCGGCTGGCTCTGATGGCTTTGGGGTCGGATTGGGTTTAGAAACCAAGTGAGGAGGGAGTGTTCGCTTAGCAGTGAATACCCGTTTAGCTGGGGTTGCGGAAGCTAAATCCTTAGTCGGAAGCTTGTCTTTTGTTAAGAAGCTAGGCACCTCATGTTTGGCCGTGATTTCTTTTGGCGTTGAGGTAGTAAAACTACCATCAGAAACCCCCGTAGACCTAGATGGTTCAGTATGGTAAGGACGTCCACTTGATTTAAGATGCTTGTCCTTGCCATCACTGTTAGTTGTAGGCGTAGGTGTAGGTGTCGATGTGGTCTTGTTTGTGGATGTGACTGGTGATTCGTCAAGAAGTTGTGAGCGGAGTTGGGACGACATCTGGGATTTGCGGATAAAGAAATAGACTTCATCTTTCGTTGCTAACTCGAGTAGATCCCGTCGTAGCTTCTTTGAACTCAAAAGTCTCTCTTCAAGTGCAGGGGGTACGACTCTTTTTGTGAACGCCTGCTTTAACTCATCCATATCGTCCAAGCCATCTGACTTTAATGGGTGATCCATCTTATATAATAATATAAGTGATTTACCACCATAAAAACCATAAAACGAGAACACATCACATAGAAGGTCAAGAGAGTTGAAGGAGAGGGTATTAAACACTCTCTATGTTACCGCAGTATCCTTTGCTGGCTTCAAGGTAACCGGTTCCAAGACTCTTGAAATAGTTGCAAATACCAGGTAGTTAACCTGATTAAAGATATCACTGCTTGAACACTTGCCTCTGTTTCTTTCTGGCCAAATAAATAGGCTTAGAGTTGGGTGATTATCTCGTCCAGTGATCTTAAGAGAAGAGAAAGAAGAAGAAGAAGAAGGAAAAAAGGCACAAATATTCACGCCAACGAAAAGCGCGGTGGAGACGGCGTAAAAAAAGGAGAAAACTGAGGTTAGGTAGGTAGATGTGAACCCCCAAACCGTGTCTTATTGTTGAGGGTGAACCGCGTAAAATGGGTATCTACATACCCATAAAGATTAAGATGCAAAATAAAATACGTCGTTGTGTGAATAAAAGTTGTGATGTTTTTGCCGGCAGTGACGTAGATGTTATCCCTAAGGCACTAAACGATTAAGCGTTGCTCGACAACCAACGCGTACATAATGTAGTAACGCGTTTGCGACGATAAGCTTCTTATCGGTGTAAATGAGTAGAACGGCAGGAACGATACAGGGTGCCTACAGTGCAAGTTGAACGTATTAGGTCACTCAAAGCCCTCTAAATTCAGCCCCACCAAGTTTACATTGGAACTTCGTTTAGCTACAGGTACGTTGGGCAACCAACCATCAACCATCAACCATCAACCATCAGAGAAACCAAGCCAGAGTTCGATAGGATGTCTTCAAAATGATATGCCGACTACATTTAGGTTATTGAAGTTTTCTTTAATTGCTTACGTATTAACTATGGTTAGGTAGTTATACTTATTATCTATTATAGTTATAAGTGGTGCCTCGAACTATTCCCAGTTTCTCTTATTAAACCTAACCATGATCTCTTCCGCTACGTTTAATTAAAGCGCATCGGGAGCTTGTTGGGATAGAGACTTCCCATACCATGGCTTCGATCTCAGAAACCTAGAATAATTCAGCCATAGGTAAGGCTACTCGTCAGCAGGATGGCCTTCCTCCAACGATGTTTCCTCCTCGGAGAAACTTCTTCTATATCGTTTGCTTTTCCCCTCGGCCGCCGCATTCGCAAGTGTCAAATATAGCAACCCCGGAGAAGTTTTCCGAGTGAAAATCGAAGACCGCTTCTTCTCGGTATCTACGCTATCTTCAACCTCTTCTTTACCTTGCTGCGGTATAGGAGCTACGGTGATATCATCGACGATGGGATCTACCGGACTAGACTCCAGAGAACGAAGAGTTTCCTCAATGAATTGCTCACGAGTGTGGCTCTCGTTGCCATCTTCTCCTTTCTTGTCAACCTCTCGGAGGGCTTCCTTGGCATTGTCTGATAAGAGGGATAGAGCTAAGCTGAATGGCCTTAGGCCTTTCGAATCGTTATCTCGTCTCTCGAATGACCTCAGCCTATCTCGCCTATCTCTCTCCCTCCAAGGGGGATCTTTCACTGGGCTCATTTGCGGGGGCACATCCTCCTTATCATTCGTCGTGCGTTGGATAACTAACGGTCTGGGAAAGTACTCCCTCCCTCTCTCGCTCTCCGAGAGCCATCTTTCAATGCCTACACGCTTAGCTTCATATGCTTCATCGCGAGTTTCCCTAATGAACCTTCCTAAATCTTTTTCCACTCCTACGGTTGCTTGCGTCTGCGGCTCTGTTACTGCTGAAGAGTTAGCCTTGCTTCCTCCCACCATGTCACCCTCTTCTGATCCCCCGTGGACAGCTGATTCCCAGTTCACATCATTCAGTAATTCCGAGAAATGTCTTCCCTTCAGCAGCTTTCTGCTGAGTGCCGCTCTATACGGACTATATGTCTTATGGTGTCGATTCTGAGCGGGTGGCCGCAGGTGTGACTCTGGCATGAGGTTTAAATCAGAGACATCTTGCTGTTTCTTCTCGCTAGGTAATTCCGGATCGAACGTTCGTTTGTTCTGCGGAGGTCTTTGCCACCGCTGGCAGCGAACTACCAGCGCGGCTATGTGCTTCTTCGATGCATTCTTCTCAACTGCAGTCCACAGCGCCCACCAATCCTTCGCCCTAGCATAGCTCTTCATGTGTTTGCTAAGCATCGCCTTCCATTGCTCGTCTTCTTTGCAATAACAGAAATGTACCGCCACATACTCAGCCCACACTGGGAGGCATGCAGCATTATCGAGCCCTAGAATAGCAGAAACTCTCCCGTTATGAATCAGGATGTTGGCAGTGGACAAATCACCATGTGTGAAGACGCAGGGTGCTGATTCCGGCATATAATCCTTCAAGATTTGAATCAAGTCCTCGCCAACCTTTTTCTTCTTTAGGCGTCTATGAATGGCGCTCCATACTTCCTTGTCAGACCTGAAGGGTCCAAACCCTTCCTGCGACGAACCGAAAAGATGACCATGGCGTCGCACAGGACCACCACCGAGAGTCGAAATCCTGTCCGATGTCATCCGTCTCCATTGGTCTATATGCCGTCCAACCTCTTTCGCGATCTTTTCCCTTTGATCATCCCGTAGGTCCCACCAGATATCATAAAGCCGCTGGCCAGGAACCCTCTCGGTGATGGTGATTACCTTCTGGTTCTCCTTCCAACCAGCTATTATGTTCGGCACGGGCACCCTCGTCGCTTTCCTAATAAGCTCCGTGGCTAAGGTTAAAGTAACGTCTGCTTCTTCTGACCATTCGTCGTCTATCTCCTCGGTCATAACATACTTGTCGCCGATGAGCCAGGTATGCGTCTCTGGGTCGTTGTATCCGAGCTTCAGACTGCTTTTAAATGGCAGGGAGTCGAGAGCCTGGCAGTATGGTGTCGTGCAGGCGGGGCAGATATCCTTGACGTCTCCAATGTCGAAAAAGTCGTCTTCTATTAGCCGCTTTCCGTTGAAATGCACTTCGCCTCCCTCCCTCATACCACTCTTACTACTCTTACTACTCTTACCCACGTTGCCAGCCGCGGATAACCATTTAGCCGATGGTTTGTCTTCTTGTATTATTACGTTTCGGCCCATAATCCAGTCAACGATCCGGTGCACCTGAGGAAGACTCTTTAATCCCGATTGGCTAGGACTCTTCCATTGAAGTTTAAGTGGTAGAAGATGATCCTCGGGTTCTGTTGTAGCAGCTGACAGATTAACGGGTGCAGGAGCTTCGATCTCCTCGAAAGGAAAATAGTCGAAAAGAGATTCGCCGCCCATCGATGGCGTTTTAAGCTCCTCGTCATCGCTAATGAAGCCCTCTTGGGGCCCAACAGCTTTTAGACTCGTCTCTCCTGTCGTGGGCATGATAGGTACGGGTAGGTAAGTATATAGGCAAGTCAATTGCTTATAGCCGGGGTTCGAAGGATGAGTTAATCCCTATTAACTACCTGTTGATTATTTTTTAAACACTTAGGGACTCGCAGGCTCGACGGCTCGCAAAGCGAGAATAAATCCGAGTGAGGAAGTATTACAAGAAGCAAGCCGTAACGCTTCGGGAACCAAAACAGCTTTCGAAGCTTAGAAAAGTTATGAGAGAACGCGTCTATTTTTTTCTTCTTTGGGTGGGCTTTTGAGAGCTATGTCATCTGCACGTTTTCTGTTCTATCTCCGCTTTCCTTTCTTGACTCCGGTTGTGCGCCGTAGGGTGTGGTCCTCCTACGTCTACGGACCCTCCTGGAATGCCGCCACCACTCCACAACAAAGGACGTCGGCCGCCGCAAACGGGGGCGGACCCACGACAATTGAATCGCACGGATGGGGAAGAGGAGTCATATATGGGGGGTTGGGTATCAACGTTAAATTGACCCGTTTATGATTTTCAGGTCATTTGCACAATTTGTGGACTTTCCGGTCCTGTTTTTGCCCCTCTTGCAAATGAGTTTTTTTTTTTTTTTTTCAGGTCAGGAGTCGAGCGGGTAGCTTATTATGGTTGGATAGGATAGAAATGCATATCAGAAATTTTGAATAACTAATAGTAAGCATATTTGCGAGCGCCTCTTCGGTCATAGGGCCAATTATGCAGCATTTCTTGTAGAATTTCGCGAACCGCTAAACCAAGCCCCTCTTCAAGGAATATCTAAATATTATTAATTATATGCAAGGTACGACGAATTGGAAAACTCTTCAAGGGCCTATTCCCAACATTATGTATGATGAACGAAAGGTTGAGAAATATTTGTTGGATTCACTACTACCACCTATGTACTCTTGTCGTGTTAAAGCGAAGCGAACGCCATGACGCTCTCTGGCAGTTGCAGTTTGAAAATGAATTTGAACTCCGGCTGCACTTGGTATTCGGGAGCCAAAGAGAAGCGAAACCAAACTCCCACTTCCTACTTCCCTCTTGGCCCAATGGCCACCTTTACTCGTGAACGTAGAACAAAACTGTCCCGTGTGCCTAGGTAGTGCGTGCGTATTAGATATAAGGCAAAGGCGACTGGCGACTTAAGCAGAACAGAACTCCCCCTCCCCTCCTCTCCCAATAAAAAGCAACGCAATATGCAGAATGCTATTAAGGTTAAAAATGCCGATGAATGCTTTGCCAAAGTCTAAAAGTTGCTTTAGGGACAGAAAATTGAATGGAAGGGTAATGGTAATGGTAATAGGTAAAGGATGTTGCTTATTCTCGTGATAGGATGGATGGTGGAGGTGTGAGTCGCCTATAAATAACCTCTGCCCCTCGTCGAGAAGAATAGGATGGGATGAACAGATGGATGGAGTGTGGATGAGATGACGTCGCCGAGTTTGGAGAAGCCCCCCCATACCAAGAAATGGACGGATCCTCCCGACTTCCGATTAACTAGCTGCGCCTCAAACCCGCGTTGTAAAATTGAGAACGTCGTTTGACCCTTTTCTAATCTAAGGCTAAGGTTATTCTCAAATCTTATGATACCGACGGCTTTTCCGCAATGATCCGATATGTCGTGGTAATTAATCGCATGTTGTCCATCTTTACAAATGCTTGACCGTCAAGACATAATCTGTCAATGAGGATCTTGAAATGTGGGGGTAAAGCGCGTAAGCGAACGAGGCCGTGAATGACGCGCCTGACGGAGCGGAAGTAAATATCGACTTTGTCGATGAGCGGGGCCTGTAGGCCGTCTATACTGGGGTTATCCGATCTTGAGACGGTAAACCCGGCATCAGTGAGGGCCTTCTCGAAACTTGCCGGTGTCGGAGTGCCGACAGCGCCGATCAGAGGCTTCACGCGACGCATGAGTCCCGCGTGAACAGGATCTTCCGGGTTATACGGCGGTAAGCTAACCCAATCTAGCAGTGAGAATTTGGCGCCGGGCTTCAGCACGCGATAAATCTCTTTGAAAGAGGCCGAAGGATCCTTGCATAAGCTGAGAGCTTGGATCTCGTAGAAAGCATCGAATGATTCGTCTGCAAAAGGTAAAGGCAAGTCATTTTGGTCGTGGACGACGAACTCGTTGCTGAAACCGCACCGATCGTTCCATTCCCTTGCCTGCGCGATCTGGTTCGCATCGATGTTTAGACCAGTTACATGAGCTCCGCTGAAGCTCGTCATATGCGCAGCTACACGCCCACGACCGCACCCGAGATCTAAGACCTTCATTCCCGGTTTCAATCCGATATCCCTCGCGACAGACTCCTCGTAGAGTAGCTGGTTGTCGAGCACCGACGCCTTCTTGTCCATCAGCGGTGGGATGTACATCTTCTCTACATCGCCGAGGCTACAAAGATGGTTGAGCACCGAGTAGTAAGCACAAAGGCAATCTCCGACACGCTGCTGGTAATTGGGACCGAAGGCCTTGACCATCTCCTCTTCGTTGGCCCAATCCAAATTGTAGATTTCATAAGACGCCATGAAATCGTCTACTTCCTTAGGAGTCAAGTTGTGAATGTGCTTGAAGGCCTTGATGAATGTCTTCCACCTCTTGGGCGAAACAGAGCGGTCGACCCGGCCTTGACCATCATGACTGCTGTGTTGTTTTGGTAGCGATGACGTATGAAGCGAAGAGGCGAGCTTGACTTTCTCGGTACTCGTCTGGCTGGAACGAGAACTATCACTGCTGTCGTTCCGACCCGGTATCGCAGGAGTGATAGCAGGTTGAGAGACAGTTACGGTGGCCATTGATATATCTAGCTCCTCACGCCTACTTGGGATATATACTCTAAAGCAGCAAAGAGACGGGGTAAATAAACTTTCAACAGGTGTTGTACGGGAATGGATGGAGGGGGGCTTGTACCCGTACCTGCGTCCGTGGGTGTAGTTTGATGTTTGATGTGTAGTGGAGTGTAAGGTTAGGTACGCGTTCAGACGGCTTAGGTATAAGTGAGAAAGGAGAAAGGGAGTGTGTTGTCCACGTATTGCGTGCCTGTTTGCGCAGTCTGGTAGAGATTGCTAACGAGAAGTATGTATGAGTGTTGGTTTTCACACAAAACACGGACGCGCTGAGAGATCTTTTGAAATGACTATGAGTCAGGCCTGTTATTTTTTTTCTTTCGCGGGACCCCAGTTAGTAGATCACCATTCGAATGTTAAGGGTCTACTCGTCGTATGATTGGGAGATGGTTCGCTCCGGACAACCCGAAGGAGTATTATTCAGGTTAGGTATTAGGGTATGTAAGTAGAGAGATTATTAACTGCAGGTGAGCTAGGGGGAAACTAGGGAAAGAGATGTAATAATAATGGGAATAGAAAAAAAGGATTATTAAGATTAAGTTGTTGCAAGGCTCAAAGTGGATGTAAAAGGACAATGCATCCGGGTTTACCTTAGGTAATGGCAGGACCAGCTACGTCGATTTGCATGTAGGCCTGTATACCAGGTATGTAAGAGGTATGTATGTCATATACCTGTCAACTAGGTTCAATGTCATCTCAGGTTTTTAAAGTTGATTTGATGCAGGCAGGCAATCCTAGGTTAAATAAAGTGATTGGACCTATGTAGGACTCCAGTTAACGGGTGAATCGGTGACTTATTTTGAGGTAGCCTGTGACTTGTATTAAGCGGCTAGCATTGAACAACATACATGTAACATACGGTATATACATATTGACATGTACATATATATCGATATACATGTAAGGTGGTGACCCAAAATGAGGTAAGCACCTGCATATACATGCTGAACTAAGAGCGGCTCCAATTACATAGGGCATGTATCCGTCGAATTCAAGTTACTGCCTCCTATGTATTGAACTCCCCTACACTTCCGGCCGGTTCCTTACCCACCCCCACCTGCCACCTCGGACAGGTCGGAGCTGCTCGCTTTTGCGACGAGAGGTAATTATTTCCGGCAAGAATGGTCAGCTTGTCAGCTAAGTGCAGGTGCAATATGTGTATTACATAGAATTTGCCTCTATTGTATCGATTAAGATTATATACTTCCTAAACCATTATATTTAATGAGATACGGTAGTATCGTACCATGTAGGTACATACATCATCATACATGTACAAGAGGATACCTGCAGCAACAGAAAGAAACAAGCGGCCACATGGGAAGACCGAACCGAACTGACAATCCTGCTAATGCCCCAATCCAGACTCGATTCCACCTTTTCCATTTCCTTTTCCATGTTAATCCATAATTCCATCTTCCCCGTTAAGGCATCGCACCGAACAACAATCAACAGATCAACAAATCAACAATGAACAATCAAACCGTTTTCCCCGATGCGCCATTTCTTACTTCAATAAAGTTCTTATGCTTCTTATGTTCTTATGCCGAACTGAGTCAACTGACCGACTCTTCCCTTTGTTTTCCCTGTTTTTTCTCTTTATCCTCGCCTTCCCACTCTTTATTCTATTGTTTCTGGACTCTTCCCTTTTCTCTCTCGTAGTTCCGCTTCCGCCTATTCGCACCTATCATATCTCCATCCACCGACCCTCGGCCATGCGACATGACATGGCTTATAAATCAAATTATTTTCTCTTGTTTTCCTTTTTTCTTCGTCTCGTGCTTCGGTAGAATAGTTCACGAGCCGTGATGCATACATAACTAACCCGTGTTCGTTTTCGTTCAATGCAGAGTAGCTGTTGCTGTTACTCATTTGGCATCCATGCAGAGAGTTGCGGCATTTCGTATCACGTACAACTAACACCATGAACAATTTTAATGCCGATCGTAGTAGATCCTACAACTCCATTTGACACTCCCAATCTCGTCATTCTGACCGCAGGACGACTGATCGTTTCCGTGTTGGTTGGATGGATGGTGTAAACCGAAGTTGAACCGTACATCCAGTCTGGAATTGCTGGCCTTCCGTCACACCTTCATCTTGATTTTTCTTCATCTTTTATCAAATCAATTTGAATGTGTAGTTGGACAGGAATGTAGTCAGACCATCTTTGTTTAAACTATCTGGTATTACTTGCTTAAGTTTATAGAGATTCTAATGAACCAGCTTAAAGCTCGACGAATATAGTACATCTTCAATTATCCTTCGTTGCAATACATTACGTCCTAATCAGGTAATCAAGAACCTCTTGAAAGCCTCGTTTGAGCATGCGGCTCTTTGGTAGTGCTATAATGTATGTCGAATTAAGCTTTTGGTTGCATTGCCACGGTTCTCTAGTGGCCCATCCCCAATCCTGGCTACGTATTACTGTATCAAACCCAGATCGGTACCCTGGATGCGAGATATGCCGCTGCAAGATGGGCGTAGGCCGCGTGGCAAGTGGAGGGAACTGCCGAGAGGCTTAGAGAGGCTTAGCTAACAAGGTAGAGGGGGGGATCTCGAGCCAGTTTCCAGAATACGCGGAAGAGGAGAGCGATGATAGGTTTCCATTGGAAGATAGAGTCAAGTTTTGATAACATGTCGCGCGTCATGGGTCCCAAGGATCGATCCCCATTAGAACTTCTGGTACTAAATTCTTAGTAAATCCCACGAGTAACTGCATGGTGCCAGTCTACTTAGAGTAGGTATATACCTCCTAGGTAGGTAAGTAAGTAAAAGGGATAGATCCTATGCTTATATGTAAGTATTTGCTCCCGAAGAATAATAAGCTTAATGGATATGCGTACATGCTTCCCGGAGTATAGGAGCTTGCTTCCCAGGAAACATGATCAAATATTTATTAGTTACTTACATTCCTTGTAAACGTTACAAATTGGCCATATCCGATATCATACGATCATACTGATATGGGCTATCTTTGAGCTCTAGAGAAGCCCTCCCTTTGGACAACCCCTAAACCTGAGGATAGAACAGGTCACAAGGACATCAGATACCCTCCAGGGGGTTATTTAGCGAGTTTAGGGCGAAGTATTACTTTAAAAGTCCCTTTAGCTACCACAAAGCCGAAGATCCCTGCTGTTTCCGCTGTAATGTTCCCTTTCTTAGTGAGCAATGTATTTGGTGGGTTCTATACTCGAGTATTAACACCATCCATCTACTACAGTTGCATAACCCCTTATCCTATATTAGAATAGGCCTTGCATCTATATATCCTCTGCTACGTACCTAAGTAAAGTATGTAGGTCCTCGCTCTTTAAATCTCTAACCCACCTATCTATACAAGTACAAATTCGGGAATATCATTTCAACAACCGACGCCCCTATTTTCCACACGACCATATCACATACGCGCGAATACTAGCTATACGAAAATATTACTACTAGTTAATATTATACAGCTCCTTATGACACTTGATTTGCACCTGGCGGTTATAGCCCCTAAAGCATACACCCGTAAATGAGGTTTCCCTTTTTTGGGCGGGCACCACTTTTGCCGCGCCATACCTTATGTGATGCCATTTTCAGTTATTAACTTAGTTCTGAAATACTATAATATTATAATATAACCCACATCACCCGATATACGTGGAAAATAGTCCTGGGTGAAGGTAATAGGCAAGTTTTACATTAAACGAGCTATTACTACCCTGCATTTTATTTCAAACATGATGGTATGTTCGTTTGTATAAGTTCTTTTTCCGTAACAGACAACGTATCTAAATCTCATGTAGTTATTATAATTATCTTGAAGGCTCGGTGTAGTTATATATGATAGTGGCCTCCGATCATATCGATTTGATCTTTGACAACTCGAGATCAAAACGTTCAACGACGCAAAGATATCTGCTATGATTGACATTTACTGCTTGGTTAATACCAGGTCTAACAATAGCCCGACCAAACAACTCGTCGTGGAAAAGAACCTCGCGCCGACTGAAAAGTACTAAATGGGAGCTGATATCTCTTGTAAATTATCACTTTCACATCAACCATCTAAATACCTTAGGTACATAAAGCATTGGGCAGTAGATGATTGTGCTATATTTCGAACGAAACTAGGTAGGATCTAACCAAAAATACATAAGTCATACAGATATAATGATCATGTTGTACGGTATTGTACAGTGAGTAAATACGGATTCGATGTTAGCCTTGCTAATGGACGGGTTTGAATATAATATGTTATATCATATCATTGCGGCTCGTGCGTAACGCTCGCATCACACCATTGTCACCTGGGAATATTCCGGGTACCGTATTGTATATAGGTCGGATGATGTTCGTTCTACTACTTGTTAAATCTTTTATAACAAATCACGTTAAAATGGACATTTTCAGATAGCATACGACAAAAGAGCGAGTTGGTTGGCTGGTCTGAAGTAATAAATTATTTACATTATTAAGTTGACATCAAAGGTCATGTAAGAAGGCCTGAGCTCCTCAGAGCAATCCATAGCTTGGAGCTGGCAATATCTCTTGCATATAGAATAAGAGTGCAACTATAGTTTTCTGCGTGAACAAAACCCCGTTCTTTCTGTACCGTGGTCCGCGTGGCGGCGTGACTCCATCAGCTCGTCCTGAATAACCCAAATCCCGTTTAGAAGAGGCCGAAGAAGACGGCAGCAAAGGCGATCAGAGCACCAGTAGCGCTTGATCCGGCGATGGCGGCACCGGCGGTAGGGATGGCGGTGGGAGCCGGGTAGGTCGAAGAGGCCTCTCCGGTAGGGTATCCAGCAGTCTGGCTCGGGACACTGAAAGTTGTGTTGCCATAGACAGTGGATAGAGTTGCAGGGCCGGTAGAGGGAGAAGGGTAGGTAGCGGCCGGCTGGCTGGGAGTCTCAGCGGGATAGGTGGGAGCCGGCTGGGTGTTACCCTGAGTGGGGTACGCAGGGGTCTCGGCCGGGGAAGAAGGAGTCTCAGCAGGGGAGGAAGGAGATCCAGCAGGAGATGAGGGAGCCTCTGCGGGGTACGAGGAAGCCGGCTGGGTGTTACCCTGAGTAGGGTACACAGGGGTCTCGGCCGGGGCAGAAGGACTCTCAGCAGGGTAAGACGGAGAAGAGCCTGCAGGGGAAGAGGGAGTTCCGGCAGGGGAAGAAAGAGTCTCGACCGGATAAGAGGGTGTCTCCGCAGGGGAGGAAGGAGATCCAGCCGGAGAAGAGGGAGTCTCTGCGGGAGATGAGGAAGCCTCTGCGGGATATGAGGGAGCCGGCTGGGTGTTACCCTGAGTAGGGTACTTGGGAGTCTCAGCCGGAGCAGAGGGAGTCTCCACAGGGTAAGACGGGCTTCCGGCAGGATACGAGGGAGATCCTGCGGGGTAAGAGGGAGAACCGGCAGGGTAGGTTACCGACGGGTAGGGAACAACGACTGTGGTGGCTGATCCAGCCGGGCAGTTAGTGACACTGGGGGCGCATGAGGTGATCGTGGAGATCAGGGTCGTGTACTTG